TATACAGCAGCAGGCGTCAGGGTCGTGATCGAACGAACGACCTCCTGCATGCCAGGCGAGGTAGTTAACATCTCCTAGCCACCGTGATGATAATGATGATGAGAGAGAGAGACACGCAAACTCCAAATATACAGCAGCAGGCGTCAGGGTCGTGATTGAACGAACGACCTCCTGCATACCAGGCGAGGTAGTTAACATCTCGCCACGTGTAAATCTGAGTCCTTGGCGACACAACGGGCGATTCTGTTTTTGCCTCTTTTCATCAGTTTTATAAAACGCAAACATTGGCAAGATACATCTTTTGACGAATTTGCTGGTGAAATATGCCATTGTTACGCGGAAAATCCCATTTGCCCAGCCAACAGCCAGCCAGAACAGTCGAGGAATAAACTATTTGATTAGTCATAAATAATACATGGTGGGTTAGATTGCATAAGTATAAATGTGTCGTAACCCTCCACCACCCAACACAGCCAGTAAGGTTTGTCACGTAAACAACGCGACAATTAGTTGCAACTTCACCCCACCGGTGTTGTTGGAGAGTAAATCCACAACATTTACAATTTGAGTAGTACGACGTTTCGCTGGTAATTACATCAACCAACATCATCGGGCGATTTGCCATAAAAGTGACGCCATCCACCTGCTTCCGGTCTTAAATAAAGCAAGGTGACGTCATCACTGAACCCATCAGGTGCAGAGGTCAGAGAAGGAGAGGGGGGTATTGTAATTATATGATAGATTAGCAATGAGTTAATTAGTACGTGTTTCCCCTATGAGGAATTGTAATTGTAAGATGTATTTCTTAATAATACGCTTCCAGGCCGCACTAAGCCTGTAGCTGTCCGGGCGGTTACAATTATTAGTATTTATCTCAATTTCAATGGCTTGTCGAAATAGTCTCGGCCAGTAATAATTAGTTTACCACAACACTGCAACGTTATCAACATAAATTGAGTGTCCTTGTTGGCAAGCCTATTCTGCCGCTGCCGACAGTTGTGTTTGAGAGTATTTAATGTCTTTACTCTTTGGTTATTTCGGTAAAGTCACGTAGGTAGAAAAATAAATATTTATTCGGTGTTCTTTTAGTCTTACACTGATGTCACGTCCCGTCTGTCCAATATAGCATCTGCCACACAAGAAATTGCCAGCGAAACGTCGTATTCAAATTGTAAATGTTGTGGATTTACTCTCCAACACACCGGTGGGCTGAAGTAGTAACTAATTGGCGCGTTGTTTACGTGACAAACCTTACCGGCTGTGTTGGGTGGTGGAGGGTTACGATGCATTAATACTTACACGATCTAACCCAACAACCTTTATTATGAATAATATTGGTCGCGTAAGCCTGTGTGTTAAACCATTTGAATAGTAGTAGTATGAGTCTATATGTGTGTTTAACAATGTTTTAATGTACGAGCAAAATCTGTATGAAAGTAAAATGCTTTACCGCTTTTGTTATTCAGGGAACGATATTGAATTTAACATCTTTAATACATCAGTGGGATATGCTACTTCCATAACCTCTGAGCAGCATATCAAAAGCAATTGGGGATATGATTTACATGTGTCACATCTCATCGGGGGGGGGGGGGGAATGAGAGTCTTTGTTTATATAAATCATATAAATCAAGAAAAGTAAAGCGGTCAAGGCACACTTCTCGTGAGACGTGAACGGAAATTGGTTGCGAATGAGATACCAGTTTTTCTGGATTTACCGACGTGAAAGAGCTCAGACAAGTGGCGGCGCGCCGAGTGAACAGCGGGGACAACTAAAACTCAATTGAGATTGTAATTTGGATAACAGAATTGAGAGGCGATCGAGTCGAATGCCTCTGAGAAATTCACTGCAACATCCTGGATGCACGCCGGGTTCTGGGTCTCCCCTAGGTCGGCTCAGCCTTAAACGAGTAACTGGTGCGGTGTGATAAAACATTGACAGCAGGGAGACGAAGCGAGGCCGGGCGTGGTGTTGGCCACCCCACGACCTCATGTGCCGTGCCGGACTTCATAGGCGCTTGCTAACAGCACTTGCCCCAACAGTCTGTTACAGGACATACGGGGGGATGTCTCTGTGTTGTGGCCTGCAGCGTGATGGTTGAACGCAGCGTGATGGTTGAACGCAGCGTGATGGTTGAACGCAGCGTGATGGATGAGACGACAAAAGAGAGTGTCTGGTAGACCGAGTCCTTGACATGGGTAGAGGAATTCACGCGTGACGCTCACAGGAGCAGTCACTAAGGTAGTAGCCACAGAAGGGTGACACGGAGGCTTCTGACCACCGATGAGCAAAGTGACTTTGATTAACCAATGGCTGCTTCACGTTGAATTCTATCAAGTCAAGGACGGAACACATTCTCCTGCGGAGGGAGCTGGTAGGAACGTTGGGTTGCTCGGTCAATGGCCAGGGTCAACGGCGGCACCACGTGGTGTATTCCGCAAATATGCCCGACTGTGAGGGCGGGCACAAGCCGGCGTGAGTAGGTTAAACGTTGAGTTTTATAAGGGCACCACGGGGTGACCAGCCCCTCCCCACCCAGCCCCACCCCACCCAGCCCCACCCCTCCCACCCCCCACCCAGCCCCCCACCCTCCCCTCCCCACCCAGCCCCCCACCCTCCCCTCCCCACCCAGCCCCTCCCTACCCTCCCCTCTCCACCCAGCCCCACCCCTCCCACGTGGACAGACATCCACAGACATAGACAATTAATCCCCTGCCTCCTGTGAATTAATCCCGGTTGGGCTTCCAGTCCACTACGTTTCCTACCAGTATTATCCTCGTAGCAAAAGTAGCTACATATGTCACGGGCTCCACACTTTCAAGGGCCCCGCTGCTAAATGCTTTCAAGCTATCAATTCCAGTTCAGTGATTCTGCACTTGCTCTATTACTAAAGTACTATACTGCCTTCAACTTTTATGAACGACTGGGTGTTTAAGGTCAGCGATTTGTCTTATCTGGCTGTGTAGCAAATGAAAAAAATACAATTACTTTACTATGCAAGTTAAACATTTGTGTTTTAATATTTACATGTTTTTATTATTATTATTTAGGGCCCCTTTATAACATATGCTACAGGTCCCGCACTACCTTAATCCAGCACTTATCAAGTACCTACACTGGTCATGCTATTCGGTCAACAGCAATGCCCCTTGTGTAACAAGTAAAACATATATAACAGTCGTAGTTTCTGAGCTGAGATCATGGTTCTACATCGCAAAGGTAGCAGTGACTATAAGTTCGATACGTTAGAAAAGAGGAAACTGGGGGCCTTACCTGGCAAAAAAGAAAATAACATTGTTGTAGTAAGTGAGTTAGAATGAACAAATGCGTTAGCTGAGACCGACAACTATGAAAGTAGTGTAGGAGGTCAGACAGGGAGTCAAAGATTGATGGTGAGTAGTAGTAGCAAATAAGCACAGCTAAGAGCCCACTTCAGTGTTATCTCGTGTTAAAGAGAAACGGTCTATCAAATTCCTTTATGATAACTTTTTTTTATCTTTCTATATTTTAAAAAGAAATCTAATTTAGCACCATTGGTTATTGCCCAAATTTGAGAATTGAGATAAATGCCATCACACACAATCGCCGCGTATATTCCAGCAGGTTTTTCTCCGCACGGCCCGTAATCTCTGCCACTTATACCCGGCAGTGGCAGTAATGGCACACAGTCCCCTCCACCTGTAATGCTGTACACCAGCCGGGCCATTTATACGTCTCGCTTGTCCGTATGACTTCCACATTCATCCACCTCTGCCACACAATTTAAACATTGCTGCGAGCGACAATGCATTCGCAGTCTCGCGCTTTATTCTTTTACGTATTTATTTATTGGCAGAAAATGTATTTCGCCAGATTTACGACATTCATCCCACGAAGGCGTAGGCAGTAGCCAATGTATGTAGTAAGTATGTTGAACTTCTTTCGCACCGTACGTAGCCGACCGTGCTAATCGGAGTTGCAGAGGAAGGACACCAAACTAAACACACACACACACAAAAGCAGTTGTAAAGATATTAGTTTCCAATTGAAATGATATAAAAGTGCATAGCCGGAGTGGCTTCCTAACATCGGAAGAGCGTTCCAGACGGTCGCAGAAGCGCATCTGAAAGCGCGCGATGCGGTGACCCGTCTTTGTTCGATGGCCCAGCCAAAAGCCGCCGCTGTGAGGATGACCGGAGTTCCTTGACGAGATCAGCGAGGTATTGTGGTTCATTTGTGGCGAGCACTTTGTGTGTAATGAGTGGGACCTTAGTATAATGTACAATATTTGTTCGGCGACCGGAAGCCAAGGCATTTTGAGAGAGTTAAAATGGCTTTGTCCACACGTGTCACACGACGTTCTGGCCACTTGTCAAGGGGTGCCTCTGCGGATGTGTATACTTTAACTTAGCTATTTCAATGAGCCATTTCAATGTTAAATTATATGCTAATTCCTTTGTCAAGGCGCTTTGTTTTCTTCTCACACAGCTTAAAGGTCGTGATCTAAGCGTGACTTTTCTCACTCCAGCGCTGTCCTCCAGACAGTCTCGTCCCTTCACCTGATAAAGGCCGCTTGTGTTGTGGCCGAAACGTCGTGATTTTTTGTTATTTTATTTTCACCTACGTGACTTTACCCAATAGAACCAAAGAGTATGGATCCTAGCAGTCACGAAAGCTTTAAATCTAGAACCCACGGTCCTGTTTCAAATGAGTGCGCAACTACACGTTCAAAACTGTGCAGTAATACCGCGGATGGGAATCCAAATGTATTCAACGCATAGGCTTGTCACGTGAACAACCGCGACAATGTTGGAGTTATATCGTTCTTTGGAATTCGCCGTAGAGTTATCGGTCATTTTAAAAGCAACGGTTACGTGGGCCAGACAATCAAATGCAACTGAAAAGCGTTATGGGGAGTTTAGGGAGTTGTTTTTGTTAATAGTATATATTCACGTTTTATTTCATAGTAGTTTTTTTTAAATACACACTTAAATGCACGTTTTTTGTTTTTTCCCCACAGAATTTTGCGAGCAGAGTCGCAATGTCCCTCCGGAACTCCTGGCCATTCATATTCATCTCAACGTTCCTTCTGGTGTGTGGCACAGTGTCAAGTCTACCCTACGTCCGTACGTATTCACACCCCGCCGTACGCATTCACACTCACGCACGCGTGCGTGCGAATGTGTCCACACGCACAAACGTGAAACGACCAGAGCCGGAAGACCTCAGGCCTCTTCGGACGCTGTTGCCCGGGCGGACGCATCGACAGATCACGCCAGAGTCCCTGCGCGCGATCGTCGGCGGCCTCCCACGGGGCAGGAGGCGCAACCCGAGCCTGACGTGGTCACGCGCGATCTCAGGGGCCGATCTTCCACACCACGGCATTGGCTTGCATTCAGCGTGGCGGCGAGGGCGGGACAGGGTTGCCTGGTGGCGGCTCTTGGGGACTGCTACGCGCCCCGAGGGGCAATGCACGTGATGATGATGATGACACGCACAAAGACAAAGGTCCCCCGTGTAGCCTTTAATAGACTGTTGGGACAAGTGCTGTTCGCGAGTTGCACCCACGAATGCCAGCATGGCACACGAGGGGGTGTGGGGTGGGTGGGCGACCAACACCACGCCCGACCGCCTTTGTCTCCCCAGTGCTGATGTTTGCACGCAGCACCAGGTACTCATTTGAGGCCGAGTCGACATACCGGGAGGCCCAGGATCGGGGAAAACATTCGCCACTGTTATTGGTCGTAAGCGGGAATCGAACTCGGGGTCGCCGGGTTCGTATTGAGGACATTGGGGAGGTTTTTGATCATTTGAATAATTTTTAGAGATTGCTGAATTCATACCTTTATGCATAACGATCGATGAGTTTCAAATCATCGGAGTTGTTTCAGGCAATGTGGATCATTGTAAAACCTGTTTCATAGTCAATGTAATTTTGTATTGCATGAACAACTTACACACGTCACATCCTGCTCAATATGCTAAAGTTGTTTGTGAGTATCGTTCTTCAAATAGCCGGTGATTGGGCCCAAAACGTGATTGAAGTTAATTTCTTTTGGCGATGTTGGGTGGTGGAGGGTCTTGCGACACATATCTGGCCACATCGTTACGTGGCCTAACGCAAAGATAATTAAATGAATCATGCTGGGAAAATCGATGCTTGTCCATCCATCAGTATATATATCTTTCGCCCACCAATGGCATTTGTACGTTTGTATGTTGAAATTATTTTACACTGCATGTAGCCAACCGTGCTAATTGGAGGTGCGGGGAAGGACAACACATTCAACAACATTTCACAGAGTCGCTCGTAGGGAAAGGAGCAGAGGAGAGTCTTGAGCCTGGAATTGGAGATGGGCAGGGGAGTGGACAGCACAGATGGCTGGGGTAGGAAATTGACCTTCGTATATTGGTTGTGCCCACTGCTGTACGCCCACTGAAGTCGTTCTGTAGGTCAGCGCTCTTCACTCATTTTCAGAATGGGTGACCACTTTCGCCGAAAGGACATCGCCAGTGTGAGGACCCGCCACGCATTTTTAACCATTTGGGTGTTCGACAGCAGCACGCAGATGACGATGGGAGGATGTTGTCACCGTTTGTGTTTTGTCGGGGGTGGGGGGGCACTAAAGGCCACCAGGGGCTGCCCGTGACCCGCGGGGGCCTTGCAATGAAGAGTCACTCTGCTCTGGCTCCGCAGACGGCTGCGATGTCATCACAGTCTTGCGCTCGCCCGTCAGGACGCTGTTCTCCGTGCGTGTCTGCCGCTCGCAGATGGAGGGCAGCAGCAGCAGCAAGGCTGCTGTAAGCTGCTGCCCCCGTTGCTGCCCCCGCTGCTGCCCCGTACCGTGCAGGCTCTGTGCCGGGAGCTCTCCTTTTTGCTCTCTCCAGGGCACTGCCGGCGCTCGCCAAGGGCAGCCCGGTTCGGAAAACGCGGTGAGCTCAGTCTCAGTCTCCCTGTGTGGTGTACACGTGGCTCTCTTTCAGTCTCAGTCTCCCTGTGTGGTGTACACGTGGCTCTCTCTCAGTCTCAGTCTCCCTGTGTGGTGTACACGTGGTTCTCTTTCAGTCTCCCTGTGCGATGTCCACGTGGCTCCCTGTGTGGTGTACACGTGGCTCTCTCTCAGTCTCAGTCTCAGCCTCCCTGTGTGGTGTACACGTGGCTCTCTCTCAGTCTCAGTCTCCCTGTGTGGTGTACACGTGGCTCTCTCTCAGTCTCAGTCTCCCTGTGTGGTGTACACGTGGCTCTCTCTCAGTCTCCCTGTGTGGTGTACACGTGGCTCTCTCTCAGTCTCCCTGTGCGATGTCCACGTGGCTCCCTGTGCTAGATGAAGCTAGTTGTAGATGAAGCCAGTTAGTTGCAAGCTCGTTGTAAATTACTGGCGAAACGTCGTACTCAGATTGTAAATGTTGTGGCTTGGCTCTCCAACACACCGGTTAGTGCTGTACTAGTGACGAATTGGCCACGTTCTGTTTACGTGACAACCCTCACTAGTTCGCTGTGTCAGGTGGTGGCGTGTTGTAACGACACATTTATATATTTACGCGATATAACCCAAAGACCTCTATTATGGATGATATTGGTCGCGAAAGCCTCCTACGTGTGAAACTAATAATCATGTTGATCCAGCCAAACACACCACACTTAGACATACGGTGGAAGCGCATGCCGGCCACATGGAACTTAGTCCATGGTGTTCTCGTGTTTTTGTTTGCAATTGTGAGTTCCTCACACATTTCAGCCTGGGTCAATTCCTCGTAGATTTCAGGCAGCCAGCCTAAACATGTTAAGCTAGCATAGCTGCATACCAGGTGAGATAGTTAACTATTAAAACAAAACTATTTTTTTTATTATACGAAGATAGGGGCCATCCATTGAGTAGGTACGCAAAAATCTGTCAAAACTTAACCCCTCCACCCCTCCCTGTACGCACGCGGACTTTTTACACCTCCCCCCAACCTGCGTACGTTCGCCTGACACCCCCCCCCCCCCCCGAATCCTATAGAACGGCCGATATTTAATCCACGCAGAAACGATCAAGGATTAATAATATGAACGTGTTTAAGCAAACAGATAGTCCACCGCCGGACTATCTAACTCATTTGAAGGCAAATGTAGACAAATTATTATCGAGGCTTCACCTCCCCCCCCACCCGTTTCCTATGCGTACATTGTAAGTACACCCCCCCCCCCCCATACGCACGCATACGCATTTGGGTTAACCCCCCCCTCCCCCCTCCATGCGTACGTACTCAATGTATGGCCTCCTTAAGCCCCACGGAGCTATGTAGCTCTTTTTCAGAAGCGACCTTGCTATCAATAAATGATAGCTCAACGAAGTGGCTCATCATCACGTGGACATTTATAGCAGGCAAATACTCTAAAGGCGTGTTTCTAAATGTGGGGGGAAAACCGGAGGACCCCGATAAATCAGGGCCTCAAGGGGAGAACATGCAGTAGGCGTCAGGATCGGGATCGAATCCACGACCTCCTGTATACCAGGCGAGGTAGTTAACATCTCACCACCGTGGCGTCCCTGCCAAATCGTCCAGGTGTGGGTTTTTTATTTTTTTCTCGCAGAGAGATTTAATTTCCACGTAATAAGTGTTTTTTTTGCTTTTATATTTTTTTAAGAATGAAGTATAACGATTTCTCCTGGCCTTTGTTTCAGGTCAGCCGCACTTCCCAAGATTTGGATGAAGATGGGACTCCTCCGCACACTGTCCTGGGTACTCACACGGCTTAGAAAATCAAAATACTCGGGACCACTGCGTCACTCTTACAATGCGTTTTTTTGGAGGGGAGAACAAATACGTACATGTGAGTCTATTGATAATGACTTTATTTTTATAGTTGGTACAGTCAGTAAAGTCTGTCCAATGGCAGTGTGATTTTAAGACATCTGATATGGCATCTAGCACTTCATAAGTGGACTGCTCCTGTAAATATTACAAATAAAAACCTGGAAAATAAATTCACCAACTTGGCATTCGTGGCCATATCGAGCATGTTAGAAGAGCTGTCGCAAGTTGATTGTTGCGTGGTGACATATCTGAATAAAATCCTTTGAACGTCCGGTTGACGTGTTAAGAACAATTACAACAAAATTAACTTGTTTTTTTTCTTTCTTTCTTACGTAGATATATTTTCATTTGAAAATGTGTCGGGCATGGCTGACTGCAAACGTCTTAATAAAGCATTGCAAGTGCAACACAAGTTTGAAATTGGAAACCTCAAGCTTCGACTGTCCCAAGAAGGGTATTATTGCAGCTTTCATCAGGGGAATGAACAATATATAAAGTAACAATAAATAATGTGTTTGTATAGTGGCCCCTGTTTAAAAAAAAATTGTCTTATTAAAGAATATACTTGGCTTGAGAATGAAATTGCCTCTGATGATGCCAATGGTGATGCCAATGACGTTGATGATTATCTCCGCCGCCTGCGTTTTGGGATTACCTTCACTTGCGAGTTTATCCAAGATCAATGTGATTGGCCATCGATGCCTTAATAGGCAAACAAACGGAGCACATTTGTCAACAGCACTGCCTTTAAAGAAGACGCAAATAATAAAATGTCTCGATAAATACATGTGTACCATCTCAAAAGGCAGTGACCAGGTCGAGTGGAGGAGGCATCCGAGAATGGTGACCTGATTAAGGATGTCCCGCTGCCTGCCGTGTGGAGCAGCCACAGCTGATGTTAGGATGAGGAAATCTCTTGACAGTGCCAATGCCCTCTCCTCGTTGCGCTCGCAATGCTCCTCGCAACCAATCGGCGCTTGTTTGTAAACACACGTGTACATGTGGTTTAAACAAAAAAAAACAACCCTACCACAAGCCCATGCGTTCATTGCCATTTTAAGGATCGAGAGTTGATGATGTGTTGTCTCTCTCTCTGTTGACCAAGCAGGCATAGGCAGAGTTTGACTTCTATAGTTGGGGGGGGGGGGGCACCGCCCGTGCCCCCCCCTCCCCTCCAAACTCCGCCCTAGCAAACAGACAGACCGCATCGCGACGTGATGCTGCACTCCCGCTACTTTTCATTTTACTGCAATGTTCAGACTTTGCCCAGGCAACGTCCACCATAAAAGCTCAAGAAACGTTTTGTTAAAAAAAAAAAAATCTGTTTTTTATTCGTGTCACGGAGCGTAAAGCGGGGTTATTCCACGCCAAACCAATCAAAAACGAGGGTTAAATTGACCTCGTCTTCATAGATGTATTTTTGTGATACTTGAGTCTGAGTTTTGTGTGTTGGTGGCAGGGTTACCACCCAAACGTGAGGGCAATCTGACCTCCTTGTTCCCCAGATACAGGCCATCATCAATGTTTCACCTGTGCAACTTCGCTCGATGGCCTCGTAGGCATTGTAAACCTACCTGGCGGTTCACATAGTCTGGTGTCATTTTTGCATGAAGCTGTGTGAGGAACGAGGATCATAACTCCCAAAGTAATGGAGTGTCACATTTTAAAACTTAAGAGAGATTATTGCCATGTGGTATACGCTATGTTTGCATTTTGAAGAAAATCTGAGATAGTCTTTTGAGCACATTTTTGCCTACCATTCTCTTTGTTGTTGATAGAATGAGAATGATGCATATATGATGAACTTCTTTCGCACAGTACGTAGCCAACCGCGATAATCGGAGGTGCGATAATGCTAAACATAGCGACGGATCAACAGCTTTAAAAGGACACCAGACTCACTTGACTTAATCAACCATGAGGGAAGATACAATCCATGCAAGGTCACCAAGTTGCTTTTGTGAGGTCAAGTTTCCGTGACCTATATCTGGGGAACGGCAGTTCGGATTGACCTAACGTATGGGTCGTAGCCTTCTTTGCCAGATCCAAAGCTGCCCACTATATTAAACCAAAATTGGGGTTTTGGTCAAATATATATTCTTGATTAATTTTGCACGGAATAACCCAACAGAGAGAAGACAAAGCTCACGATAGCGGGAAGGATACTGTGCATCTCAAAAATGTAAACAATTCAGAAATGTAATCGTATGCTGATATGACCTTTAAAGTTATTAAAACGGCGAGAATAAATACGGTTAACTTCTGAAACGAATAAAGGCAAAGCATCCGTTGTCATGTACGGGGACCGTATGAGTCCACAATATTTGTGCTGCGATGGCCCAAAAATCCATGCCCAGGGGCATGGGTTTGAATCCACAGTTTGCTGTCCAGCAAATTGATGTGAACTGGTGATGGGGCAATCACAAGGGATGTTACGGAACGAAAATAAAAAAAACCCGCATGTGATTGTGAAAATTGTGATTAATTTGCTTGCTTTCAGATTATACGTTATTAAAAGGCATGTGACAATTCGTGCATTTGTAGATTAAACGTTGATTATTACGCTTACAATAGATCGAATCATGTGCATCAGAAATGATTGTTCCCGATTCGCGCCAATTAAATGTTGCATTTCAGCCAATTACGTGAATAACACTTTGTAAACAAGGCAATGTATACAATATGCAAATGAGACATAGGCGGATTTTAAAACGTCCCAAGATTGGGGTCAAAGGATTGGGGAGGGAGGGGGTCCCAAAATTCTCAAGCTTTTTAAATCGGGCCTTACAAATAAACTTAACATTTTATAACTGTTTTTTAAAACAGGTAAAGCCCACTGAACTCTTAGCTCTTTTTCAGAGGCGACATGGCCACGTGATGATAGCTCATCATCGAAGTCGTTTATACATCATTATCAACACACGTGGGACATTTATAGCAGGAGGAGCTAAATCATCTCCACGAGCTTTGTTAATATAAATGCGGATGGAGTCGGGCCAAAAACGGAGGAACACGGAGGTGAAAAAATCCACGTGACCACCACGTGGGGAGAGAGAGAGCACACGCGGACTCCAAATATACAACAGCAGGCATCGCCAGGGTCCGGGATCGAACCCACGGCCCCCCTTGCATAGCAGGCTAGGGAGATAACATCACCTCGTCACTGAGGCGCCAACAATAATAATAATACAACATTCAACGTCTTTATTCTGGTAAGCATCAACATAATACCAGTGTTTGGGGTCTCCCACCGCCCTCCCCCACAGCAATTAGGGGCCGTCCATAAATGACGTCACGCACCTGGGGGGGGGGGGGGGGGTTGAGAAATGTGACGTCACATCAAAATGCGCAACGTTAAATAAATAAAGACAACACGTTCTACTTAATTAAATAGACTTTTTAATAAATGTTTTCTCCTACAACATCAGAGTGCAGCGTCACATTAAATACGCACTACAATGACAATAGTTTAAAGCGATTTGAAGCATGTTTTATTTGGAGGGGGGGGGGGGTGCAGAGCTTTGTGACGTCATATTTGAGGGGGGGGTCTGACTTTTTGTGACGCGGTGACGAGGGGGGGGGGTCAAAAATCGTCCAAAATCGCGTGACGTCATTTATGGACGGCCCCTTAGATCAGCGTAGTAGTAGTAAATCGTGATGGGCCAAGTTCCATTGTGCACCCACTTCTTCAAGGCTTTGCTCTGTAGATCAGCGGTGACCGCCCGCCTGCCCCCCCCCACCCCACCGGTTGGGAGGTTGAGGTTAGGGGTCAAGTTCACAGCGCCTGGGCCACTTTACAAAGACGGCTTGCGGCCACGCGCGCGCCCTGGAAGCACGCCGCCTGCCTAGACCCCCTCCTACCCACCCCAGAAAGGCAAAGCCACGAGGCTTGCGAGCGGTGGCGATGCGTGACCGACAGTCGACGTTCACAGCCGTAAGTCACGGGGGGCACGCGCGCACCGCACCTCCGGTGAGCACGTTTGGCTGCGTACGGTGCAAAAGAAGTTCAACGCACATACACTACTGTAACACTACACTGTGCACTACGCTATACACTACCGTATACTGCACTATACACTACGTGATACAATACCGCACACTACACTATACTAGATTGAAAACCAATTTCTTGAAAACTACTTTTTTTTTAGTTTGTTGTCCTTCCCCCGCACCTCCGATAAGCACGGGCGACTACGTACGGTGCGAAAGAAGTTCAACGTACTTACGTCCATCTCGGGGAGAAATGGTCTCGCCTCGTGCACGGCGAGGCTCGCGCGAAAGCTGGCTGGCGGACAGAGATTCGAGGAAAGTCGGAGATTCGTTATTCTGTAATGGACCTCGCGAAATTGGTCACCTGACACGTTGTAATACCTGGAGAGCAGAAACCGTGACCGTATTATTCACGAACTTGCCGTCCGCGATTTTGGCCATCGGCGAATCACATCTGCAACTCCGCACGACTGCTGCATCGAGAGAGAGAAAGTGACGAGATAAAGTGGTGAGAGATAAAGTGATGAGATAAAATTGCACGAAATAAAGTGATGAGAGTGATGAAAGAGAATGTGATGAATAAGAAAGTGATGTGAGATGTGAAAGTAACGAGAGATAAAGTGATGGGATAAAGTGGAGAGATGAAGTGAGGAGACAAAGAGATGAGAGATAGATAACTTTAGAAACATCTGCAGACGTTGAACGTACGATATAGAATTTATTTACGTATTTAATGCAATTCATTACAAGGTTATCGTCGGCCAATATCATTATCCTCGAAATTTGCCTATTCACGAGCATCTCCGGAACGTATCCCTCGCGAATAACGAGGGAATGCTGTATACATCGGCGATTGCGGTCAATAAACCCTCTACAATTCATTCGGATGCGTACGGGTTAAGGCAAGAGACTGGTCAGGAGGTTCAGAAGCAGCATGCGACATTCGCCCGAGTACAAGGTGTTACCCTTCTTTAGCTGCACGCACCATTTGTGGGTTTACCCACGCAACGTACACCTTGGAACAAGCCATCCAAAACACTTCACACCTTGGCGAATTGTGCGCTACCGTCGCTCGTCAACGGAGACGTTGCTTCAATTTTGCTGAAAATTAAAACGACAAAGAAAATGACCATTGGCATTGGCCAAGATTAGAATCTGGCGTTTTTAAATTTGATGCGCAGCTCACAATTATGTGGAATCCACTAATCTACATTTACTGTGTATCGTCATGGCACAGCGAAGAGCATAGGTCGTGCACTGGCCAGCAATCCCAGTCCAGTCACGGCACCTGGGTCTGTCCCGTACCCTAGGACACCACAGTGGCGAGACGTTAACTCCCTCGCCCGGTATACAGGAGTGTGTGGGTTCGATCCCAACTCTGACGCCTATGTATTTGGAGTTTGCGTGTCTCTTCCCCGTGGTTGCGTGGATTTTTCTCCGGATCCTCCGGTTTTCCCCTCCACATTTAGAATCAACACGCATTTAGTATGTTAGGATGCTATACATTTCCACATGATAAGCCACGTCGTTGAGCTATCATTTGTGACCAGGTCGCTTCTTAATAGCTGCATAGCTCAGTGGGCTTTAGCTGGTAAAATAGTTTAGTTAGTATCTGTCAGCAGTGAGCATTCCACACTGGGTTTTAAGGCGCACCTAGCCTTGGCACAATCTTCGTAGGGACGTTGCCGCCCCTGAGAAGAGGATTGATGACTGATGATCATGGTGATTATCAAGAGTAATCAATCCTCACAATACACTGACGGAGCTTTTAACAACCCAAACACTGGACTTGTCACAAGTGTTATTGGCACACTACAAATATGCGGTTAGTGTCAAAGTTGGTATACGCTTTGCTGAAAGTTCACGAATACTGAGCACAGCTTGACAATAAGAACGTGCTCAGCTACTGTTTGCCAGCCCTGGGCAATTTGCGGAAATTCCATTTTCCCATGGCCAGCCTATCCGAAGGACAATCACTGTTGACTTCGCCACAACGTGTTGCTTATTTTATCAACCCGAGAGGGATGATGATGGCGTTCTCGATTATCCACTTAACCAGGATTGCGAGCCCCCCACCCTCCCGCCGGGCTGCCTGGGGTGGGGGGCATCGTAGACCCCCCCCCCCACCCACCGATGGACCTGGGTGGTTAAATTATGCCGGGTCCCAGAAATTGAAGCAACAGAGCAGAGTCATTGAAGGTTTACGTGACCAGGGGACCACACTCTTCACGCAAGACTGGCAAAGAATACAGAAGAATGGCACAGAGGTACGTATTTACCACAACACTGCACACATCCCGGCCAGTGCTAATTTACCATGACCATACTTCACCACGCTCGTCAATGGGGGGGGGGGGGATGTTCGAGCCGAGTACAGAGATAGAGGGCGGTGAGGATGGCACCATGGTCTGGGCCACCAAGAGATCTAAGCTACAAAATAAATCGGCAGATATTACATCTACTTCACAGATCACACACATGGCAGGACAGCATATCGTTTTAATGCTACAAATAGCACTCCCATCACAAAAAATTATAGCCACATGCTGTTTAGGCATTTTGCTTCTTCCATCAGAGGGCTTTTGGGTTACATCGCGTAAATGTGTTGTTAAACCCGCCACCACCCGACACAGGCAATTAGTAAGGTTCGTCACGTAAAGAAAACGTGCCACTTCCTTACTCGTACAGCACACCGGTGTGTTGGAGAGTAAACCCACAAAATGTACAATTTGAGCATTGGATTTACTGTCCAACACAGCGGTGTTGCTATATTAATAAATAATTGCAATGTTTTGTATACATGACAAAGCTTACAAATTGGCTGTGTCGGGTGCTGATGGGTTTTAACGACACATTATATATTTACGCGAACCACAAAAAAAAACCTAGATTATGGACGATATTGGTCGCGAAAGCCCACATACTTGTTAAATGTTGCTTCCCTAATTCACAACACGAATTATTTCACTGCGTAAATCCCAATTGCGTTAAAGGGCAGATCATGTTTAAAATCGGTGCACGCGACGTCCATCGCATCACTTCCAAAGCTCCCCGTGGTGACGAGGGCTCGTGCCGGTCCCGGTCGTAAGCACAACGCGGTGAAATTTGGTTTGGATTTATTGTACAGTGAACGCAACAACGTTCTTTATTTCACAGTGAGCGTCCCAAAAACAAATAACATTCTTAGTTTAGAAAGGGATACCTAGAAAGCCATTAATAAAACTTAATTTGTGCAAATTTTGGGAGAACGTGAGAATGTTTATGAACTCTATCCACAGAAAATAATATAGTCCAACGGCCTTACAATCTGCTTTCTAGATCAACACGTCTCAGCAGCATTTTGCCTAAGCAGGGAAAACTCTAGTCAGTTTGTATATATTCTGATTCTCATCAACAGTTAGGTTTGTTCAATAAATGCTGCTGGATTGGCCAGGTTTTTTGATGCAGCAGCCTATAACGTCTGCTACATAATTTGGCAATTTCTGCTGCAAAGCATTGGGTCCTGAGGGCCTACAAGCCAGTGACTAAAAGTTTCTTCAAAGTGAACGGATTCCTATCTGCTTATTACTAAAAAGCATGTTGGAATATGGAAACTGTTTTTTTCATATAACTAATTTAGTTGCGAGGTATCGTTCAGATGCGATTCTTGGAATGACATTCCACGTGCTCTTTTAATGTCCAACTTGAAAGCAGGCAATGTGCATTGATAATTTCACTCGTAAATTATGATCAGTCGTCCGAATTAAGCAAACGCCAGGCTCTGATGCAAATGTTTTCAGGTGGTGGCAGGTACCAAGGAAAGGAAATTGAAAAATGTTATTAAAAAATTACATAATTCAGCACATGCCATACCTTCGATTGTTGAAACGTAGCATGTCATGCCAATGTAATTGCTGTAACAGTGAACTATTACACCAAAAGCAAATATACATGTTTTAATTCAGCAGTAATTACCTTAGCACAATGCAATGGAGGAAATTTTAAGATACAGGAATGTGAGTATAGTCTCGTAAAATTACTTACAAATAGTACTAAACCACAAGTATTACACTGAGTTACACAATCCAGTTCGAATGCCCAAAGTATTGGCAAAGCACGCTTTGCCAATACTTTTCTAAACGTTAATTCCGTGTTAATCTGGTAATAGCGATTGTGGATTATATAGGGTTACTTTTCCTTATTTTATTTCAATTACGAGCGATCAACAAAAAAAGCATTCATCCTGATAATCGAGTGATAAATGGTCACCCTAACAGCTTAGCTTAATCCTGATCATCTGATTCAATTTGAGAGGGGGGGGGGGGAATCATTAACGTTCATTGAAAGAACAGCCTGCAAATTATTTTAGATTAGTTTTCTCGCAGCTATTTGTAACGCTTTAAAATTAGTTTTTAATAAATTCATGCAATTGTCAATGTATCCGCCGCTTGACGCGCGAGTCAAATACACACTGCTCATCTAAAAATACGGTGACGTATAGACTACATGGCAAAACCAACTCCACGACACTTTCTGTAAAAATGGCGAGAAACTCGTTAAGACAAAGAGACAATGTGTGGTGCAGGCTGGAAACAAGAGTAATGTTACGTGCACGAGGTGTGATTTTACAGGCAGAACAAAAACATTCACAATAAAACATGGACAAAAAAACATTTCCATTACGATAAGATACCAAAGTAACGAGAACCACGCACGAGAGGACACGCACTCTGGCAAAGGTCCTGCTGACGGCAGCATCCAAATTACCTTCAATTTTGAAATGTGCGAGTCCGACTAATCAACCGCGTACTTTATTTTTTGCAAAAACAAAACAGCAAACGGGATGATGCACGACAACAGCTCGGTATATACGAGTGAAATTATTTTCGACGTGAACGCTGTAATGCGAAGGGGGTTTTTCAATCTATTTGGGACAAATTTCAATACTACAGCATACAAACTGGCCATGCCTTGCGCTTGGGACTCTGTGGCGATTCTTCACGTGGGCCCGATTCTGAATATCTAACGGGAAAAGCTCGTTCCACACGAGCTTTGGGTCCCCCATCGGTGATGCACGTTGCAACACCGGAGAATCGTTCAGGCCGTTTGAGGTTCAGGACAACGTGCGCACGCCCGCCGCTGTTATTGCACACACTCCGGCACCCGTCGCCCCCCCCCCCCCCCCCCCCCCCCCCCCCCCCCCCCCGCCCGTAATGATCGTCGGCCTCTCATCGCTGCGACTCGGTCGAAGTCAAAAAGAGCCTCCCGTGCCTGTCGAAGACCCGCCGCTCCCCGGCGTGCGTGCCGCACTCCCATGCCCTGGCCAGCTCCGCGCGGTCGTCCTTGCCCAGCGCCGCGCTGCACAGGCGCAGCTCCCCCAGGAGGCCCGCGGCCTCGTCCAGCTCTCGCAGACGCCCCCCGAGCGGCCCGGCCACGTGGCACCCTGGGGGCGCGGCCAGAGAAGACAGCGGAAGCGGCGGCGGCAGTGGCGCAGCGACGACGATGAGCGACAACGCACGCGGGGCACGAGGGCGGCGAACGATGGCCCCCCGCGCAACCCGTGTCGTGATCAGACTCGCGGGAATAATGATCACAATTTGTATTTCGTGAGGCGCATTTCACCCTGGGGCACGGCCAGAGGCGACAGCAGAAGCGGTGCAGGCAGCGACGATGAGCAACAACGCACGCGGGGCCCGAGGGCGGCGAACGATGGCCCCCATCGCAACCCGTGTCGTGATCAGACTCGCGGGAATAATGTTCACAATCATAATGATTTGCATTTGTCGAGCGGCGCATTTCATCCATTTCAGAACCCAATGTGCCACCGTGTATGGAAATCCGAGAAATATAGAGAATCAGGGTAAATGGGCACAACTAGCGGGGAGGTGAAGGCCAGTTTAAAGAGATACCAGTAAGTTTGCAAGACAGATATGTAACGATTCTGATTTGTCTGATGAGCAAAGGGTTCCCAAGCTCGGGAGCTGCACCGGCAAAAAGCCCCCCACCACCCCAGGGAATGAGTCTTGACCTCAGGGTACTCAGAAGAAGGCGAATCGGAAGATCTCAGGGACCCCGTTGGAGTGTATAAATGGATCCGTTCCTGCAAATATTGTGGGGTTAAACCATCGAGTGCCTTGTGTAATTTTCCAAATGACAAGTCCACTGAAATTAAGAGGCAACAAATCACGTCGCTTGCAAAAGTTAACAGAAAATCGGTGAGAGTGTTCAAGGCACTGCAAGGTAGGTTTTAGCCGTTACGCTGTTTATAACTTCTTCGGGAACCGAATCAGTTCCTTGCGATCGCGAAAAAACATCAGAGCAATAAAGTACCAAGGCCTTACCCCTTAATAATACTCACCATTGGTTTCAGATATAATTATGTCAATTGAAACTTGTAAGTGGAACAAGCGGATAGAAAAGTGACATTTCAACTTGCGATTGTTTAACACAATTGAAATACTGTATCTCAATAAAGTAATTACATATTACCTGTATCTCATATTCAGTTGTCGGAAAAATGACACTCAATAATGTCCCGGCCGCTTTAATACAAGAAGGCAAATGTTTGGACAGTGTGAAAATATAATATGACCTAAGCCCAGTTTGTATCTTCGTAAGATTACATTTAATTGACGGGCAGCAACACCGTGCATAATGCGGCGTGGAAAATGTGACAAGGTGTGTTAAAACTGGATGATTAAATATTGACGTTGCATTAGTGCGGTTCTTCCTTCCACGTGGCCGCATGAGAAACACGATGAAGGCCTGCTTAACTCGAATGCCCATCAAACCCCACGATATCGCTTGAAATATTTGGAAAATCTTGATGTGGGTCTTTTTTTCCCCTTACCAATCACAGACTGTATGAAAACGTGAACAAATTACGAAAATTTTCGTCTCAATTTGGAGACGCGGTTACACACTTTCGTTGCAAATTTGGGCCAATTTCGCCCTCTCTCGTAATTCGGATGCTCTCATTAAATCGGTTTGCGCTCAACAGAGGCGGCGTTATATACCAAGCTCACAACGCCGTACGGAGAGGGCTAAAGGCAAAAAACCACGCGACACAACCTTCAAACCGATCAAAATGTGACTGTTGCACAAAAACCACGGTCACCACGGTTTGTGGAAAATATCTCCCGCATTGAGTATAACCGTGCCCATCGGTCTCGCACGTAAACTATTGCTACTCTTTCCCGCAGCCGACCCCGATCGTCGGGATGCCCCTCAAGATGACTCCACCTCGACACCAGCAGCCTTGGGGACTCATGGAGTTCTTATTCCGGGTAGCGATGCGCTCTGGGGGTCCACACTTTAAAAAGTCGTCTTGAAAAAAAAAGCGTACGTTTGAGCAAAAAGAAATAGAAACAATGTTGTGGATAGTACTACTGTTTCATCTTAAAAGTGCACATTGCAGAGAGCAAAAATATTTTCTTTGACTAAACAGTGGGGATGATAAACGATTCAAATGTTTTCAGATTGCCAGATGTACTTGGAATATGTATAGCTGAAGGGTACATTAAGTGCGTAAATGCAATAAGTATCGGTCTCAGGAGTGTGTTTACTGGTCTAAACCAAGTGTATTTCAAGTATAAAATGCCTCTTATCCATCATTTTATTTGCTCACAAATCTAGTTGCTCGCAGGGACCAAAACTGCCTCGATTTGTTAATCGCAGATTCCTATAGATTTACTAATACGTTTTGGGACTGACAAAACATCATCAGAATTGGAGGAATCTGATGAGCAATGAAGCTCTTTTTCACAGATGTCCAGTAGGGGCGGGTCAGAAAGTTACACCAACAAACAATACAAAAAAAATACAGGAGTGCAAAGTATGGGAAAGGTAAACAAATCACTAAAAATATATTTAAAAAATGTATATAAAATGTTTTATAAATAAATTATTTTATTTTCTAAACTAAATTATTTTACAAAAATATTATTTCTATTTTATCAGGTAAAGCAAACTGAGCTATTACAGTGAGGGAAAAAAAGTATTTGATCCCCTGCTGATTTTGTATGTTTGCCCACTGACAAAGAAATGATCAGTCTATAATTTTAATGGTAGGTTTATTTGAACAGTGAGAGACAGAATAATAACAAAAATCCAGAAAAACGCATGTCAAAAATGGTATAAATTGATTTGCATTTTAATGAGGGAAATAAGTATTTGACCCCTCTGCAAAATATGACATAGTACTTGGTGGCAAAACCCTTGTTGGCAATCACAGAGGTCAGACGTTTCTTGTAGTTGGCCACCAGGTTTGCACACATCTCAGGAGGGTTTTGTCCTACTCCTCTTTGCAGATCTTCTCCAAGTCATTAAGGTTTCGAGGCTGACGTTTGGCAACTCGAACCTTCAGCTCCCTCCACAGATTGTCTATGGGATTAAGGTCTGGAGACTGGCTAGGCCACTTAAGGACCTTAATGTGCTTCTTCTTGAGCCACTCCTTTGTTGCCTTGGCCGTGTGTTTTGGGTCATTGTCATGCTGGAATACCCATCCACGACCCATTTTCATTGCCCTGGCTGAGGGAAGGAGGTTCTCACTCAAGATTTGACGGTACATGGCCCCGTCCATCGTCCCTTTGATGCGGTGAAGTTGTCCTGTCCCCTTAGCAGAAAAACACCCCCAAAGCATAATGTTTCCACCTCCATGTTTGACGGTAGGGATGGTGTTCTTGGGGTCATAGGCAGCATTCCTACTCCTCCAAACACGGCGAGTTGAGTTGATTCCAAAGAGCTCCATTTTGGTCTCATCTGACCACAACACTTTCCCCCAGTTGTCCTCTGAATCATTCAGATGTTCATTGGCAAACTTCAGACGGACATGTATATGTGCTTTCTTGAGCAGGGGGACCTTGCGGGGGCTGCAGGATTTCAGTCCTTCACGGCGTAGTGTGTTACCAATTGTTTTCTTGGTGACTATGGTCCCAGCTGCCTTGAGATCATTGACAAGATCCTCCCGTGTAGTTCTGGGCTGATTCCTCACCGTTCTCATGATCATTGCAACTTCACGAGGTGAGATCTTGCATGGAGCCCCAGGCCGAGGGAGATTGACAGTTCTTTTGTGTTTCTTCCATTTGCGAATAATCGCACCAACTGTTGTCACCTTCTCACCAAGCTGCTTGGCAATGGTCTTGTAGCCCATTCCAGCTTTGCGTAGGTCTACAATCTTGTCCCTGACATCCTTGGAGAGTTCTTTGGTCGTGGCCATGGTGGAGAGTTTGGAATCTAATTGACTGATTGCTTCTGTGGACAGGTGTCTTTTATACAGGTAACAAGCTGAGATTAGGAGCACTCCCTTTAAGAGTGTGCTCCTAATCTCAGCTCGTTACCTGTATAAAAGACACCTGGGAGCCAGAAATCTTTCTGATTCAGAGGGGGTCAAATACTTATTTTCCTCATTAAAATGCAAATCAATTTCTAACATTTTTGACATGCGTTTTTCTGGATTTTGTTGTTGTTATTCTGTCTCGCACTGTAGCTTATTTTTCAGAAGCGACCTGACCGCAAATGATAGCTCAACGAAGTGGCCAATTGCGTAACGAAGTGGCTTATCACGTGATAATAATACTAAGGGACTACATCGACCACAGGGTAAACAAGCAAAACAAAACGATGAATCATCATTCCAAAAAGTCACCGTGACCATGGCGCTTATCTCATGTTTACAGCGCTGAGCCAGTGGTGGAAATTCCCCATTCTGATGGTGGGGTCTGAGTCCATCCAAAGGAGAACAACTGTTGACTTCCACCCCCCCAGTTACATCGCCTGTGGGGTCACGTGTGGAAGATAAAAAGCTCACGGAGCCACTGTACATTGCTGGTCATCAATAGGGTATCTCCTGTGTAGAGCCCAGACGTCGCTGCAATAAGGATGGAGGCGATGCTCTCCGGGCACAAAACACGGCTTGAATTTCTTGCAATGCATGAGGAGTGCCTTATATTAAAATGTTCTCTCATTCATTCCCATATCCGCCCACGTTTTGATAACAGAAGCTAATTTCCACTGAAAAGAGTATTTATTTATGAATGGGGGGGGGGGGAGAAGGAAAGAAACCTATTTCAGCATTTTCTCATCAATTTGTAATTAAAAATAAACACAAACTCTTGAGCGTTTTGTCTCAAAAAGCAATGCCCCCCTATTTGCCAATTCCTCTTGTCAGACAATCCCGACGTCAAAACTGCCCGAATTTTTTTGTTTTCAACAAAAATCAATTCATGTCCGCCATCTAAACCGGGGGGGGGGGGGGTGTCACGTACTTACATTTTTCGGCCAAATTGAGCCACGTCCTGTAAAAAATGTGCCCTTTGTAACGTGGCTTTATTTCTGAACCTCGAAAAGCTTTGTCAATGTATGCAATTGTGCACAAAGAGGTTTTGTCAAAACACAAACATGGAATTGAAACACAGAATCAGAATATTTATACTGGAGGAATCCGATGAGCTATGAAGCTCTTTTTCACAGATGTCCAGGTATGGCATCGCCCAGGAAATGGCTCACGTTACATAACTAAGGTCACGCAATTGTGAGCCAACGTTCTTGGTTTTGTGATAAAGATCTGTAGTCCAGATTGATAAGCTAATCCATACTCTCAGGTTCTTTCTAGCTAATCCAATTTAATCCGTTTATGTTACAGTTTTGCTCACGATGCAATATCTGCCGAAACGAAAAACTGTTCACGTCAACTCGAAATCATGCAAAGTCCACTGTGCTCAGATGCTCCAGTGTTCGAGGCACCACACTCTAAAGGCAGGGTTTCAAGTTGATTTAGTTTGACCGGGTGAGAAATCAAGAGACCAGCACAAGCCTCGTTTTCAAGGGTGACCTGGGGCATTCGTCTGACAGTAAAGGGGAGGGGGGGGGGGCGATGATTTCTGCGCATAATCCCAATATAAACATTCGCGGGTGAATTCTGCATTGGGAAGATGTGGACACTGACGCCGGCACACTATGGCCTGCTCTTGTGAATGACGTCACGGGGATATTTTCAACGTCCACTGTGAAGCTGACGCCGTGTAGAACAGTCACGGCTGTTACACACGCGCAGTATTAACCAGGGCAGCCGCCAAAATTCGCACCGTGAAACTCTGCGATTTAGCAGCGAAGACGCTACTGTTAGGCCGCGTCAACCACCCTTGATCTCGAGCAATGACATAACGTAAGTTGTAATGATACGTCAATTCGCTGATAAATACTGAGACTTAAGCTCAAGACACTGGCAACGAATCACGTAGCAAAAATCGATGGCAATTGATTTGTGTCACATTGCCCCTACAGATACTAAAGGGCATAACAATTCACCACAACGTAAAAAAAACAATCTACTGATGTCAATCAATCGTTGTGCTCAAGGACTGTTGCAAAAACACCAGAGCCTACTATATAATTGTCTGTTGTAAAGTGGCATTCATGATTAAAGTTGTTATTTTATTTTGTACAAAAAAATCCAATAATTATCCAACTGAATGTTTATCGTTGTCGAATGGGAGATTATTGTCCTATTTAAAAAAAAAAACGTAAGAGCTTGTGAATGAAATATATTTTAACAAAAACAGTAAAGTTAGAAGAAAAAATTACGTGTACAGCACCTATTAAATTAACCAGTGATGTGATGAGATAAAAAATTAGCAATTTACTGAATATAATGGCAGAAATACAAAAATTACATCCATCAAATAGGCTAAGCAACAACACGAACACAAAAATTACTACTTCTGAAATAAAAAAACATTTCCAGCGTATATGCGACACCTACAATTCTCATTCGCTTCCTTTAATCTTCCAACCTCTACGGACGTACTATCCGATGATAAAAAAAAACATTTTTTAGAACCGCATTGATTGTCATCAACTTGACTGCACAGCGCGTGGCTATTTCACTGACAGTAAATTAAAGGCACGCAAATGTTATGTGTGTGCATGCGCGTGTTCCCCTACGTGCGTGTGACTTTTAATAAAGTGACGCGTGTTTGCACATGATGATTTGTGTCGGTGTCCGTGAATACAGAGTTGTGCATTTACCCGTGTGTAAAAACCGGTCTCTGTACGAGGCTCGCATTTCGAGGGCCCGTTGTAAATTCAGTTTCTAAGAATGCACGGGATTCCGTGAGTCGGTGCTGTCAATAAAAAAACATAGATTCCTGCTATATTCTCAACCGATACGGAGTCTCCCTGTAATTATTTAATTATAATGTCATGCCAACGTGATGACCAATCACGGCAGAGCATATACTAAAACTAAATTAAAAAACTTTACAAATGTTATTTTATCTTACCACGTAAGACCCACTGAGCTACATAGCTCTTTTTCACAAATGATTGCCCAACGAAGTGGCTTAATCGAGTGGATATTCATAGCAGCCAATTGCCCTAACAGCATCTTTGAAAATGTGGAGGGAAAAGCCGGAGAACCCGGAGAAAAATCCACGCTACCACGGGGAGAGACAACATGCCAAACTCCAAATGCACAGGCGTCAGCGTCGGGGTCGAACCCGTAACCCCCTGCATACCAGAGGTTAGTTCACATCTCGAAACTGTGGCACCCTCTATGCAGTCACGGCACAGCGGCTTCGCACGCAGTGTTATTAAACTCGTTCACGCAAGTTCAATCCCCTCTAATGGCTAAGGGCGACGGCGAGTGATCCATCTTCAACCGGCCCACGGGCACCTCCGTTGCCAGTCTGCTCTGACCGGCGTGGTGAATTATGGCCAAAACAACCGCCGTGACCAAAACACCTGGGGAGGCCTTCACCCAGTACGGGATTGTTAAATGGCTAGGCGGTGCAACGAACGGCCACTTGGCAGATCGGTGAATATTACCCCGCCACGAGTTAACTATTTGGTAAACCCACTAATTTCAAACGATTACGACACAAATTGCTCATATCTAAATAACTATATATGTCTTCTTTGGTTCTTTCGGTAAAGTCACGTAGAATGAGGATAAAATAATAAATTGATAAAATAAAATAACACAATAATATTCTCACGACGTTTCGGCCACAACACAAGCGGCCTTCATCAGGTGAAGGGACGAGACTGTCTGGTAGGACAGCGCTGTCCTACCAGACAGTCTCGTCCCTTCTGTCTGGTAGGACAGCGCTGTCCTACCAGACAGTCTCGTCCCTTCACCTGATGAAGGCCGCTTGTGTTGTGGCCGAAACGTCGTGAGAATTTTATTGTGTTATTTTATTATTTTATTCTCATTCTACGTGACTTTACCGAAAGAACCAAAGAAGATGAATCCTTGCAGTCACGAAAGCTTTAAATCGAAACTATATGTGTGTGTACGTCGGTAGACTAGTTTTGCGTGCATCTGCATACCGGTGAGGTTGAGGAATTCGAGCCCCTTAGCACGCTCACGTAACGCTCCCAGGAGGATGTCGAGCCCGCAGCAGGTGACGTCCGGGTTTCCAGACAGGTCCAGCCAGGTGAGAGACTTGTTCTGCACCAATGTCCTGTAGGGAATGGACCGAGGGTGAGTAAAAGTAAAAAAAAGCAACAGGGGCCAAACCACCTTACAGTCGCACAGCGCGCATTTGTACAGCGCCTAAACGTTGCCGCATCCCTGTACGGCTATCTCTCGTTTTACGCGGGGGTTGTGTCGTTGAATAATGGCGCGTAGCGCAAAAGACACGTACAGTAAGCATAATTTTCCCACAAAAAGTAAAGGTAATGGTTGGGGTTCGGGAGAGCAAGCTATCGAACCTCATTCTTACTTGATTTGGAACTTTGTGCCTATGTGTGTGTCTCTCTGTCTCTCTCTCTGCTTATGTGTCTGTCTGTGTGTCTGCGTGTCTGTGTTTTGTCTCTCTCTCAAATTTAGCAATCTTTGGAAGAACGTTAATCAACCAGGTAGAGTGTTGACTGTTATGTTAACCGACTCTCTGTGTTGTATTGCATTGTATTTCTAAGTTTACTCGGTTTGTTTTCTCTTTCATTTGTACCTGATGATGATTGCTTGTGTTGCAATCGAAACGTCGTATGCTATTATTTAATTTATGTTTTCTTTCTATGTGACTTTACCGAAGGAACCAAAGAGTAACCCATTCTTACGTCTACATATTTCACCGGTTACAGTACACATTATATTTACAATACTACCACACACGTATTAAAGATAGTAACAGCCTATTTGAAGGAAAAAAATGAAAAAAATTCAGCAAAAGAAAAATATTTCTAATGCGTAGGGAGATGTATATTGGGAAGACAAATGTGTGCACAAGACAAAGGTCACGTGGACAAGATCTTCAAAATGGTGTGCGAGAATGAGCAGCTGATGTTGTGGTTGTTGTACTGCTGCACCTCGGGCAGCATCGCGACTGAACTTTGTAGCCTGACTAACCTACATCAGTCACAGTATGCGCATCACAAAATTAATTGTAAATTAATCTATCGCGCTCTTTCTAAATCACGTTACTCCGCTGGTGAGCCAGCGGAGTTAAAATGGTGGGGGAGGGGAGAGGGCATTGAAAAGCAAAACCTCTTCTACAAATTAATATAAATATAATTTACATGTGTTATTATTTTATTAATGATCTATGGGGGGGCTGCTGCCATACCTGGCCTGCTCCCCCGGTCTCTGGGGGGCTGTTGCCATCTCCGGCCATTTTGCGGAGTAAAAAAGTTCAAATAAACGTCAGAGCCTTCATTGAAAAGATCAATTCGGAGGTAAGACTTCGGCTATGACACCAACAAACGTTTGCGCACGCAAACGACTTGGTTTTGAAACGGGCAAAAGCGCACGTTCTTAAGCAACGGTGAAAGAGCGAACATGTACAGCGACGCGCCAACGTTCCGCGGAGAAGGCTGGCGCCCAGGGCGCGAGAACTCGACATCTCTGTTTTTGCGAAATAATGTTGTAATTTTACGTTTTATAATTACATGGGGTACAAAACAACATTTTCAAATGGATATACGAAAACTCGTGGAAAGTAGGTTAAGTTATGCGACATTTTCAGAGGCTGCCAGGTGGCAAAGAGGTCATGGCGCTGAGCTGGCAATGCTGAGATCGTGGTTTCGAATCCAGGCAGCCACCCGCAATTAAACTGGGTTCTCGAGTGTTGTGAGTTGGAGGTCTCTGCCTGGTTACCAATGACCGTCCAATAAACCATCATTTAAAATGTTGTTCTGAAATTAATTTGGATACATTCCACCTCCGAGAACTACAATCAACTGTTTGGTCTTTTATGCGATAAACATTACTCTCGTGCAGTGAGGGTAGGTAAGTGATGATCCTAGGTGAGGACCAGACGTTAATTTCAAGGGATTTCAGAAGTGCTTCTTTGATATATGCTTCTGTGGGCCATTTTCTAATGTAGAAAGGGGAGGGGGGGTTGTACAGCTCTGCACGAGTTTCCAAGTGGATTCCCCGCCTTACAGAGTTAGACTGATAACTTTAATCTAAATTGTCTTATGGTTGTTATTGTTTGACTTGCATCCCACTGTGATTTTTGCACACAGCGTTGATATACGGTGCTTCTTCTGGAAGACTTTGCTGTTTTGTCCTGGATTCTTCTGCTGCGCGTAGTCACTTTAAGATGTTTTCTTGTTCACGTTTTTGTTTGTTGCGGTTGCACCCGATTCAAGAGCCGCATGGCTCACAGGGCTATACCTAATACATGAAACTGAACTGATGACATTACTTCGATGACGCAATCGTGATACGACTGGGGAAAAGACTGAAAAGACTTCCGTGTACAATTTTCACACACTGGCTAAAAAGACTCAATGGAGATAATTGCCACCCTTAACCAAGTTCACCAAGCTCTAAAACACTCAACATTTATATCGCCGATGAGTGAAGCTGATCTTCGCCTTGGTGTAATTTCAATGCCGAGTGGATCGGCCTTGAAATTGTCCACATTGCCGAGCCAATAGCCGAGAGAGATTCGTGTGTCCATATTAGCAAACAAACATCCTTCCCCTTTGTCAACAAAGTGTATTGTGGAGAAACCTGTCTGTACTTTTTTTGCTAGACATAAGCTTCCCTCTTGTTTATATATAATTTGTTGAGGAAGTCCATCATCAGCATCATCAACCGGAACGTACTTATAAGATTAATTAGAAACGCTACACGCGCATGTTAGTACTCTACATTAGCAAATACTTGACCTTTCTCGGAATATAATTGTCATCTTCACGTCTATCAAATTCACCCGTACACTCATCGTGTGCGCCATCGTCACTAAAAGCACTCCGCTCCCTTTGTATTGCGGAGGGAAGATGACGCCATACACAGTCACGGGTGTGCATGGATAACGCAGATGCGTTACCCATGGTGCCAAATGCCTAATGCCTTTTCTACGAATGCCTGAGAGCCCAAACGTTCGAACACGGGTGCTCGCAACGGCCGGCGCCAATGCGCCATAGCTTGCTTGGCAATGTGCTTCTTTTGTTTACAGACATCATGGAGGTCGCATTAAAATCGTACATTACCATCATTTAGAGCGTTGTAAGTGCATTGCAAGGCACAGGCACTGCCCCAAAAGTACACAGAAACGTTTACGAACGCAGCCACTGGTGCGCCATCACGAAACAAGATAATTACTAAATCCGGCAAAATGTTGGGATTGTGGTCTGGGGTATGGAGACCGAACGGATTTATTTATTTTAAATCTTGATTTGAAGCTTTCGTGACTGCAGGAATCCATGCTCTTAGATTCTTTCGGTAAAGTCACGTAGTGGGTATAAAATAAAATAAATCACGACGTTTCGGGCGCAACACAAGCGTCCATCATCAGGTGGGAAAGCATGGGCCTGCTGCTGATGCAGACTGTTTAAATGTTCGAAATGGGTGGCTACAATAGCTACGCTCATTTCAAACCTTTAAACAGTCTGCATCAGCAGCAGACCAAGCTTTCCCACCTGATGATGGACGCTTGTGTTGAGCCCGAAACGTCGTGATTTATTTTATTTTATACCTACTACGTGACTTTACCGAAAGAACCAAAGAGTAATTATTTTCATTTATTTTCTCTGCGATTATTTTTTAGTTTTTTATTTGCTAAGTAGCGAGGTTTGTTTTTGTATTATCTCTGTGTACGGAACTGGATCATTGATGTGCAGCATTGTGGGATGCAATTGCATGACGCTATAGAAAATTGAATGATTATTACATCAATTGCTGGTGTGCTCTTAACCACTGTTGACTTCCGGAAAAAAAACAGTAATCATTTCATTGACTGCGAACCACTGACAGATTGAATTCACCCCCCAGCCAAGATGTAAACATCACACTTTTCCAAATGATTTTTGCCTTACGCCATCAAACAACAGCACAAGCAAGAAGGATACAACTGTACAATGTTTACAATGTTCAACGCGCAACATTTTAAGTGGACTCAATGAGCTAATGTTGCGACCCTTTTAACATTAAACATAGATGTTATCTTATTCTTAGTTTTTTCGGTAAAGTCACGTTGAAGAGAAACAACAAAATAATAAAATATATATAAAACAATAAAAAATTCTCACGACGTTTCGACCATAACTCAAACGGTCATCTTCAGGTGTGTTGGTTTGCATAAATTTATTTTTAAACGGCGCATTTATTTATTTATAAAAAACGTTAGCGCCACGCGCAGCGATTTGGCAGTTTACCCAGGACTAGTCCATCTATATTCTGAAAAGAGGAGGGGGGAGACGAATTTTTTTATAATGTATGCTGTCTGAAAGCCACTGTAAGCGTGAACAATCAATTAAGAACTGAAATGGTTTATCAAATCTTTCCAATGATTGCTAAGATAGAATCCATCTTCTCGGTTGAAATTGTCTCTGTGCTTGTATATGTGGATAGCCTAGACAATTTCAACCGAGAAGATGGATTCTATCTTAGCAATCATTGGAAAGATTTGATAAACCATTTCAGTTCTTAATTGATTGTTCACGCTTACAGTGGCTTTCAGACAGCATACATTATAAAAAATTTCGTCTCCCCCCTCCTCTTTTCAGAATATAGATAGTCCTGGGTAAACTGCCAAATCGCTGCGCGTGGCGCTAACGTTTTTTTATAAATAAATAAATGCGCCGTTTAAAAATAAATTTATGCAAACCAACACACCTGAAGATGACCGTTTGAGTTATGGTCGAAACGTCGTGAGAATTTTTTTATTGTTTTATATATATTTTATTATTTTGTTGTTTCTCTTCAACGTGACTTTACCGAAAAAACTAAGAATATGAATTACTGCAGTCACGAAAGCTTTAAATCTAAAAATAGATGTTATCTGTTTAAGAGTTAGGAATATATTATTACTATCGTGTTCGTACATTTATAAAATATATGGTGACATGTGACCAATGTGTAAATGGCAGTGCCGAAAAGCATTTGCTTTATCGGTTCCATAAGAAAAACGCAATATGCCATGCGCAGACGCTGCAACGCAACAAACTCGTGCACTCCCCGTCTTCAAGCTCACGCTCACCGACTGAGTTCCCGGAGCGAGGCATCGTTGAGGTTGTTGGAGGAGATGTCCAGGTGAGTTAATGCACACGACTCCTAGGTGAGATAATACCAACGTTAACATCCATTCATTTGTATAACGGCTGCTTAACGCTAATTCATTAAGAAATACGGTTTCCCAAAAAGCACTGTGTCATGTTGTGGCAAATAACACTTCTTTATAATAAAATGTATTAAAAAAGCAGAGCGATCCATATCTGTTTTCGACGTGGGCCAGGTGGCTGATTTATGCCAAAATTCTCACCATTGATTAGCATTTAATCAATACATTGGCACGTATGAATACCGTCTTTGTCATCGTGACAATTCTGTCAGGGTGGTGGAGGGATAATGGCAAGAAATTTGTCATAAACCAAGCCACGTGGCCCATGCCAAAAAACGATGTGGATCATTGAATTGACGACGGTAAAGTCAAAAAGCAGCATACCATTGGTGCCTGCACAGTGCCAGCTATGACGTACGAATCGGAGACAATGGACGTTAACGAAGAGAATGGAGCAAAAGCTGAAACATCTGCAAATAAGTATGGAGAGATCTACGGTTGGAATTGATTGTTGACATACGAGTACAACAGTGACCCCACATATCTGTTTAATGTTCCTGTACGTGTCCTAAATATAACCTAACCGAGCCGACTTGCCGCTACACGGAATCTATTATTTAACATGTGTGCAATATTTTTTTTAATTTGCTAAACTTTATTTTGTTTGTTTTGCTTTTGCCATTTTGGTGGCCCACCCAGGTCACCGACGCGAATCAGTGTATCCTTAAACTCGAGAGTTCTCACCTGGTCAAACAAAACTAACTTGTAAGAATTGGTTTCACCCCTTCTGGCAATTTAACAGGTGTTAAGACCTTCTTGGTTCTTTCGGTAAAGTCACGTAGAAGATGAATCCCTTAAGTCACCGAGGTGACGACGGTAAAGTCAAAAAGCAGCATACCATTGGTGACTGCAGGTGTTAAGATGTTAAAACTCCAAACAGAAACCCCTTGCAGGGAATCATGTCTGCACTAACCACACGTGCTTGTGGTGAACATGCAAAAAAAACATGCTCTGGTAGTATATGGGCACTGTCTTTGAAACTGATTGGTCCACACCAGAAACAGCTTTCTTTAGAGCATATTATGGATATTGACACATTTAATAAAACACTGCAGAGACACGAAGAGAACACACAAAACACCACTCAAGCTCAACACCGAATACTCACTTTCAGATTAAGCCACTAACCTTCAAAATATAAAAAAATATATTTTTTTATATTTTTTTATTGAGCAGCAGGGCAACGTGGGAAAGTAACTTCAGGTTCACCCTCATATGGGGACCTGCACTCCACTAGGATCCTGCTATCCTCCTGCCACTGATCGTGGCTCATGATGGATAAACTTGGAACGTCCAGGGGTGGAATGTAAAGAAATATGATTTCCCCCTTTTCGTTTGGATTTCATAGCAGCAGCAGCACCTTGGGACAACTCTTTTTAAAGGCCGGATGCCAGCATTATTTCATTATTATTAGGAGCATTGATTTCCGTCACGGGATTAACAATTGCAACAGGAACTCTCGCAGTGAATATTGTATCACGCCTCTTGTTTGCAAACTCGACATTCAGTCGTGCAGCAAATGTTTCGCCAAGTTCATGCAGTGGTAACAAAGCGTATGGAGTTTGTTTTTGTTGCTCTTGCCGCTGGAATATAATCAATTGTTATTTTTGTTTCTTTGTGCCAAACATGTTGAATACACAGCATTCATTATTAAGGGTAATGGGCGAACCTGTTCGAAATGATGGTAGAATGTTTTTCCCCTTCAAAAACTCACGGGATTACGCTCAAATGAATACAGTCACATGTGAGCGAACATCTATTTTTCACATTATTGCCTCTGGTAGATACTGGATTATGCAATAGGTTAGACCTTGAGAATGAGGCACCGCTGGGAGGGCCCATGGGAGATACAGGATAAAGGGACTTAAGATTCAAGAATGGCACCTTTTGATGGATATTTTATTAGCTGTTAAATTACACGCCAACTTTTGGACAAATCTGACCCATGCTGATATCGAGCGGTGGTGTTTTTATATGTAAAACATTGCCCAACATGTCATACCTGTCGACCGATTTGTTTGTTGAATACAAATTCAAATGCATTTTAAAATGAAAAGAATACGAAATAATACAATTCTTTAAACAAATCACACGAAAGCAGGGCAATATGTGCCATTGAATGTATTCCTTTACGTCAGCGCATACATCTGCAATATGGCCACGAAACTGAGAAAAAGTCAAACAAATAATAGTGAGTGGTTGCCTGCTCATATGAGCATTGAGGCATTGGTGCTGACTTCCTGTTTCCAGCCCTGAGCTAGCGGTGGAAATTCAACGATCGCCGAGCCACAGGCATGTGGCTCAAGCGGTCGAGTTTAATAATGCTGCAGCTCAACGCCGTGTGTTAACATCACGTTGGGGTGCAGTACGTGCATCGCTATTTGTGCACTTCATTTACATTATTTACGGGCAGTGGCGGTCTAATTTCTCTATGAATTGCGCTGTTGTTTTAACAATCCAAATGAGATTTATCTATTTATTTTTGCTAAGAACACCACTGGTAATTTATGAAAATAACACAAATTGTATGTTAGCCTCCTGTGTGACTCCAGGTTATGCACGCTACATACAGTTTGTGAATACCAGAGGGACAAAGATGGCAATGTGTTTATGAACTGCACTTGCCCAACAGCAGTGTAAGGACTCTTTGTTTTTGCTATTCGTATACATACTTCACTTTCACTGAAGAGTCCAACAAAACCTTACATTTCATAAATTGAATATTAATGTATTTCAGGAATAATTGTTTTTTTCCAAAGAGTGGTTGGACACAAATGCAAACCTCTCCAGCTCAAGGGGTAATTGCTGAAATATCCAATAGCGGACTCAAGTCGTATTCTGTTCTAAGTCACCGTTATGAAAGGTGGAGAGGTTTTGGCTTTTGCAAGCCGGGTAAGGCTCTGCATGGAATGACTCACAATTTAATTTTCAGTGGCTTCACATCGCATTCTGCAGGTGTGGTGTTTGATTCCCTGCCCCCTGCACACCCACCCCACCCCCACGGCGATTAGATGGATTGTCACGATCCACAACTGTGATGTGATTCAAGAATTAATTTGTATATTTGTGTCATTTTATATCCCTTCTCGCATTTTGTGCACTTTTGTTGTTTGCTCTCCGTCCGGTGAGAAGTGAAATGCCAGCGTATCGCTCGAGTTTAATTTGCCAAAAAGAACGTTTCAAAAACATGATTTCCTTTCACATGAAAGCGGGTGCATGTATCGTGGGAATCAATATTGGTTGATGAATCAATGCATAGTGTTAACCCCTACTGGATTTCCACATTCCACTCAATTAATTCTAATTGACAAATATGAACAACTTAAGTGAGGAGAGGGGGGGGGTAGCAATTCTTCAGTTGCTTTGGGATAATTAACCTATGACAAACGTGCACTAAAAATACAATTTCAAGCTTAACACGTTAATATAATTTATCTGCGGTTCATGCACTTGTGCAGAGAAATGTATATTATTATTATGGCTGAGTAATACTGAGTCTTGTGACCACCACAACCAACTTCAATGAGTTGTTGTTGATGATGATAACAATGAGTGTGGGTTGTATACACGCTGACGATCCAAGCATTTACAGGCAGCATTGTGCTGGGTCTCCACATCATTGCTGTGGAAATTCCAAACCCGATGCGCTGCAGTGGTCAGAAGATGACAGTGAAGCAAAATTAGTTCGTGTCCTGTCTGTGTTAAGATTGAGATGGGAAAACATGGAGAGAGCTAATTGTAGCTTATGTCCCATAGGGGATGAATAGGAGCAGGTAAGTGACTATTACCTATTGTTAGGTGTGGGATTTAAAGTGTTGTCTCAGTTAATAACATAGATTAATCTCTAGATTTGGTTAATTTCTTAATAGCCCAGGAACAATCATAATAACAATTGGATACAAATATTTATCAAAGTACTGATGTTCTACGCATTTCCACCAGTCACTGGAACACACCGCCCAATCGCCAGATTAATCCGCAGATGTAAACAGTCAATAAGTACTAGAACAGATGGCAGGATTTCATGTGCAACAGTCAAATGCTATGGACCGCTGAATACGAATTTCCTAGACATTGTTTATTATTCATGTCATTGCCCGACTTAAAACCGCAGCCATAGTAAAATATTTTTCTTACAATTACTGAACCAACTGGTTTATTCATACAAATGTATTTATGAAAAGAGTAGAGCAAGGCTAGCCAGGATGGGCAGAGACATGGCCCCGCTTTTCACCCAGGCAAGCAGAGAGCCCAGACTTATTTTTTTTACTTATCCTGAAAACAACAAATGACATATTTAAAAATGCATAAGTTAAACAAAAAAAAATCCGAATACACATTTTTATATCAGGCAATGGCACATGGCACTCCATCAAAGGACAGCTTCAGAAATAAAGTTACGCAAGACATTTTTGGAAATCACATATGCGAAGCTGCAATTCGGTGCAGCTTCAGAAATATAATTACGATAAATGCCTTAGGATTTGCCAAGGCTCTAAAGGGAGGAATATTCCCTGTCGTAAATTCCCAATCAGTTTGAGCATGCCCATCTCATTATCATCAAGCCAACAAAGACCTTTGTCAAGAAACCATACGGCTATGTGGTGACGCTCGACGTGCTCATAACTAATCCATCGATATCATCCCTTGCAGACTAATACGTGAAAAAAGGATTGTTTCCTGCTATATCAATACAGTCGCAGCAGATATTTATATGATCAATAATGATGAGGAATAATACCATTGCTATTTATACGTGCATGTTTATTACAATAATCACAATTTTTAGCGCATGTTCAATCCACTGCTCGATGGAAGCCTCTGTACATCGTGTCTTTCATTTAGGTTATATGGTCATACATCATCATGCTATTCACTGTGAATCGGTGAAGATAAAAAAAAAGTTATTTTTTTTATTGGTTGAAGTTTCAATAATCTTTTGATTGAAGGGAAGCAAGCCAACAGGAAAAAAACACTTGGGGTTTGTTCGGAGGGTTGAGAGATTGCTTCTACCCGATCAGAGCCAAGATCCTACCTGCTTTGACCCTCTTAGAATAAATTTCGTGAAAGGTAGTCCCACCTACTCACTTGTAGTGGCATGTTCACAATGCGCAGGTCACTTAACGTGTTTTCTTGTATGTATGTTGAACTCCTTTCGCACCGTACATAGCCAAACGTGCTCATCGGAGGTGCAGGGGGAAGGACAACAAACTAAACACAAAAAGCGGTTCTAAAAAAATACATTTTAAATCTATATTTAAAAGTCCATAGCTCGAGTGGCTTCCGAATATCGGAAGAGCGTTACAGACGGCCGCAGAATGGCATCTGAAAGCGCGCGATGCAGTGACTGCCTTTGTTCGATGGTTAGCCAAAAGCTGCTGCGAGGATGACCGGAGTTTGTGTGACGATTAATATGCGCCTTGACGAAACCTTTTTCATAAGCAACCCAGTGTGAAAGACTCGCCTCTACTCTATTGCCCATTCTCTTCCTCTTCTCTCCCCTCCACTCCTTCCTGTCTCTCCCCTTCCCCTTTCGTGCTCCCCAAGTACCCCTCCATCTCTGTCAACACATTTCAATCGCACGCACCCACTGCCAACCGCACACCATTCCATTGCGCGTCGTCGTTTTTGCAAGCTGCGGTCAAAGAGACCCGAGTTGAGGGGCGCCCTACTACGTGAAACGCAAACGAGGTTGGGTGAAGCAGCGCAACGCGTGGCCACCTGGTGAAGGATCTTGCAGATGGGATCGAGGGCAAGACGGTCGCCGGGGCCGACCGTCACGGCGGACACCTCGAGCCGAGCGAGGCGCTGGCTCGGCGCGCTCCGCACGAACAGATCGACGCCGCTCGAGCCCAGCGCGTTGTGGGACAACACCACGCTCCGGAGTCGATTCACACCTAGCGAGGCATGAAATAAAAACAAAATCAACATTTTTTGCACGGGGAGATTTTTTTTTGTGTTTGCCATTGCACGCAGACGGGAGTTTAAAACAAGCGGTTTTCCTTTCTTAAATGAGCCGCAGCAATGCAAACAGTACTTCCGCATTTCGGAATCTTTATTTATACTGAAGGAGGAATCCTATGGGCTCTTTTTCACAGATGTCCAGTCGGGGGGGGGGGGTCAGAATGTTACAACAACGAACAATGCAAAAACACGATGGGAGTGCAAGCTAAAGGAAATGTTAACATTTTCATTTCCAGGTAAGTATTTACTGAGATAAAAGTCTCTTTTGAGAGACCGTGGTTGAACACAAAGATAACTTACAAAACAAAAGTATTTTCATTTAAAGCTTTCGTGACTGCAGGGATTCATATTCTTGGTTCTTTCGGTAAAGTCACTTAGAAGGGAAACAATAACATTTTCTTGCTGTGGTTTTCACACCTGATGATGATTGCTTGTATTACAGTCGAAACGTGAGAATTTTATCGTTGTATATTTTTATTATTTTATTGTTTCCCTTCTACGTTATTTTACCGAAAGAACCAAGAATATAAAAAAAACGTATTTTAGTGAAGAAAAAAAACCCACCAAAATTGCAAATGCTTTTTACATTTTCCAACTTATTCCCGGAATTCCATAAAAGAGCAGAGCAAAATTCTACATGAATCACACCCGAGGACTCACAATATTGTGCAGTGGAAGCCTGACTCTGCTAGTGAGACATTGAATGTCCAAACTGGTTCAAAAGTTCGCTTCTATCGAACCAAGGTTGTTGAAAAAGATGCACTCCCAGAAAGCTGTGTGGCTAAAGATATGTGTGAAGACGTTATTTTTTTTACGTGGACAAACAGCAATATGTGAAGGAGGTCTACTTACTATCTGCTTATTTATTTTGCATTGACACAAGTGACAAAAATGTGGTTTATGCCTTGTGAAGAAAAAATTACCGGTGCTAATTTCCTTCAAAAGTGCCAAATGGATGAAACCAGAATTAAGAAAAAAAAACGTCAAGACTGAGAATGATGGATTGAAAGACTTTTGGCCCTGGGATTTAAACATAATGTGGAATGTAAAATTAGGTCGAAGCCCCCTTTAGATTATAATTGGAGTGAATGTATATAAAATGTCAAAGTAATCAATAGGTGGCATGAAAGTTAATGAGATGATCTGTGTGCAGATGGCTGCAAGGCTGTAACAGCTGCCTCTTACGACGAAAGAGGCATGGTGACGACCGTCGCCACATTCGCAGCACAAAGCTGGTAAAGGCCAAACAATCGAACGGTGAAAGAAAAATTACCCGCAAATTACTCGATGGGGATTGCACACAGCATCATCGCCCCCCCCTCCTCCTCCTCCTTACTGCAAGAAACCTGGCAGTAACCCTCGTGCAAAAAAAAAAAAAGTTTTGAGATTCAGCGAGGCTTTCCTGGCTAAACAAGCGGGACAAGAACAACAGAGGCTTGTGACCTGCGCAGTGTGTGCCATGCCCTTCAGGAGTTGTGTTTGTAAGCCGGCCGCTTGGTGTTTATTTTCCCAAGATTTTCCACAACCTTGCCCAATTCAAGAACCGCATTTTTGTTGTCCTTCCCCCACACCTCCGAAGAGCACGGTTGGCTACGTACGGTGCGAGAGAAGACGTTTAACACACATACATACATACAATATAAGGATATTATCAGAGCATGTTTGTTCGCATGTTTTGCTACAAGTATGTGCGGTTAATGCAGACGTGATGCCTTTCAAAAGATATATATTTGGTGTTTGAACATCTTAACACCTGTTTTATTGCCAGAAAGGCTAAAACCTATTCTTATTTTTTCATCATGTTTGATACTGGCAAAAAGGTCCCATAGGTATACATACATACATGCCCCCCTATCTGTGACGCCTTTGATTTGCAGCCGTTTCGGGCCAATGGGCCACTCGGCATTTTAGGGGGGGAGGGGGGGTTATCCTGTGGCCCAGCAATCGTTAAAACGTGACTCATGACCCCCCCCCCCCATACTCAATGGCTGAATTCATTAGGTCCCCTATCTCAGCACTGGAGCACCTGAGCTATGAGCTCCGAGACAAGGAAGAAGAACACAGCACGTGCACGGGGTCCATTCCTAAACCTTAGAACAGTCTTAAATACCTGAGCCCAGAACGGCAATGACCTGGCCAACCATCCCCCTTCTCCAAAGAAAACCCCTCCCCCCGCCCCATGCCTGCTCTGACGAGTCCGGTGTGCCTGATGCCATCGATGCCCCTGGCAATGTCGCCCAGAATGTCAGAATGTTGCAATGTACGATTTGAGGGAGGATGTGGAATAAAAAGATTTTATATATATATATAAAAAAAACAAGACTCACCATGCAGCGCGTTCTCCAGCAGGCCGCGGTGATGCTGCACCAGGTGCGCCGTGAAGCCGCACGCTTGCAGGCGGAGAGAGGTGAGCGAGGGGCAACAGGAGAGCAGCTCAGCGAGTGGCTGGCAGCTCCCGTCTCCCAGCGGGTTCAGGGACAGGTCGAGCTCCTCCAGGCTCTGCGGAGCAGCGCACGCGGATGGTAACAGGACAAAACGAGAGCTTTCATTTTGAGAGAGCGAGAGAGTGCCTCTCCATGCTCAAATGTGCATCAGAGCAGCACTTGTCTCTCTTGGTGGGTCTTACTCCCCGCGGTGGTCGCTTCGTTGAGCAATCATTTGTGGTAGCCAAGTCGCTTCTGAAAAAAGAGCTGTATAGCTCAGTGGGCCTTACCTGGTAAAAAAAAATAGTTAAATTTTTGCTTCACACCACCACCCCTTGCCAGCCTCCTGTATACTCCTCCCACATAATACTATCCTTCCTATTGCCCGCATCTCAGGTGCTTTGCGCAGCGCAGCAATGTAGCTATATCGAGAGCACAATTGTACCAACTTCCAACTGCGCTCTCGACAGCTACACCACTGTGCTTGACGCAAGCACAGCGGTGTAGCTGCCATCTAAAGCAGCGGAGTGGTGTAGCAAACGAGCACAGTGGTGCAGTAGCGATCGAGCACGGTGGTGTAGCCATCGAAAGTGTAGTTGGTGCTAACTGCAATGTGGTCCAAACGCCAGTGGCCCAAATGTCCAGCTACGAAGAGGGGTGGACACTGAACAGAGGAACCCATTTCATTCTTTGCACAAGGGCCCACTGCCAACCGCACTACGCTTACCTCCGGGTCACTTGCCCATGCCCATTGGCTTTCCCATCTTAAAATGTGGGTTCCGTGGTAAGATTAGAGAAATACGAAGCCAAAGTTAAACGATTGCATTGCACTGGCACACTTCACATTTTACGGCGTCGACCATTTGATTTGTCTGAGAAAAGCACGTTAAATAATCTACAGATACTAATTACGATAACGCTACGTTTCAATGACATTCATAATCCTCCTTTCTTTCTGCATGACGTTCTAAATTTAGCATGCTGTATGACAAACCAATAGGTTATTCCCGTCTGCCATGGTTTTCATTAACAATGTGAATAACCTATTAGCCTATCCATAAATATACTGTTTATATCGAACATTACCAATTAAGATGTATGGATTTCATTCATAATATAACACCTATGACGTTAGACGTAAATACGCAGATGCAAACGGCCATGACCCTCCAAAAGTATGAATATAGATTCGTGAATGTTGTCATGTGTATACTACTCGGTAATTTTCTGCGCCTATGGCTGCTGTTGATATTGACTTCATGAGTCTTGGGCATTAACAATTAATGCTAAAGGTACCTTTTTCTGGTTCCTGCTGTAAATGGTTAGAACAATGGACCTGTAATCCAGAGGTCATCAGTTCAATCCCCCAGCACGGCAGTTGAAACAAACGGTGCATTATTATTTTTTTGTATCCTCCCCGCCTCTGTTCACCCAGCAGTATAAATGGGAACACCCAAATTAACAATATTAATAACCTATTCGTTTGTTGTCCTTCCACCGCGCCTCCGATTAGCCGGTCGGTTACATCCGGTGCGAAAGAAGTTCAACATAGACATACGTAAGTAAGTGCGTGCCATTCAGCATGTACAAAAAAAGGCACGTGTAAAAAAAAAAAAAGACACGAGCGAGCGAGCGAGCGAGCACCTGAAACGCGAGCACTCCTCCTACGACCTCCTGCGAGCCCAGGGCCTCCGCGAGCCGGCGCAGGCCCTCGTGGGTGACGGCGTTCGAGGAGAGGTCGAGACGGGCGAGTGCGGGTAAGGTGGACGCGGCGGCAGCCAGCTCGCACAGCAGGTCGTCGCCCACGCGGTTCGAGCGCAGGGCGAGCTCCCGGACGGACGGCTGCAGCTTGAGGGCTCGGAGCACTGGCAGCAGCTTCTCGAAGCCCAGCGCCAGCGGGGGCAGCCGGAAAGCGCCCCCCCGTGCCTCCGTGTCCTGGGCTTCCAGCGCACGCTGCACCCGCTGGTCTACCGCTGCGCATAATGACAAAGACCCCCCCCCCCACACACCCACCGCCACGTATATAGCCTTTAACGTAATGTTGGGGTGAGTGCTGTCGGGGAGATGCACCCTGTGAAGGCCGGAATGGTAGACGAGGGGGTGGGTGTCCAGCACCAAACATCATATCTTTGCCATTCACGATTTGTAAACAATACCCATACATTCAAGGTGCCTTATCGGAAGCAGTTAATATGGAATGTATCTGATGTTTCATCAGACTGATTAATAAATACGATGCAGGCCTACTAACGATATCAGCCTTAATTTATGTCATCACAATAAGACCATTGTTAGCCTCTTGAAAACATTTATAATTTGTCACACTCAGATTTATTAACCTTGAGGCAGTTGTCATCATCATCATCATCCAAACTAGGCATTCTCACTCAACCTCTCAATCGCCTCGAACAACATTGTGAACATAGCCCCACACATCTCTACGACAGTTTAAATAACGGGCAGTCAAACGCACATTTGCGACGTCTCGGGCACATTAACGATGATGAATATTAATACTCAACGAGAAACGCGATTTGTCAGGGCATATATACCGCGCTAGCACCGGAATGATTCCATGCCCTGGCGATTCGGTGCATTGCACCGATGTGAGGAGTTGGGGGAGAGAGTCGGCGCTCGAATCAAAATCACTTCTCCCATTGGAGTCAATGAGAGCGAATGTTTTTAATGGTTCATTTTATGACACTGTTAATCACGACAAATGAACAATGCGAAATAAACTAGATTGCCCTGCCGTTGCATCTGCGACAAAATAGAGTGTTACCATTGTTGTTCAACTTCTTTCGCACTGTACGTCGCCAACCATTCTAATCGGAGGCGCGGAGAAAGGACAACAAACTAAACACTAAAATTATAAAAAACAAGAATAGATTTTTACCCTTTCTGGAAATAAAACAGGTGTTAAGATGTTCAAACACCAAATAGAAACATTTTGTGCAAGGCATCGGGTTTGCATTAGCCACGCATACTCGTGGCAAAACATGTAAACATGCTCTGATAATATATGCAGTGAAGGATTTGTTTCATGTCCATAAAAAAAAAACACTGAGCATAAGATCACATGCACAGCCAGAGCACTTACCCTGCCCGAGGCTGTCGCAGGCCTTGCGGTATCGTTCAGAGAGAGGCGGCAGGTCCCACGATAGCACATCTGCTAGGACCTACACCGCACAACATCAACAGTGCACGCGTTACATACTCCTAGAAGGAATGACAGCCATCTATGAAAATAGTAAATCTCCAATGCCCAAAATCCAAAGGGACTTTGTAAAGCAGTGGTGTCCAACCACAAACAAAAGAACCTAACCTAATTTGTCATAATAACGCTGCCGTATAACAGATATGTATTATGTAAAGAACATGTGGGGGAGTGGTGGTGCAGTGATGAGCGCATTGCGCTACCAACCCGGCGACCCAAGCTCATTACCAATAACAGTGGTGAATATCTGAACTCGTCCTGCGTCTTCCCTAGGACGACTCAGCCATAAATGAGTTCCTGGTGAAGTATGCAATAAGCACTGGGGAGACAAAGACGGCTGGCTGTAGTGTTAGCCACACATTTCCTCGTGTGCCGTGCTAGCCTTAATAGGTGCTCACTAACAACACTTGTCCCAACAGTATATTAAAGGCTATATGGAGGTTCTTTGTATTTTTGTCATTATTTTCCTGGGTCTAATTACCATTGCTAGGGAAAGGAATTGAACTGTCACACATTTCGTACCTGCGATTAGCACGGTCTGCTACGTACAGTGCGAAACAAGTTCTGCACGCATACTTTCCTGCGGCGGATAAGTCTGAGAAATAACGGTGCGGACAGCTCACGTTCTCTCGATCTACAGCGGAGAGAGTGAGAGCTGCTCATTTCGGTTCTTGGAGAAGTATACGCGATACGAGATGTCAGACATCGAGCAAGACAACATGCGGTACAACCCAAATACAGAGGAGCTAATAAAGGAGAGGCTGACAGTTCAACGTGGTTGAAATCCACAAAAAAACATTCTCCAGATTGTATTGTCCGGTTGGTCTGCCAATTTCCCCCATTCACCCCCTTTAATCTTGGAAAAAGGTGTTGGTAAATTACCAGCTTACCTCTTCATTCTTGGAACAATTGGTGAAATACGAGATTAGCTCTTCATGATTGGAACACGATGTTAATAATGACGAGAATACCTCTTCATTGTTGGAACAAGGTGTTGCAATGACCATATTACCTCTTCATTTTTGAAGAGGTAATCTAGTCTAGATAACCTCTTCATTACTGTAGCCAACTTTGCTACTTCTTCAATAATCTAGTCTAAGATTACCTCTTCATTATTGAAGAGGTAATCTAGTCCAATACACTTTTAAATCTAGATTGAAAACTAGTCTCTTTAGAACGGCTCTTTGTGTTTGGTTTGTTGTCCGCACCTCCGATTAGCACGGTTGGCTACGCACGGTGGTGCCAAACAAGCACGTACGTACAAGAACGGCGAGATTACCTCTTCGTTATTGAACAGAGTGTTGGTGATGAGATCCTCCGTGGAGAGCTGGGCACCCTCCTGCTTCAGCTGCAGCCGCGGCCTAAGCCCCGACTCCGAGTAGTAGCGAGTGCTCGCCTGCTCCGCGAGCCACGCCACTGTACGCACTGACTGCTCGCTGCGGCGAAACCACACGGAAACTATAAAACCAAAAAATATATATATATAAAAAACTTTGCATTTTACCAGGTGTAAGGCCTGCACTGACCTATATAGAGCTCTTTTTCAGAAGCTCACATGGCCATCGCAAACGAGAGGTCAACGAAGTGGCTTATTATCATCACGTATACATTTTATTGCATCGGCCAAATACTCTTGAACGCGCGACGTTAGTTCTAGATGTGGGGGGAAAAACCGGAGGACCCGGAGAAAAATCCACGCAACCACGGGGAGAGAGAGAGAGAGAGACAGACACACGGAAACTCCAAATACACAACAGGTGTCAGGGTTGGAACCGAATCCACAACCACCTCAATACCTGGCGAGGTAGTTAACATATCGTCACGGTGGCGCCCCCACTAACGCACGAACGCGTTGGATGAATGCTCGTGTACCTGTAAGGAAGGGGAATGAGGAAAACCTTGTCCTGAACTCTGACACGTATCCTCATTGGTGGCATGGTACATCCCACGTAGGATGGCGGAATTGCCTGGGACTGAACCATCAGTGCTGGTGCCTGAAAGTTGATATCACAAGCACACAAAGCACATGTTTTTTTTAAATTTCATATCAACCGTTCATTGTTGCAAGTTTCACTGCTTAAAACACATTTGTAGTTACAGTATTCCTCGTTATTCACGATCTTGCAATCCGCAATTTCGGCTAACTACTGCATCGAGAGAGAGCGAGAAAGTGATGAGATAAAGTGATAATGTGCAGCATCATCATCATTTAAGGTACATTCATTTATAATTGATTATTTAATACTTTCATATTTAATTTTATTTACTTTGTTTACGATAATAATTTTTTGTTGTGTTATGATAATTATCACATATTTAATAGCTTATTAATGTATTTATTTAAGGTAATTCATTAAAGAAGATAGGTTTTTGACTTAAAACTTTCGTGACTGCAGGAATTCATATTCTTGGTTCTTTCGCTAAAGTCACGTAGATAGAAAACAAAAACCAAAAAAAAATACAAATAAAATACAAAATAATACCTTGAAAATAATAAAAGCAAAAAAACCCACAATAAAAATAGTAAAATAAATGTAAAAATTAAAATAAATAGAAAATACTAAAACTAGCCTTTTCCGTCCAAGGACAGGTATATTTCAGTAAATCTGAAACTTGCAAGCGAAAAGCAGACCGTGACGTGATATTCATTGCATCCATTCGTGTGAAATTTGTAAGGCCGCGGTGACACAGACCTATTTCATTTAAAGGTCATATAATCCCTTGTTCATCACGACGTCCTTTTTACTTTGATGTCTCAACAGCGTTACGGAGATCGCGTGACGTGAGGGTTCTGCCTTTGTAGTGAGGGTTGTAAGTTGACGCTGAGGAGGGGGGGGGAGGCGCCCCGCCCCCCCATGTGGAGTGACATCACCCGCTAATTATTATTAATGAAGGGGGGTGCTACATGTGGAGTGACGTCACCCGTTCATGATTATTAATGAGGGGGGGGGGGGTCCATGTGTAGGACGTCACCTGTTCATGAGTATTAATGAGGGGGGCTGGCCGACGTAGAGTGACGTCACGCGCGGGACACACAGACAGTCTTGGCTCATTATAGTAGTAAATACGCAAACAATACGCAAAAATAAAATGTTTTTTAAAATGTCAAACTTTGATACTGGAAAAAAAGGTCCCGTTTTGTAGCTGCTCACCCAGAGCTATAAGTGCTCTGATAGGGCACTGTCATTGTGCTGTTCCCCTTTTGGCGTTCTGTGGTCTGACACTGGTGAGACGAGGATCAAAAAAAGGCTGTCTCTGGTGTAGACCAGTCAGTTTCAAGACAATGAATATATTATGAGAGCATGTTTGTTTTCATGTTTACCACAAGTACGTGTGGTTAATGCAGACATGATTCCTTGCAAAAGGATTCTATTCAGTGTTTGAACATCTGAACACCTGCCAACACAGCAGTATCACTAAGTAATTTGTTCAACTGAATGCTGATCAACTCTGGCAACAAAGTTATATCTATATAGTTTGCTTCAAATGTAATTAATCAACCTAAAACAATTAAACCATCACGCTTAGCATCTGCTACGTGAAGGCATTGTTTGTAATCTGAAAGGCTGCAGTCTACCATTGCTATTTTTGACTTAAAGTTTTCACGACTGCAGGAATTAATATTCTTTGGGTCTTTCGGTAAAGTCACGTAGAAAAAATAATAAAAAACATTATTTTTGATTTTTTTATTAAAAATATTTTTTTTTCTATCTACGTGACTTTAAAAAATAAAATGTTCTTTCTATCTACGTGACTTTACCGAAATACCCAAAGAATATAATTGTTATTTTACCAAGTAAGGTCCACTGAGCAACACAGCTCTTTTTAAGAAGCGACCTGGCCACAAATGATAGCTCAATGAAGTGGCTTATCACATCGACATGTATAGCAGTCAAATACTCTAAACACACGTTTTCTAAATGTGGAGGGAAAAACCGGAACACCCGGAGAAAAATCCACGCGACCACGGGGAGAACATGCAAACGACAAATGTACAGGCGTCAGGGTCAGGGCAAAACCCACGACCTCCTGCATACCAGGCTAGGGAGTTAACATCTCACCACGGCGGCGTCATGTGCAATGCTGCGTGCTGTAAGAAAATCATTCATTAGCATGTTTGGCTACGTACGGTGCGAAAGAAGTTCAACATTACGGACATACACGTGTACATTCTGCAGAGGCACTGCACGTTCGTCAACGCCGCGCATTCTCACCGGGTGCGGGTGGGGTGCGAGCGAGGTGCCGGCTGCCTGCCGCTCCTCGCACGTCAACTCGCGGTTGAACGCGAGATCCGTTTCGGATCCAGGAGATGAGCACCTCTCGCTGTCAGAGTCATCACGAATCTGCAGGTTCAATAAACCCCAAGATGCATTTTGGCGAGGCGAAACATTTGTGGAGCAGCACAATGACGAGTCAGAAATAAGAGCAAGGGTCTTTATACCTAACAGACATTAAACAACGGAATGCAGACAGAACCATGAGCATGTTCTTGTCAAGCAAAATCAAAATCTACAGATACATGTGTAATAACTTTTTCGGGTGTTCTTTTTACCAATCTGTATTTTTGGACATTTTAATAATCTCGATTGAAAGCACATTTCTTGAAAAGTACTTTTTGTGTTTAGTTTGTTGTCCTTCCCCCGCACCTCCGATTAGTGCGGTTGGCTATGTACGGTGCAAAAGTTCAACATACATCCGTACATTTCGATACAAGAAAATACATTGGTGACCTTCGCATTGTGAACGTGCCACTGCAAGTGAGTAGGTGGGACTAGCCTTAACGAAATGCATTCTAAAAGGGTCAAAGCCGAAAGGCTCTTGGCTCTGAGCTGGTAGAAGTAATATCTCAACATCGAGGGATCTCTCAACGTACATACATCTATGGCTTTTGATCATCCCCTTGGTCACTAAACCTCTGGGTGCCACTCTCTCAGGCCTGTCTTGGTAACCTACCCACCTCTATCCTAGAGATCAGCCTCAAACATCACTGAACCTCTTTTTGCATGCATATGCAATGCTTTCATGTCACATTCTATTCCAAACTTTTAAGTGTTTATATAATCCTGCTAATGAATTCAGAGCATCCTCTGCATGCAATTAAGAGTGCAAAGGTCAGACTATCGCTGTGGCTGCTTTGTTATTCTGCTGCTTTCTGGCCCACATGGTGGCAAAGAATGCTTCTGCCTCAAAAATGCAACTCTTGGCACTGCCCTTATAGTGGTTTTTAAGTGGATCAAAACCTGTACTGTTTACACAATATAACTCTTGACTTTTCTCTACCTACTGCATTATTCAACACTGTAATATAATCACGCAGACTCCTCTTCTAGCTCCACATTCTCACTTCCGACTGAACAGAGGTGGGCCACCCTGCAAGAATCTATTTGATTTCTACAATTCCACGATGGACACGCTCATGAGTAGGACGATTAGAGCGATGCAGAAATCCTCTGCAGATTCTTCTGTAGATGTTTTAATTCTGTTAATATATATACCCCTCTACGTGAGCGAGCACAATGTGTATTTATAGCGACGAGGGTAAGCACGCAACCACGTCACTTTGACTGACTGGTATCGCGGGTCGCTTCAGCCCAAGTGGTCCTTCCCCGGTAACAAATAAACGTAAGTTTAAGTTAATTAAAAAAATATATATACCCGGTTGTGCGTGCGTCCCACCACTCTGCGCTCCACCAGGTGCGTCAGACGCTGCTGCCTGGGCGGCCTGCGGCTCTGCCGGGGCCTGGCGGCGGAGCTCCCGGGGCGGCCGCCACCGCCGGCGAGGCCGCCAGCGGCGCTCCGCGGGGGACTCCGGCCCCCGCCGCCGCCCCCGCGGCACAAGGGCGGCTCGGTGCGCGCCCGCTTGTGCGGCGGCCGCTGCTGTTGCCCCAGGTCGTCGATCAGCCACTCGGAGTCCGACACGTAACGCTCGGCCGCGATGAGCGCCGGGCTGGGAGACGCCGCCGTCGGAACTGTGTCGCCGTACTGCGTGGAGCTCGCCGCGGGATGTCCCATGAGCAGCCTGCAAACGACAATCGCCGGCCACGGTCAATACCCACTGCTGGATGAATGCCTCTCCAAGCCGATTTCATCGCTCCGAGGGCGTCGCATCGGACACGTTCCATTTCTTGGTTGCCGCTCCATTATCACTGTCGGCCATCGCCTTTTCTAGCTAAGTGTCCTGTCCGAGCCCTCTGACTTTGTTCACACGTTAGAATGTTGTCATTCGCCTGCATATGTTCTCTAATCCGCGTATTATAACGGCAAACAGCCATTCCAATAAAACCTTTATGAAGATGTTATAAACATGTCTTAACTTCAACCATGACTATATTTCACAAAACAACTGCACTTCATAAATTTGAAATTAGCTGCAGTGACCTAGCCGTTGTTGTTATTATTATAATGCTGTAATAATGTCCAATTTATACTCACGCCCAGCATTTGTCCAGTGAGGCGCTAACACAAGTCGGAAAAGTTTTATATGAAGGACAAAAAAAAGCACAAGTGACAGGCACACGGTGATGAATATGGTAATTGTGGTAGCATTAGTACAACAAAAGCACATCTTCTGCTGTACAAAAAAAACTAAGAAGATAATGTTTAACACAACCGGCCCAAAAGCAACAACTATGAAACATTATTTCATGTTCAGAAAATGCAGAACTGATTGATAATATGGGTGTAAAAAAGGTAATATTTGGGGATTAGGCCTTATAATATGTTGTGCGTAAACTGAATAATCTGAGTGACAAAGCACAAATACGAAGAAATTGATGGGTTGATGAAAAAAATTGAAGATAATTCACTTCCATAACACTGAATATAGAAAAAGGATTTTATTTTTTTGCACATTAATAATCAGTCATCACATTCTTGATCCCAAGGGACCTCGATATAACTGAGGGAAAATGTATTTCAAAATGGAATGTGAGATGATTTGTCCATTCTTCGAATGTACACGCAGTTAATATTTATGGACCTACCTACACGATACGTACCCACATATACTGATCAAGACAACTCATTACTGCTTATGTCAATTTGTGATGAGGTGCAATCATTTCAAGTAAAACGTATTTTTTGATTTGCCTTTGGCCTTTGGCGACAGTGACCAAGCGATAGGAATCATTGATGTCTCTTATCAGGCACCAGTGTGCCCAGATGTCTGTGAATCTCAACGGCGAATTGATTACAGCTGACACAATATAAAAACCCTCCAATAGTAACTGTACCAACAGGCTCTACAATGCACCTACTAAAATTCAGGTCCGCACTCCTAACGTTCAAAAGGTTATTTTCACACTCACATTTTATTTCTGCAAGCTGTGTTTACGATTTACATTTCTATTAGGTATCGTACGATGACAGTCAAAGTATGCATACTCCAAATATTGCATTTCTGTAAAAGCCACAGCAGCAGAGTGAATGAGAAATCCACAAAACAATCAATGGGCATTTCCAGTGAGATGATGGGACCTTTATACAATTCAAAGCCAAATTGGCTCTCTGATCAAATGAGGAAATGCAATTCTTGCGTGGCAGCCCACAGCCAGTGGCAGAAATGTCATTAATCCTATGACAGGGGGGCAGTCTCTCCACATGATAACCACTGTTGACTGCTGATAAATTGGTTCTTATTTTAGCGACCCCAGAGAAATGATAGGCCGAGTTATCTCCTAACAGGGCTTTGAAGTTGAAACCTTTAAAGGTCTTGCTGGGACAGCGCGGTGCCAACAGAGTATGTGTATTTTATGACTCTTATTTTGGAACAATGCTCACCTACGTTACCAGAAACACAGTCTCAGAAAAAAGGGAGGAAGGTTAAAAGTACAGGCGGCAGAAATTTGGCCATTTAAGAACCACTGCGGGAAAACCTAGAAGGGACCGAGTGAAAATGTTGAGAAGTGCTGGCAATTGAAGAAAATCTATATATAGGAGGGGATATATTGATGAAAAGGTATGGGCAGGTATGGGGTGGTCGCCCTGGTTATTGCTGTGGGTATACTAATATATTATTAAAAAGTTTTGCTAGCTGGCTGGCTGGCTGGTACGCAGCTAGGAAAGCATGCGGTGGTGACGTCAGCACGTACATATGCGTGGTGACATCACACGCATCCCGCAGCGCTCTTTCTCTCTTCTTGCTCCCCTTCACTGGAACAAACTTCCCCTCCACATGAAGCAGTCACCTTCGCTCACTAGTTTCCACTCCTCACTCACAACTCACTTATTCTTCTCTCGCTCACCCCACGACCTCCTTAATCTCCCCCTCATAACCACCACCACAACCATTCCTGTTCCCTCTTGATAATCTATCTCTGTGGCTATCACTCATTTCCCATCTACCTAATTGATTCATAATCATTTGGGCTCATATATTTGCTTTAACCGAATTCACGCATCACAGATTCGTCCATTTGCGTTCTCTCAATTATTTTATTCACCTCATCTCCGCCATTACATTCATACGCACCGTTGTCAATTCTCTGTAAAGTGCCTTAACCAAGGCGCTTTATAAATTACGTTAAGATAAGATCACGCCCCCCCCAACCCACTCTCCACTGGTTCCTGCACAAATGGGCGGGAAGTGCTCGCATTGACCACAAAATACACACCGTCTGCTTCACAGTGGAAGAAAAATAATATCCTGTGGCGTCATTCGCAAGAGCAGGCCATTCGGGTGCTGGCGTCAGGGTAAAAAAAGTGCCACATTTGAAAACTTACCCGCAAATTACTCCATTGGGATTATATCGTACATACCAAACATCGCTCCCAACCACGAGACATATGGCTGGACCCTCCCGAAAAATAGTCGTAAGACACGGCGGGGCTTCCCCGGGATAATCAATTGTAAAAAATAATTAATACAATCTGTGGAATTTTCAGCGAAAAAAATACCGAGAGGCTCAGAAAATGGGAGTGAAATTTTATATTTTAAGAGGTAATTCTGAAAATTCCGACAATTAAATATGTAGCTGTATAAACAACAATAATAAAAATAATGCCCCGTAATTGTCCTGGAAAGTCTTGACGTTGATGCCCTGGGCAATTTCATAAGTGTTTTGTTCTATAACATGCAACTGGGGCGACGTGGTGCCAAAATGTTATCTCCCTCTCCTGCGATGCGGGAAGTCGTGGGTTGGAACCCGGACCCTGACGATGCCTTTTGTACATTTGGAGTCCGTGTGTTCTCTCTCTCTCTCCCATGGTGATTGAGTGTTTTTTTTCTGGGTTTCTCTGGTTTTGCCCAACATACATTTAGATGATTTTGCTGCTTCTGTAAATTCATGACGTGTGGCCAGTTTGCCTCTGAAAAATATCTCAGAACTCAGTTAGCTTTACCTGATAAAATATTGTATTTTTTATCTTCAGAAATTATGTCTGTCTAAAATAAAAATGTTTTTTTTACCTGATTACTATTCATGTTAATGAAGTACAATTTGTTACTAAATAAATAAAGAATAAGTATATAACAGTAAACATTCTATGTTGTGGATTTGTAAACATTCTATGTTGTGGATTTGCTCTCCAATACACCAATGTGCTGTACTGGTAACGAATTGGCATGTTCTGTTTACGTGACAAACCTTACTAATTGGCTGTGTCGGTCGGTGGCGGGCTTAACGACACATTTATATTTACGCGATCCAACCCAAAAAAACCTATATTATGGATTCTATTATTGTAAAATAAAAATGTTTTTCGCATAGTCAAGCATAAAAGAAAATGGAAATAAAACTTGCATGACTATGTATTTTGATGAAGTGTTGCCATATCACTTCAGTAAATTATTATCAATAACACAACGAAAAAAGGGGGCCTTCAAAGTGTGATAATGCAAGCACTATTCAATCAGTCCATTTAAAATCCATCAGTCTACTTTATTGAGGCCCAGCATCAGAGACCAACCTCAAAAGTGACACTTTAGCATCAACAAAAAACAACGGTTTTGAATAAATTTTTTGTTCAATCGCCAGCCACGCGAAGAGTAAAATTTATCCCATGCGCTGCCAGATACCTCCTGCTACGAGACAGGCAGCTAAAAAAAAAGCCGACGTCAATTTCCACCTCATTGTTACCCCACCTACAGAGGGGAAAAAAGTATTTGATCCCCTGCTGATTTTGTACGTTTGCCCACGAACAAAGAAATGATCAGTCTATAATTTAAATGGTAGGTTTATTTGAACAATGAGAGACAGAATAACAACAAAATCCAGAAAAACGCACGTCAAAAATGTTATAAATTGATTTGCATTTTAATGAGGGAAATAAGTATTTGACCCCTCTGCAAAACATGACTTAGTACTTGGTGGAAAAATCCTTGTTGGCAATCACAGAGGTCAGACGTTTCTTGTAGCTGGCCACCAGGTTTGCACACATCTCAGGAGGGATTTTGTTCCAATCCTCTTTGCAGATCTTCTCCAAGTCATTAAGGTTTCGAGGCTGACGTTTGGCAACTCGAACCTTCAGCTCCCTCCACAGATTGTCTATGGGATTAAGGTCTGGAGACTGGCTAGGCCACTCCAGGACCTTAATATGCTTCTTCTTGAGCCACTTCATTGTTGCCTTGGCCTTGTGTTTTGGGTCATTGTCATGCTGGAATACCCATCCACGAACCATTTTCAATGCCTTGGCCGAGGGAAGGAGGTTCTCACCCAAGATTTGACGGTACATGGCCCCGTCCATCGTCCCTTTGATGCGGTGAAGTTGTCCTGTCCCCTTAGCAGAAAAACACCCCCAAAGCATAATGTTTCCACCTCCATGTTTGACTGTGGGGATGGTGTTCTTGGGGTCATAGGCAGCATTCTTCCTCCTCCTCCTCCTCCAAACACGGCGAGTTGAGTTGATGCCAAAGAGCTCCATTTTGGTGTCATCTGACCACAACACTTTCACCCAGTTGTCCTCTGAATCATTCAGATGTTCATTGGCAAACTTCAGACAGGCATGTATATGTGCTTTCTTGAGCAGGGGGACCTTGCGGGCGCTGCAGGATTTCAGTCCTTCATGGCGTAGTGTGTTACCAATTGTTTTCTTGGTGACTATGGTCCCAGCTGCCAGGGAGATTGACAGTTCTTTTGTGTTTCTTCCATTTGCAAATAATCACACCAACTGTTGTCACCTTATTCTTAGTTTTTTCGGTAAAGTCACGTTGAAGGGAAACAACGTGACTTTACCGAAAAAACTAAGAATATGTTGTCACCTTCTCACCAAGCTGCTTGGCAATGGTCTTGTAGCCCATTCCAGCCTTGTGTAGGTCTACAATCTTGTCCCTGACATCCTTGGAGAGCTCTTTGGTCTTGGCCATGGTGGAGAGTTTGGAATCTGATTGATTGATTGCTTCTGTGGACAGGTGTCTTTTATACAGGTAACAAGCTGAGATTAGGAGCACTCCCTTTAAGAGTGTGCTCCTAATCTCAGCTCGTTACCTGTATAAAAGACACCTGGGAGCCAGAAATCTTTCTGATTGAGAGGGGGTCAAATACGTATTTCCCTCATTAAAATGCAAATCAATGTATAACATTTTTGACATGCGTTTTTCTGGATTTTTTTGTTGTTGTTCTGTCTCTCACTGTTCAAATAAACCTACCATTAAAATTATAGACTGATCATTTCTTTGTCAGTGGGCAAACGTACAAAATCAGCAGGGGATCAAATACTTTTTCCCTCACTGTATCTACGCTGCTGCATTTCATCTATCTTGTATTTCTGGATATTTATTTACACTGGAGGAATCCGATGAGCTATAAAGCTCTTTCCCACAGATGTCCAGTGGCGTTATGCCTTGCACAGAATGAACCGTCGTCACACCTTTATTTCAAGTCTGACACTAAAAAACATGACACGCGTGAAACTGTGAGATGATGAAAAAAAGAATAATCATTCAGTATTACGTGAAAATCCTTTTTTTTTTAAGTTTTAAGTTTTCGTAGCAGGCTCATCAATTAAACCCCTGCTGCAACCAAATAAGCCCCTTTCTTCGGCCCCTTGGGAAATCCCTATCGCCAAGCACCAGCAGCAGGCGTTTCATTAGGCACGTTTAATTCGTCTTTTGAGAAAATGATGTGCGGAGAGGAGTTACAGGAGCAGTTATTGTCGAAACAAAAATTCGTTCCGGAGCTTGTGGGACGGTGTACATGGATGAGTAATACTCCATTGCTGTGAAATACAGGCACGAAGGCTCATTTAACCTCTGAACAATCCCCCTCCGTATTGCTCGGTTATTTATGGTGCAGTGTCCAAGGATGCAACGGCGAGACAATGAGCAACAAAGCAAGCCACCTTTTCAGATGCCGCTGGGGAAAGAAAGTAAGTAAATGGGTCCCGCGACATACAAAATGCCCAAAAGAATGTGTGTTGTCAGCGTAACCAATCACCTGGAAAACGAATTAACCAAACGCGAAGAACAATTGCACGCACTTTGCAAGGATTTTCACAGGAGATTGTTCCCAATGTTCCTATCCATAATCTATTATTTCACAGCCTTCCAGACCAAGCGCCCCCGCCCCCCCCCCCCCCGCCTCTTGAGTTTAAGTAAAATCGCAGGGAAATGGGGTTTTTCGGGGATATCGACTCAAGCTGGGGAACTCACTCCCCAAAATGTCGTTTAGTTTTACATATACTGTACATGTAGCGTTGTCGTTCATGCAAATTGCAGCTCACGATCGCCAGAGGAACCACAGGAGGCAGCTGGAAGGCAGCGAAGAGCCAGCGCTGCCAACAGTTGTGCAGAGTCGATGGTCTCGGACACGTCACCAATTTCTCCACAAAAATGCCCATCGGATTATGTATGTTGAACTTCTTTTGCACCATACGTACCAAGCGGTGCTAATCTGTGGGGTCCTGGGTGTCTCCATGGGTGTCTCCATGGGTGTCTCTATGGGTCCGGGTGTCTGTGGGTCTCTGTATGTACTATGTTGAACTTCTTTCGCAACGTACGTAGCCAGCCAACCGCGCAAATCGTGTCAGAATTTCTTTCTTCTAGGAATAATTAGCACAATTTAGACCAAACACAAGCTGATGATGGACAAGTTTACCGAGTGATCGATTAATTATTTGGCATAATTCAATAGCATTTTTTTGTAAACTACTTCATTTAAAAAGTTGTCCATGAAGATTTTTTAACACACTGCAAAAACATAGAGAATTACACTTTTGCCATCTTTGTCTTATGGAATGCACGTTACATCTGGAATTTGTGTTGTAGTTTCGTAATTAACAACATTAATCAACGTACCGCATTAACGTACCATGCGCGCACCGGACGATTGACGTGGGGTAGAAGCGCAGGAACACACCCCACTCTAAGCGCCTCTTACCGGTTCCTGGTGCTGCCCAGATCCCTGATTGCCTCACGGTACGCAGACGCTCCACATTTAGGCGCGTCCACGCTTCGCGCTTCCTCCCGAAACGCCGGCGGCACCGCCACCTTGTCGTCACCATCCTCGCTGTCGGTGGCCGAGAGCTCGTCACCGTCTCCTCCGTTGCGTAGGTTCGTGCCTCTAAGTGACCGCCGCAAGTTGTCGCCACTCCGCGACCTGGAACCATCACACACCAGCCATGCCACGGTGGAGAGATGTTAACCACCTCGCCTGGTGTACACGAGGTCGTGGATTCGATTTTGTATGAAAAAGTTTTTTGTTTTTAATAAAGGTGCATAAAATGTGAAACTCAAATGAGCTCCTCTATTTAATGAAATATTCTATAAATACATGGTCTGGAGGAAGATGTATTCAGCATTCCAATAATTGACATCTCAATGCAAATTCTACTCGAGTCGAATCCAAACCGTATACTTCTATTCACATCCCCCATACTCCGAGTGGTACAGCGATTTATTTCTACTGAACATTACAATACATACATTCTCATTCATCGGGAGAGTAACATTTTATGTACAAATGAATACGTTATCATCTTCAGCACCATTATATATACAGTGAGGGGAAAAAGTCATTGATCCCCTGCTGATTTTGAACGTTTGCCCACTGACTATTTGACCCCCTCTCAATCTTTCTGATTGAGAGGGGGTCAAATACTTATTTCCCTCATTACAATGCAAATCAATTGATAATATTTTTGACGTGCGTTTTTCTGTATTATTTTGTTGTTATTCTGTCTCTCACTGTTCAAATAAACCTACCAATAAAATTTTAGACTGATCATTTCTTTGTCAGTGGGCAAACGTACAAAATCAGCAGGGGATCAAATACTTTTTTCCCTCACTGTATGTACAGTAAAACCTTGGATTGCGAGCATAATTCTTTCCGGAAACGTGTTTGTAATCCAAAGCACTCGTATATCAAAGCACTCGTATATCAGTTGTGATCACGTCACGCTCGGCAGACAAAGCGTATACGTACTACTCGTATTGCAAGACCTCGCTCGTTAATCAAATTTATATTTATTTAAAAAATTTGCTCGTCTTGCAAAACACTCGCAGACCAAGTTACTCGCAATCCAAGGTTTTACTGTATGTTGAAATTATTTTGCACTGTATGTAGCCCAACCGTGCTAATCGGAAGTTCGGGGGAAGGACAACAAACCTAAACACAAAAATCAGTTGTAAAGAAATGAGTTTTCAATCTAGATGATTTAAAAGCGCATAGCTCCCAGTATCTTCAAAATATCGGAAGGAAGAGCGTTCCATAGAGCCGCAGACGCGTAACTGAAAGCACGCGATGCAGTGACCAGCTTTGTTCGATGGTTATCCAAAAAGCCGCTGTGAGAAATAGATAGAAACAATAGATATAGAAAAACAATATTCCTTAACAAGGCCAGATTGGTTTGTTCTTCAAGTCACGAGCTTCTCCCTCATCATTTCAACAGCGTTGTTGTTGTTGTCGTTAAACCTGGGCCTCTCATCTGGTTCTGAAGCGAAGGGAGATGACTGATTAAACCAATCTCTTGACCATTTCACTACGATCCTCCTCTGCGTCAAGCAGCAACCCGCCAATAAATCATTGGCCCGCCGGGGTAATGAAGTCGAGTGTGTCTACCGCGTGACGAATGAGTCGGCGGGGGTGGGGGGCGAGTACGAGGAGCTGGGTCAGAATGGGAGGCTGGGATTGGGATCACCTGGACATTGTGGGACCAGGGGAACGCTGTGGCGCCTTGGTTAGGCGTGTACCATACACGCATCACAACAAAGGCGGTCACCGGCATCGCGCACTTTCAGATGCGCTTCTGCGGCCATCTGGAATGCTCTTCCGTCCCATATTAGGAAGCCACTGGGAACTATGCATTTTAAAATATCAATTGGAAACTCATTTATATAATCAACGACATTTTTTGCAGTGGCCCTAATACATAGCATTTCAATATTAATTTCATTATTACCACAATTTGTTTACTCAGAAATACCTAATTGAGTCTCGTGACTCGTTTTCAGGAGGGTCCTGCCAAGTTTCCGCAATTGACTATGATGGTTGCTATGTGTGAGCACGATGGCTGCTATGTACAAGCACGATGGATGCTATGTATTTCCATCCTTGCAGCGGCTTTTGAATAGCCATCGAACAAAGACGGCCACCGCATCGCGCGCTTTCAGATGCGCTTCTGCGGCCGTCTGGAACGCTCTTCCTTTCGACATGAGGAAACCACTGGAGCTATGCACTTTTAAATCTAGATTGAAAACTCAATTGTTTCGCACTGCTTTCTGTATTTAATTTGTTGTCCTTCCCCCGCGATGTACGGTGCAAAAGAACTTCAACATATTCCATTCCCAAACACAAGGCACTCGCAGTACCTTCCTGACGCGATCGCAGCACAACGAGCACAAATCTACGGTTGCTGTGAGTCACGCCGGTGCCTCGTAATGCATTGCACGCGCGTGCGCGCCACGGAGATCGTTTATTGCGGGCAATCCCCACGGCATGGCAGGCTGCGTGCACGGCCTGGCAAGGCGCGTGCCGCTTGACGCAAAGTGAACGTCACCCCGGAGCGGTTCAATCCCGCGGTCTGAAAGCGAGCTTTCTGAGCGTAAGCATGCATCTAGATTGGGCAGAGAATACAGGCGAGAGATAAGGCAGGGAGTGAGCCCTAGTTCCGAAAGACTTTATTTATGTATTTATTTTATTTACGAGGAGATCCCGCCACCCCCCCACCACCTCCACCACCGTCACATTGTGTGAGACCAGTGCAGACGTCACCGAGTTAAGCTCAAAGGTGCCGTGGTTCTGGTAATTATAGGCTGTGCATCATTGACGAAATACAATTTGTAATTTAGCCCTTTGCCAAGTATCACTGCTGAAGTCTTTTCCACACCTGTAATTACTGACAATGACGCCTCTTGTGCACAACTCTGTTTCTAGATGCCACCGCAGACCAGAGTGTGAAGCAAACAGCCACGCTCCCCAGTGCTTAAAAAGCTCCATGACTGTGACGTAATCAAGAGAGAAAGGTTTCTAAATATTACTTCAATGTTCAATTAAATGTAATTCTCACATTTTGAAGACATTATATGCATCGCGATGGAAAGATGTTTTCTCCCTGACCTGGTATACTGGAGGTCGTGGGTTCGATCCTGAACCCGAAGCCAGGATATTTAGAGTTTGCATGTTCTCCCCGTGGTCGTGTGGATTTTTCTTTGGGTCCTCCGATTTTTCCCTCCATATTTATAAAAAAACATCAAGCGTTTAAGAGTATTTTACTGCGATAAATTTCCACGTGATAAGCCGCTTCGTTGACTTATCATTTGTGACCACTTTGCATCTGAAAAGAGCAGTATAGCTCAAGTGGGCCTTACTTAGTTTAACACATAGGCTTTTGCGAACAATATAATCCATAATACAGGTTTTTTTGGGTGAGATCGCGAAAATATGAGTGTCGTTAATCCAGCCACCACCCAACACAGCCAATTATTAAGGTTTGTCACGTAAATAGAACATGCCAATTCGTTACTAGTACAGCACACCGGTGTGTTGGAGAGTCAAGCCACAACATTTACAATCCGAGTACGAAATTTCGCCAGTAATTACACCTAGCTTCATCAGGCAAGAGCCAGATTTGTGGAGAAGTCCTCCTGTTTCATTCCTTAAATAGAGGGGTAGATGTGATGACAACACTTGTACGCTCTTATTGTGCCAAGTGGGGGGGGGGGGGGAGGGGATTAATGACTGCCTTACTTGCTAAAATAAAAAAAAATGTTTTTAGTTTAAATGCCTCAGAGCCACCTCTGACCTTGATCTGTGATGAGTCCTAGGATGATTCGGGGCTGGTTTGGAGAATTCGGGAGCAGCGTGCAAGGGAAGGCCAGCGCTGCGGCCGTCTGCTCCTGCCTTCCGTGCTTTGGGTGCTCTCTCCTGACGACGCTGAGCCGCGGGGAGCTCCTCCTGCTCCTCCTCCGTGTCGAACAGAGAATCGCCGAGGCCACCCCAAACGGCAGCGGGCTGCGCCGCGGTGCTTGCTGAACACACACAAACATCGATGGGGGAAAAAAAAAGGAATGGCTTTTACCCTTTCTGGCAATAAAACAACATGCTCTGATAATTATGCACTGTCTCTGAAACCGATTGGCCTACACCAGAGACAGCTTTCTTGATGGCGTAGTCTCACCTGTGTTGAGACCAGAGAACGCCAAAAGGCGAGCAGTACAAAGACGATGCAAGTATCAGAAAACGTATTATTCGGGTCGAGCAGTTAAATCTGCGGGACCTTTTTGGTAGTGTCCAAGATGATGAAAAGATAATAGGTTTTACCCTTTCTGGAAAACATCGATGCGCATTCAGCGACGAGCATTCGCGAATGCGGGGGCGGCGACATGACCTCGCGGCAGCGCTTTCGACGCTTGTTGCAGGGGTTCGTGGTTCAAATCCAGCAGCCAACCTGGTTAATACTGCGGGTGCATTAACCGTAAGAATACATGTCGTGTGCTTCAGAGTGGACGTTAAAGATACGATGGCGTCATGAGCAAGCGTAGGCCGTTGTGTGCCAGTGTCACGGCCCAAATTTGAAAAAATTGCCCGCAAATTACTCAATTTGGGATGACGTATGTATGTTAAACTTCTTTTGCACCGTACGTAGCCAACCGTGCTAATCGGGAGGTGCGGGGGAAAGACAACAAACTAAACACAGAAAGCAGTGCGAAACAATTGAGTTTTCAATCTAGATTTAAAAGTGCATAGCTCCAGCGGCTTCCTAAAATCGTAAGGAAGAGCGTTCCAGACGGCCGCAGAAGCGCATCTGAAAGCGCGCGATGCGGTGACCGTCTTTGTTCAATGGCTATCCAAAAGCCGCTGTAAGGATGGAAATACATAGCATCCATCGTGCTTATACATAGCATAACCATCGTGCTCAGATATAGCAACCATCATAGTCTATTTAGGAAACTTGGCAGGACCCTCCTGAAAACGAGTCACGAGACTCAATTAGGTATTTCTGAGTAAACAAAATTGTGGAAATAACGAAATAAATATTGAAATGCTATGTATTAGGGCCACAGCACAAAATGTCTTTGACTATATAATTACTTTCTTTAAAAGCAGTGTTGTTGACAAGTGTGTTGAGTTTTTTTTTTGTTTATAAATGAAAGTGCTGGTCATACCATAATAAAATAGCGAATATAACATACCTGTTAACACATACGGTTTAACCAATATTCTTGTACAGGGAAATTTAGTTTTCAGGTCAATACAGCGTACAGCCTTTTCAATACAGGCAAAAAAATGTGGCTATGTTTGTGTTTGTAAGATGAACGTTCATATATATACGGGCACAGCGTGACCAATAAGGTCTAAATTGGTCTGTAATAAGGTAGACACTGATAAGCAATACAACTTCCACTCAAATAAATAACATCAATGACTTAAAACACATTTTTTTTGTCATACAAGCATCATTACCCACGTGACTAATAATGATGATGTGCATTTATATAGCATCTAAATACAAAAAAACGTCTCTGGACATAATGAATAGCAATATTCACATTACGACTTTCATTTGCAGCATTCACAAACTTGCTTTAAACAAGGTTACTTTCGACGCCACTGAAAGTGACGTATCATTCAATACAACACGGGTTTTTTTTTTTGAAGAATCGCAATGAGACAGCACCTCGGGATTGTGCAAACAGAAGGGTACATGCACATAGAGGGGACCCGGAAGAGAGGAGGATGCTACTTCAGAAGAGTGAACAGGGTGGTATGATGGGGCTATAGGGCAAATAAATCAGCCGATCACAGCATGCAACGTTTTAAATGAATACACTCAATAGTTAACAGGCAGAGGCTTGAAGAGGGAATGGTTTCTCTGCAGTGTGGACAGAATCAGTTTTTATAATTAAGGAATCCAATGAGCGACAAAGCTCTTTTTCACAGATGTCCAGTAAAACTCCGCCTATCCTATACGGACGTTGTGCGCTATTCTAACGTTGCAAAGGAATATCAAAGAAGAGGCTTGGACCTTCCAACACAACGTCTTTCACGGGCAACCCCGTCGCACGAATGCAATTTGTATTCTGCGCAAAGTCTGAATTTCAGGAGCAGCCTCTCTATTCAGTCAGGACAACCATGCAGCATGGGCTGCCTGGCCCTTTCCTATAATAGTGTAATGATGTCATGACACTAGCAGGAAGAGAAGATAATTTGGGATTTAAAATAGCAACGTTGAATAATTAAAAATAATGCTAATTATATACCCAAGAAAGCCTCATTGGCGCTTTAGGACAATTTTTTTCAGGAAGGTCCAGCATTGAAATGTTGGGAAATTCCATAAATTAGCGTTTGGCATATGCAAGGAAAAACCCAGAGTGCACGCGAAGGTACCCACGCCAGATCGCAGCCCACAGCCCCAAGTCTACAACAACGTTGTAGTTATCATCACTGTTCAGCTCCTGAGATCCCACGAGATCACCCCTGGATCAGAGGAGATCCAGGGGTGCCCTGGTGGCTGAGATGTTAACTACATCGCCTGGTATACAGGAGATCGTAGGTTCGATCCCAACCCTGACGCCCGTTGTATATTTTGAGTTTGCATGTTCTCAACGTGGATTTTTTTCCGGGTCCTCCAGCTTTTTCCCTCCACTTTCAGAAACATGCGTTTAGAATATTTGGGTGATATAAATTTTCACATGATAAGCCACTTTGTTCAGCCATCATTTGTGAGAGCCAGCTCACTTCTGAAAAAGAGATATATAGCTCAGTGGGCCTTACCAGATAATATAAATAGTTAGTTTAGTTTTAGTTTATTTACTGTAATTTGATTGTAAAATGTAAACCACGTTAAACGAAACAGGCCAATTAAAAAATGTTAAATATTTTTTTCACTCGGTTAACACACTGCACTTGCGATGAAGAGGTCACCGGTTTTGACCTCCTGGCTGCGGCAGTTGAAACCGCGAGCGAGTTTCCTGAATGTCCAAAATCTCTGACGAAGACATCTGGGAAGCGTGGGGTGCCGCGGTGGCGAGATGTTAACGCCCTCGCTTCGTGTGCAGGAGGTTGCGGCTTCGATTCCGACCCTGACATATTTGAAGTTTCCATGTTTCCCCCGTGGCTACGTGGATTTTTCTCCGGGTCCTCCGGTTTTTCCCTCCACATTCAGAAACATGCCTCGAGAGAATTCGGCTGCTATACATTTCCACGTGATAAGCCACTTCGTTGAGCTATCACTTGTGGCCAGGTAGCTTCTGACAAAGCAAAGAGCTATATAGCTCAGTGGGCCTTACCTGGAAAAAAAAAAGTTTCGTTTAGGTCTCAAATTAGCCTCTGGCGGGGCTCTCAAGGGCTCTCCCGAGTGGAGTGGCACGAGCGAGGAATTGCAAGGGCTGTGCCTTTACCGAACATTCTACTTGCAGCCGCACGTAAATCAAATTCGCACCTAACACTATGCGAAGAAAAAAATGTACATTACCGAACAGAAGATGACGATTACAAATGCAACACCAACGATGAACCATGCAGCCATGTGTTTGTATTATTTCTGTTTACCATTTTGCAATTGTGCATATATATATCGGAAATTGCACACTGAAGGAAAACGTGCAAATTAATTTAAATACGAAAAAAATTACATGTCAATGAATTCAGCATGCAAAGAGATCAGTTCGAGAAAAAAAAAACTATCGGGAGAAGATGCAAAACAGCTTGGGTGGTGAAAGGATATTTGACCAAGTTGTGTCCCTGGTGTGGAGAAAGAGGCCGATTGCAAGGCCTTCATAAGGAGCAATTGAGTGTTGTCATCCTCCACAGCTGTCCAGTGACACCTTGCATTGGTAACATTCCCAATAAAAATGTAGGTGTGTCATGGCATGATGCCAAAAAGCTAAATTTCAATACTATTGGGAGAAAGGAGCAAACAAACATTATTATGGCAGTGGTAAGGAGAAGAGAAAAACAACTATTGCCAGAACATGTGTGCGAGTAGAATGGGAAGATAGCGAAGAGAAATAAAGGAGATGGAAGCGTAGCTGAACAAGGGATAAACATCGGGCGCCTTGGAAATTCCGCACGTGCCGACGCATGAATTGAGCACTGTGTTCCGAGCACATCGCAGGTGGTGCTCTTCGGTCAGATAAAAAAGGGAGACATTTCCAAGGTAGGTACAAAGATGCTCTGCCACAGACAATAAAGAGTTGCCACGTCGACCCGAGCAACTGGGAGAACGTCGCAGCAGGTAGCTTTGTCACGAGCGGCAAAGATACCGGGAAGGACCTTCCCACGTGCGACAAAAGAAAACGCCACAAACACGATTGCCGAAGGCAAGACAACCAGATCACGCTCGACTTCACGCTTGCCGGCCACCAATACGCACATCAGAGAATCCACCGATAAAGGCAGCCACCACCGTGACAGAAAGAGTCGTCGATACTGACGGAGAAGTATGTGTGATGGCACAGACAGGAGGAACCTTGGCCCGCGCGCCTCTCCAGTAGAGATACGTGGGAGACAACGAGGTAAGGAAGCAGACTTTGCCCGACTACCGTCGCGCGCAAATGGGGGCAGACCTCCCGAATACCAACTGTTTTGTTGCCAGTGATAAAAAACTGACGATGATAATTGGGTCACTGGACTTCTGTCATCGCATTCCTTGGTGTGTACACGTACAGCTGTCTGTCTGGAGATGTGGGCATCCCCACGCTGTGCGGGTCGTGGGGGTCACTTGGGCGAACAAAAGTGTAGTACAACAATGGATGTTGCTGCACTGCCCTCTTCTGCCCACCAGGTAACCCCACAGCCTACAACACCTGTTATGCATGGTGGTTACCCATCCAAGCACCATCCAGGATCAGCCCCTAAATACCTTCAGAAACCGAGCGAGATTCGGTGCATTTTAAGCGATTTGGTCACGCCTTATCACTGCCTGCTAAACGATTATATTCATCGCCGGGGATTGCAAATGTTTACGTGCAGTGACCCTGCAGAAACGGGGGATGTTTTTTCATTCTACATCACAATTGATTATGCATTCGTCTCAGGGGGGATCTGAGGTCCTGGCGTGAACGCGATGTTCTTTATGGAGCATCCTGTAAAAAAAAGGTGCTGAGCAAATAAAGCAGTGAAAGGAGGGGTGCCACGGTGGCTAGATGTTAACTACCTCGCCTGGTCTACAGGAGGTCGTGCGTTCGATCCCGACCCTGACGCCTGCTGTGTATTTGGAGTTTGCTTGTTCTCTCCGTGGTCGCGTGGATTTTCCTCTGGGCCCTCTGGTTTTTCCCTCCACATTTAGAATCGCCGTGTGCTTAAAGTATTTGGCTGATATACATTTCCACATGAATAAGCCACTTAGTTGATATACCATTTGTGACCAGGTTAGTTCTGAAAATGAGTTATATAGCTCAGTGGGCCTTACCTGGTGAAATCAAAATAGTTTAGTTTTTAGTTGAGACAAGGGGGAGGAATGGAAGGGTATTTATGTTGAACTTCTTTCACACCATACGTAGATAACCGTTCAATTCTGATTCAACTGCGATGTGATGGACACGTATGTGCGTATGTATGTTGAACTTTTTTCACACCGTGCGTAGCCAATCGTGCTAATCGGAGGTGCAGGTAAGGACACCAAACTAAACACAAAAAGCAATTCTGACGATATGAGTTTTCAATCTAGATTTAAAAATGCATAGCTCCAGTGATTTAACAATATCAGAAGGGCATTCCAGGCGGCCGCAGAAGCGCATTTGAAAGCGCTCGACGCGGTGACCTTCTTTGTTCGATGACAAGCCAAAAGCCGCTGCTGGCTAGCGAGGATGACCGGAGTTCCACGTGATAGTTTGTGCTCCTCGACGAGATCAGCAAGGTATTGCGGTTCGTATGCATGCATGTCGAACTTCTTCCGCACCGTACGAAGCCAACCGCGCTGATCGGGGGTGCGGTTCAAGGGAGAACGGGATGAACGCGCCCGCGCACACACACCTCTCCTGGCCGCGTCGGTCAGCAAGCGGTCCATATCCCGGCAAGTGTCGCGGGTCTCCCGATCCAAGTGTCGCCCGTACTCCTTGCACCACTCGCGCAGGGAATCCAACGGCGTGCCGCCCTGGAGGTTACGGGGAAGGGGGGGGGGGGGCACACCAAAGAGCGGCGGCGGTGGGGGCCGGTGTCTCTTCGTGCGTTCGTTCGTTTGACAAGAGGGCCTCGCCAGAACGAGAGCTTGCAAGTGACGGACTAGTCGTTGTCAACAGTGTGTCCCCAAGTTAATGTGTTGTGCCTTGGTAAAATAAAAAAAAATACTCACTGACTTATGGGCGACGAAGCAGAGCCTATGCCTAAAGCTTTGTCCGTTATATATCCCTGTTATACCTTTCAAGGCCACAGTATTACTGACGAATTTGTTGAGGTTTTTTGTGTTTTTAGTTTTCCTGTGTCGACGTCCACAGGACTTTATCTTAATTTTCAACATTTAGTAATTTGATGGAGGGGTGTGATATCGATTCATTGATTGACATCAATAATTTTTTTCACGGCAATATCGCTTAAGCTCACGATAAATCCACAGGATTGCGTGACAATCGACGTCTTTCAATATACATACACACACAGCGTGATGAATATACAACGGGAGTTCCAACAGGTGAACCCTCCAGCCACGAGAGGTCACTGCGCTCATCGCAACGTTAAATCAAATTGCGACTCTTAATGGACACCAACGAGCATGGAAAGCGGTGCTCATCTCCAATAGGAGGCTGCAGGCAGATTCCTGTGAGGGGTATCAGACTGGACAATGCTGAGCTGAGCCGACCCCCCTGACCTGGTTTTGAAGTCATGTCAGGACCACTGCCAACAATGTCAGCTGGCAGATTTAATACGAAGATAAACCGTTTTGTATTTTATTTTGCCAGGTAAGGCCCACTGAGCTATACAGCCCTATAAAACCTCACTTGTCACACAGGTCATTACGAGACAATCTTAACGCAGTTTGAATTGCGCGGTACGTTAAAAATCAATTCATGCAAAGACAATCAGTAATACATTTAGTCGCGTCTATACACCCTCAAGGCAATAGACATTTTGTCTACCCAACCCACAGATACTTCACCATCAATAACCGAGAACGTCACTCGTTATTAATTCCTCCACCCATGCTGAGGACTCGGGTCTACCAGTTCTCATCTTCCCTCCCATAGCTATACAAAAAAAACACACAATGTACCTAGTATTGGCTAAACATCCTGAGGCTAAAACTTGACCCGCAAATCTCTCAAATCAGGATGACGCGTCGCAATTATTGCCCCCTACTGTGAAAACTCGGCAGGACCTTCAAACAAAAAATAAGTCTTGAGACTCGGTGACGCTTTGCTTTCCTGTGTAGTTCAAGCGTTTCAAAACATCCTCCAAACACACTGGAGCCACGGTGTTTCCAAAAACAAGTCAAGAGCCACGAAAGCAGCAGCTCAGAAAACCGGTTGACCACATCCTTTCAGATGTTTTTGACAACAGTGCCACCTACAGCCTGACTGGTGGCGGGGTGGTGGGGGGGGGTCTTCTCTCGTATGGCACTGGTGACGCCGATTCTGAGCCGTAACTGAGGGTTACAAGCCGGACCACAGCACTTCCACACCTGGACGGCCCTGTACTCGCACCATTATCTAGACGCAAAATGTGCAGTGAATCTCAGAATGAGCTACTTAACGTAATGGCCACTGCGCTGACACCAGTGAAGCACACGAAGCGGGCTGGGGAACACTCATTTAAAAACGCTAGTCGTGAAATCTATTAAATTATTGCCTTCCTGGACGTTGAGAGCTGGCGACCATGCTGATGATGGTGTAATCAAAATCTCCACAAACCTAAACATCAAATCGTATCATCAGAGTGAACACAAACATCTTCGAATCGAGTTTGAACGCAAACAAGTCTGGTTCCACTTTTGTGAGATGCAGCGACTCCAGCATAGCTCCGCAGATTTAAAATGACAAATGCCGAACTCGTGGATTTCCAGCACTCTGATCTTTTGATAAAACATGCACACCACGTGCTAAGGTTTCAAAGCGAGACATCAATCCACAACATCAAACCACATGAACATGTTACAAGCACAAGGCACATAGATCCATTCCTGCAAAAATCGGGCCACCCTGAGCCTTCTCTCTATCTCACTGTCATGTAGCAAAAACAAATTACTAACAACATTCATAATTAGTTACTTTTGGTTTAGATTGTCGTGTCGGTATACATTTTTTTTTAGCTTTCTTCTCCGGCACCTGACAGAGCCAATCAAATCAAGTTGTCACATCATGGGCAAATGTGCCAATTGATTTGGTTTTCCAGCAGCCAAGAAGAATGTTGAAACGTAAGAAAACACGTTCACAGCAGCTCAGCGCTCGTGTGAATTAGCTTCATGTTCCGCTGGAAATCGGCATTATAACTGCACAATCTTAACCCAAAAGCTAAATTTAGTTTTCTTGCTGTGGTTTTCCCACCTGATGCTGATTGCTTGTGTTGCAATCGAAACGTCGTGATTTGTTTTATTTTAATGTTTTTCTAACTACGTGACTTTACCGAAAGAACCAAAGAGTATGGATTACTGCAGTCACGAAAGCTTCAAATCAAGATTTAACGAATAATGAATCGTATTTGTAGCCATGAAAGCCAACGTATACAATTAGATTACTAACAAATAATTACATTTTGTTTTTAAAGCGTTTTGACATCCCATTGCAATTTGAATGCCTGCTCTCCATGCTGTATGGGTCGTGGTAGTTGTGTGACCATACTTCACCACGCTGGTCAGTGCATCTTGGTGATGGGGAACCCTAGTAACGGTTTTAAATACCACACGCCACTGATGTCAGCCATGGTCTGAAATCGAACCTAGGTCGGCAAGTTCGTAGTTCAGTGGTTCAATTGCAAAAATGTGCGTTTATATTGTATAGACTAAACTGTGATAATACCTATCAGCTTCAATACGGGGGGGGGAGGAAAGGTACACTGCTTGATAACAAGCATTGGACACTCTAGCGCCACGGGAAAAAAAAAAAAAACATCTTGTGCTTTGTTAGAACACAAAAGTCAAAAATGTATACAACACGAGCTGCAACTTGGAGATTCCTGATGGTACCAGCAGAGAATTCTCAAAATAATTTCAATGCCATTTCCATAAAATGAAGTTGAAGTCATCTGGTTTGTCTATGTTGCTCCCTCATTCACTTATTGCATTGCACTGCAAAGACATTTCCAAAGGTGGAACAATCTGTCCTTTCCACTTTTTGAAATGGTACCAGCATTTTTGTTCCATCGATTTATGCCAACATGGATACCCTGCTCACAACTACTCATCTACGCAACAAAACACTAGATTTCCAATTATATTACTTGTTGACGGCAGAATACGTGATTTTGAGACAATGGAGGGGCATCGTGTACCCATTGTGTGCGTGAACAAACCACTGCTGGAAATTTTTATCCAGATGGCCAACCGGCTAACATTATTGTGTTGTTTTCTTATTTTTATCCATTCTAAAACACTCGTCTGCCGAGCATTACTTATCTTTTACACCAACAGCGCATAACACTTTTTTTTTACAATCGTTGTCAAGTTGGACAAGTCATGGAAGTCGCATTACAACTAAGTTTACAACATGCTCTGTGCGAATTGATCAATTCATTAACATCTTACAATGTATATGCTCTTATGGTCTTTTGAAATAAACCAACAAAAGACATGCACTTACATTTACAAGCTCACAGAGAAACACGTTACACGGAGCCTCTGAATCCTCATTATTACAACCATCTTGATCTTCAAAATATTGGTTTTGCACCTGCCATAATCACGTACATATTTACGGTGGTACTTCGTTGAAGGCACTTTCAAGCAAATTCATGATATAAACGAATTTAGATATGCCAAAATAACACGCGTGTATCGCATAGGTTTAACAAAGTAAAAAAAAAATCTGTGTTAAAAAAAAACCACGTGAAATTTAATTCCATTCAGACATATCCTTAATTGTTTAACACTATGCCACTCAGCCGGCATGTAACATAACATACATTTAAAATTAATTGCTTTGCTCAACATCACAAATAATTTGAAAGAATGAATTGTTTTTAACATATAGAAATGATATGTATACACGTCATGTTTAGGTTAAGTGACCCCCGAATCGTGACCTCCTAATCGTGACGATTAATTAAATAACTTAAAAGGCTTGAAACAATACAAACAGCTACTTCATTACGTGCTAAATGAGAAACACATGAAGGTGTGCAAAGTGCTCCGACACGCAATCGTTGAGCGAGTACATTAAATCTACATGACCAATTCACGCGGCTCCAGCTGGACTACTTATTAATAAATAAAATGTACACTTCCCATAAACCACAACAAGGCCTTCTGGGAGTGCATAATTTCAGCAAAAAATGATTCAACACAAGCAAACCGTTTATGGTTTCGACATGCACTGTCTCATCAGCAGTGTGACGCCTGCTTGAACCAATGCTGGTGAACGGCCAGATATGATATAGTCAACAATCTGGAGGTTCATCTTTGACGATCAACGTAATAGCGGTCCTGACCTACCGTAAAAGTTCTCTACTACTGAAACTTTTCGCTGCTTTATTGTCATAACTTCTTTGTGCAATAGTAGTTATGACAAATCTCGGCTTATGAAATTGTGCAAGGCCGAATGCTCCAGCACTAATGCTCCAGCCCTGCAGCGTGTGCAGCACTCCGACTGGCACAGTTGGCTACGGTATGGTGCGGAAGAAGTTCGACAACAACACCCGTCATTCGCCACTAAGCGGCGGTGACATCACCACGGCGCCTGTGCCAGGCCAGGTGCACTTTGAGGCCAAGTGTCGAAGGCTCCCTGGCAGGAGTTCACGGGACACACCCGGATGCCATGGGTTGATTGACCGAGATGACCGGAGATGCACCAGCCGTGCCACCTACCGTGCCAACCTGCTGCATTTTAGCCACCCGGCGCTCCGCTCATTGTTGAGCGTCGCTTCTCTGCCCTCCGTTGTTGCTGGAGGGCGACTGCCTCCAAATGACCAGTAACTTCCTTCACGAGCCTCCCTCCATACGTCAACATGCACACGTACATGCACAAGCACAGCCACCACGAGCCCTCCCTCGTGGCCACTGTGTGCACCGTCCTCCTCCCCTACCGCTTTGTTCTTGACGGTGACGGAGGCACCGCGCTGCACGAGCAGCTTTGCGATGCCGAAGTTTCCGGCTACGATGGCGTCGTGCAGTGGCGTGATGCCGTCGCATTTGGGTCCTCCGGGATCACTGATCAGTGCGCCATGATCAAGCAGATACTCCACTATGTCTGCAAGAGAGAGGAGCGTAAACACAAAGTAAAAAAATACAAATACCTCCCCCATTTAGCCTTAACAGACCTGTAGGGGCAAGTGATCTTAGCGAGCACCGATGAAGGCCGGCACGGCACACGAGGGGGTGGGTGGCCAGCAGCACACCCGGCCGCCTTTGTCGTGGCGATGTTTACACATCAGGTACTAATTTGAGAGCAAGTCAAGCGAGGGGAGACCCGGGACCGGTTCAGATAATCGTTACTGTATTGGCCGTGAGTGGGAATCAAACCCGGATTGCCGGGTTCGTTGCGCAGTGCGCTAACCGCTACGTTACCGCTCCCCAGAACAGGCATACACAAACATACACACCAACAGTCATGTGCCGAGCTGATTGGCCATCTGGTAAGAGCCTCTTCACAACACTTCGGAGACGAATATTTCTCCCTCCACCTACTCTGATGGCTTCATTATAAGTTGCCCTAAGCATAAAGCATTCCTCTTCGGAGTGTGTGTTGTCAGGAACGCCACTCTTGGCTATCAGGGCAGATTAACTCACACATTGTCAGCTACATCTCACCGAATTATAATTTAAAAAATAAAAGTCAATATTTGCGGCCCTTTGTTAATCCACTGCTGAATGAAGCCTTCTCCACTTCGCATCGGTTAAAGGGGGTTGTGTGACTATACTTAGTCATATTTCATCAGCACAGGATGGCGAAGGGGAGGGTCCAAGACCGAGTTCAGATATCACTTGCCACTGATGTGAGCTGTGGTTGGGAAATGAACAGAGGCTGCCAAGCTTATGGCCCAGTGCGCTAACCCCGGCGTCACCACTCTCCAAACCAGTTACAAATGACGTGAATCATTCACATACAGTACAACACTAATTTCGAATTGTACCACTTCGTTATGACAGAATGTCAGAGGGGTGGCAGAGTGGTGGCACGATGGTTAGCGCTGTGAACACAGTGACGTACGTTAGATTCTCGGCCATGGCTAATATCAGTGGCGAGTGATATTGGAACTGTTTCAGCAAGTTTTTTTATTATGTTTATATTTACTTATTCCATATGAATCCTAATCGTGCTAATGACGTTATGCTATGAGTTGAAGAATCCATTCACAAAATTTTAAGAGCTGTGTGTCAGAAGAGACGTAAACTTCATATTACACACTGTTCCAAGATGCATTGTCAAGTATCAGAATTTTTACTTATCCTGGAGAAACCTGATGAGCAATGCAGCTTTTTTTCACAGATACAGTGAGGGAAAAAGTATTTAATCCCCTGCTGATTTTGTACGTTTGCCCACTGACAAAGCAATGATCAATCTATAATTTGAATGGTAGGTTTTTATTTGAACAGTGAGAGACAGAATAATAACAAAAATCCAGAAAAACGCATGTCAAAAATGGTATAAATTGATTTGCATATTAATGAGGGAAATAAGTATTTGACCCCTCTGCAAAACATGACTTAGCACTTGGTGGCAAAACCCTTGTTGGCAATCACAGAGGTCAGACGTTTCTTGTAGTTGGCCACCAGGTTTGCACACATCTCAGGAGGGAATTTGTCCCACTCCTCTCTGCAGATCTTCTCCAAGTCATTAAGGTTTCGAGGCTGACGTTTGGCAACTCGAACCTTCAGCTCCCTCCACAGATTTTCTATGGGATTAAGGTCTGGAGACTGGCTAGGCCACTCCAGGACCTTAATGTGCTTCTTCTTGAGCCACTCCTTTGTTGCCTTGGCCGTGTGTTTTGGGTCATTGTCATGCTGGAATACCCATCCACGACCCATTTTCAATGCCCTGGCTGATAGAAGGAGGTTCTCACCCAAGATTTGACGGTACATGGCCCCGTCCATCGTCCCTTTGATGCGGTGAAGTTGTCCTGTCCCCTTAGCAGAAAAACACCCCCAAAGCATAATGTTTCCACCTCCATGTTTGACGGTGGGGATGGTGTTCTTGGGGTCATAGGCAGCATTCCACCCCCTCCAAACACATCGAGTTGAGTTGATGCCAAAGAGCTCCATTTTGGTCTCATCTGACCACAACACTTTCACCCAGTTGTCCTCTGAATCATTCAGATGTTCATTGGCAAACCTCAGACGGGCATGTATATGTGCTTTCTTGAGCAGGGGGAGCTTGTGTGCGCTGCAGGATTTCAGTCCTTCATGGCGTAGTGTGTTACCAATTGTTTTCTTGGTGACTATGGTCCCAGCTGCCTTGAGATCATTGACAAGATCCTCCCGTGTAGTTCTGGGCTGATTCCTCACCGTTCTCATGATCATTGCAACTCCACGAGGTGAGATCTTGCATGGAGCCCCAGGCCGAGGGAGACTGACAGTTCTTTTGTATTTCTTCCATTTGTGAATAATCGCACCAACTGTTGTCACCTTCTCACCAAGCTGCTTGGCAATGGTCTTGTAGCCCATTCCAGCCTTGTATAGGTCTACAATCTTGTCCCTGACATCCTTGGAGAGCTCTTTGGTCTTGGCCATGGTGGAGAGTTTGGAATCTGATTGATTGATTGCTTCTGTGGACAGGTGTCTTTTATACAGGTAACAAGCTGAGATTAGGAGCACTCCCTTTAAGAGTGTGCTCCTAATCTCAGTTCGTTACCTGTATAAAAGATACCTGGGAGCCAGAAACCTTTCTGATTGAGAGGGGGTCAAATACTTATTTCCCTCATTAAAATGCAAATCAATTTATAACATTTTTGACATGCGTTTTTCTGGATTTTTTGTCGTTATTCTGTCTCTCACTGTTCAAATAAACCTACCATTAAATTATAGAATGATCATTTCTTTGTCAGTGGGCAAACGTACAAAATCAACAGGGGCTCAAATACTTTTTTCCCTCACTGTATTCCAGCAAAAGTAGATCTGAAAATATATTTAGAATTGCAGCCACTGGGTGACGAGTCTGGGAGGATCAACTCCCCTACACTTGAGAACCCAGTTCGATCATGTGTGGCCACGCCGATTCGAACCCAGGTTTTCAACAGTGCCAGCTCGGTTGTCTTTGGCCTCTGAGGCAGCAGGCCCACCTTACGAGTTTCTGGCTCCCAACACCCACCTTGGTGGTTGTGGTTGCACGCTTCGTGAAGAGGCAGCCAGCCACAGTAGTCTCTGGGGTTTGGAGGGTGACCCTGCAAAGACAAAGATCCCCCGTGTAGCATTGACAGACTGTTGGGACAAGTGCTGTTAGTGAGTAGCACCAATTAAGGCCGGCACGGCACACGAGGGGGGTGGGGTAGCCAACACCACGCCCGCCACCTTTGTCTCCCCAGTGGCGATGTTTACTACACACTGCACCAGGTACTCGTTTGAAGCTGAGTTGACACTGGTGTTGGCTGTGAGCGGGAATCGAACTCGGGTCGCCGGGTTTGTAGTGCTCACACACACATATATATACATACACACACACCTGTCGTGAAGTAAAAAAAAATCTCACGCAATTTAAAATAAACATAGGAAACGTATGAACAAAAAGGTAATCAGTTATTTTCTTAAACGTATATATTTAATGGTTTTTTTACTTCCCACGTGTGGTGACACATCTGTCAGGCAGTGAGTTGGAGGTGGAGTTGGTGGATCATGCTAGAAGGATGCGAGTGGAAGAAAGCTACCTGCGAGGGCAGTGAGGTGTCTGCAGGCAGTACAACAAGTAGGTTTCTAACCGCGATCTATAGAACATTTTAGAGTTCTTCCCTTGTACGTGAGTTCTCATAAAATCTCCGGTTTCCCCCCAAACACCAAAATAAGCAAAACAGAATTGAACAATTGTCCCAACCAGCACCCTTCTAAAGAACTGTGCAACATCCTGAGGATTTCATGGGTAAAGAAAGATTATAACGTTAATATCATTGCATTATTGAAACATGAGCGTGATATTATCGTGTCAACTGTAAATGCCTACGACTTAAGTTCACGAAAATAGTCTCAAGAGAAAAAACACGTAACGTTTCTTTAATCACCAAAGTTCTTAAATGATAGAAATGACAATCATTTACCCAGAAAATTATCAATGTGTCTCAAGACATATTTCAGGAGAACTGATGCATTTGTACGTTTGGCCAATTCCATTCTTGAGCGTTGGGCATGTGGAAATGTGTTATTCATATATACAAATATTCATAAATATTTTATAGATTTAAAACTCATTTTTTTATAACTGCTTATTGTGTTTAGTTTGTCGTCCTTCCCCTGAACCTCCGATTAGGATGGCTGGCCACGAACGGTGCGAAAAAATAACTTTAACACACACACATATCGCATAGACTCCCACCTTCTCAATGAGGATTTTCACAAGCCTGAGGTTACCCTCAATACAGGCTCGGTGCAGTGCAGTCTCCCCTTTCTCGTTGCGTTTATTCCACTGTGCGCACACACACAGACAAGAACAGACACATATGTACATACAAAAGACAAGGATACCCTGTATAGCCTTAACAGACTGGAGGCGCAAGAGCTGTTGGTTAGTAAGTGGGGCCTATGAAGGCTGGCATGGCACGTGAGGGGGTGGGTGGCCAGCACCATGCCCGGCTGCCTTTGTCTCCCCAGTCGCGATGTTTACACACCGTACCAGGTACTCGTTTTGAGGCTGAGTCGACCTAGGGGACGCCCAGAACCGGTTCAGATAATCGTCACTGGTGTTGACTGTGAGCGGGAATCAAACTCGGGTCACCGGGTTCATAGCATACACACACACGCACATAGACGCGGCGAGTGAACCGCTATCGATTTATTTTCCTTCCCAATTTTATCCAATTGCACCATCATTGTATCATGTCATGAGCGCTTTGTGTTGGAGAATGGCCCGCACGAGACAATATCCAATAACATACTTTGAATGGCCCTTTCAAATGACCACACCAGAGAGGACCACTTCCCCACCAGGTGCCCTGCTCTATAGACGACAAAGATAGTCATCGCACACAAAGTGCTAGACAACAAATGAACCACAATGCAGGGAGACTCCTCTACTCACGAACATTCGACTTACGAACTTTCAGAGATACGAACAAACCTGTCCGTATGTCCAGTTGCCTGTTCGGACCGAGAGGCGTAAGGTCAACTGCCGCATAATAGATGGCGGTGGTGGCGTCTACAACTGCAGAATGTGAAGAACCAGTGGAATCTACAGGAGATTATACACATTTGAAAGCCATTCCCCGTGTTTAGTGTACATGCCGTAGAACAGCAGTCCCCAACCTTTTTGGCACCAGGGACCGGTTTCGTGGGAAACAATTTTTTTATGGACCGGGGGGGGTTTCATCATTGGGCCTTTCCTCCTTTTCAAAGAAGCTCTCCAGCGACGTTTGTTTTTTACTCATTTTGGCTGGGGTTAGCTTGTGGGCTTACCAACACTGTGATTAAGACAAGTGCGCAGTGCGGGAAAAGAGGCGCGGACGGAAGTGGCAAATAATAAAATAATGGGGGCGGCCACGTGCGGACTCACCGCTCTCACCTCCTGCTGTGCGGCCCGGTTCCTAACAGGCCACGGACCGGTACCGGTCCGCGGCCCGGGGGTTGGGGACCCCTACCGTAGAACATGTTTGGAATCGACAGGAGTAAAGTTGGACGCAAGAACAAATCGACTTACGAACAAACCTCTGGAACCTAACTCGTTCGTAAGTAGAGGAGTCCCTGTACCTTAATGATCTCATCAAGGGCATAAACCATCATCGGGCAAACTCCGGTTATCCGTGCAGCAGCGGCTTTTGGCTCAGCCATCGAACAAAGACGGCCACCACATCTGAAACGTTATTCCTTCCAATATATTCGGAAGCCACTGGAGCTGTGCACTTTTAAATCTAGATCGAAAACTCATTATTTAGAACTGCTTTTTGCGTTTAGTTTTCTTGTCCCTTCCCCCGCACCTCCGATTAGCACGATTGGCTACGCACGGTGTGAAAAAAAGTTCAACATACATACGCACATACGTGTCCATCACATCGCAGTTGAATCAGAATTGAACGAGGCTTCTTTATTCTCAGACCCGGATAATTTGACGAATTGTGTATATCCAAACATAAGGCCTTTGTGCAGTAATTGATGACTCGGACTTGCTCCATTTGAGGACCAGGATAAATCATGCCGTGTGCTCCGCTGATTCAAACCAAAGGGTGTCAGTGTTCTCACTTCGCTGAACAAAGCATCTTGTTGACTCCTGCGTCACCTGTTCAACGTGACTAGAACCGAATGTTACGTACCCCTATGATAGGCATTATTGCGCAACTCTCAACATAGGAAGAGTTGTGCAATAACGGCATTACAATGATGTACTCCTTCTGTTTTTTTTGTATTGTTGGTTGTTGCAACTTGCCCGACCCACCCCATACTGGACATCTGTGAAAAAGAGATTCATAGCCCATCGGATTCCTCCAGGATAAATAATTATTCTCATAACGAGAGTTTGATGGTGAAGGGGTTAAGCTTCAAGTAGTTTGTGTGAAAAGTTCTTGCAGTTTGTTAACTCCTCCGCATTTCGACTAACTTAATACATCTGTGAAATACTGAACATCAGTCAAACAAAGATCTTTATAGCTCATCGGATTCCTCTAGTATAAGTAAATATTGTGATTCTGAAGTTCAAGCTGTTAGGATTGCTGATTAAAATCGCTGGGAAACCAACAGTAAAATAACTTGCGCTCATGTTTTATGTACTTTTCTCATTGCACGTTTTTATTTACGGATGAGACAAATAACACAGTAAACGAACGCTGTCACCCACAAAGTTGTGGATAAAGCATCTCGAATTAGCACGGCGGGTTACGTACGCTGCGAGATCAACATACATACATACATACAACAAACCCAGAATCAATAAATTAACGACGAATTAAGGACCGTAGGTGTAACTGACCTGGGCAGATTTGCGCTTGCCAGACACCACCTTATCATATCCCTCCAAGTCCTCTTCTTCTTCTGCAAAGGAAGGTGGATGAAGAGAGTCAAAGCGAGTTCCTGCTCAAATGAGTACAGAGGCGGTGCACTCATCTATTCATAATTAAGGTTTTTTGGGTTATATTGCATATAAATGTCATAACCCACAACCCGACAGCCAGTAAGGTTCGTCACGTAAACAATGCACCAATTAGTTACTACTTCAGCCCACCGGTGTGTTGGAGAGTAAATCCACAACATTTACAATTTGAATATTGTTTATAGTCCAGAGCCAGCGGTGGAAATTTCACTTTCCTATGGTGGGTGGCAGACTCTTATCCATAGGACAACCACTGTTGAAATCCTCACAAAGTTCTGTTAAGTTTGTGAACCCGGGAGTGATTATAATTACTTGCCGAGTAAACCCCAATTCAGGATTTGACTGTGGCCTAGAAGACCTGAAGCTTCGTGCGGAGCGACATACTAGGTAGCTTCTACACAGCATTACGCAACCAATGAAAAGATAATGCCGCTCGACTCATTCGAAACGAGACCTCTGCTGTCAAACCGGAGCCGGTCATGAGCACACTGCCCAGGTATGGGAAACTCTCCAATCTCTCCACAACTGCCCCATCTCCGATTGGGAGTTGTGGGGGTGGAGTGTCCGATGGTACAAAATACCCAGGCAGGTGCTTAGTTTTGGTTCAGCAGCAACGCCTCCAACTCCTCTGAGTGAGCAGCAATTACCAGATCATCGGCATACATAACATGGTTGAGCAACAGGGAGCCATCTCTTGACCGCACCCAGGCGTCGATCAGCCTCCCATTGTATCTGTACCAGATGGAAATTCCTCCGGTACAGCTATTGAAGGCTTCACGAACTACGTGGTCAAAATAGATGTTAAATAATGTGGGAGCCAGAGGACATCCCTGTCGCACCCCAAGGTGAACAGGCAATGGCTCCGACTCCTGCCCACGTAGTTTTACCCGGACCCGCTTACCATCATGAAGGTCCTTAATGATCGTGAGCAGAGGGTCAGGGATTCCAAAAGCACGAAGAACAATCCAGAGCCCAGGCCTACTGATAGTATCATAGGCCTTGACCAGGTCAATAAAGCAGAGATGTAGGTCTCGTTAGAATTCCCTACACCTCTGCTGTAGCAGACGGACAGAAAATATGGCATCTGTGCAGGACCGCCCTTTCCTGAAACCGCATTGGGGCGCCGCAAGCCTCTCCTCAGTGTGCCTGGCAAGGCGATGTTGAATAATCCTTCCCAGGACCTTTTCCAGCACACTGAGGAATGAGATGCCCCTGTAGTTGTTACAGTTCTAGATTTGAAGCTTTCGTGACTGCAAGGATCCATACTCTTTGGTTCTATTCGGTAAAGTCACGTAGGTGTCAAAGCACCTTAATTCCTCTCACACAGCTTAAAGGTGCACTGCCGCGTGCTACACCTTTCATCATGCTAAGTCCGCCAATCAAATGCTAATTTTTTTATGCTAATTCCTTTGTCGAGGCACCTTAATCCCTCTCACACAGCTTAACGGTCGCAGTCTGAGCTTGGCTCTGTTTCACTCCAGCGCAGTCTTCGAGACAGGCTGGTCCTTCACCTGATGAAGGCCGCTTGTGTTGTGGCCGAAACGTCGTGATTTTTGTTGTTTTATTTTTTTACCTACGTGACTTTACCGAATAGAACCAAAGAGTTGTTAGTCTTAAACAGGGGGACCACCAGGTCATCCTTCCAATCCTGCGGAACCCGTCCAGTGGTCCAGACTGTTGTTATGATGTCACGTAAGATAGTTTGTGCACAAACGCCATCCTCCCTCAGCATTTCGCTTGGGAAATCATCTCTGTCCAGTGCCTTTCCTGGTCTCAGACTCTGGATCGCCTTCAGTACTTCGTCAACAGATGACACCTCAGCCAGCCACTCACAGGGGGTGACTTCTTCTTCCAATATTTGAGGCACCGCAGCCTCAGCAGGGTCATCCCCACTTTGTGCCACGATGCTTTCCAGGCCAAGGGATTTCCCCTCCCCCAGGAACTCACAGAAATGCTCACCAAATCTGCAAACCTGTGCCTGGGGGTCGGAGATTGGATCACCGTTCTTTCCCCTTATGATGGTAATAGGTGTGGCGCTGCAGGTTACTATTTTGATGGAGTTAAAGAGCAATTTGTGAACGCGGACCATTGAGGCAGACTTCATCTCCTCAGCAACCCAGGACCACCACCCATCCTTGCAGCGCCTCACGGCTCTCCGAACCTCCAAGCGAAGGCTGCGGTAAGCATCCTCATTCTCTGACGTGGGATGCTGTAGACGACGAGAGTGGGCCTGTCGCTTTTTCTCAGCCAGCCTGAACACCTCCTCTGTCAGCCAGGGTCTCTGGGGAGGTCTGGACCGTGTACCCAAAGCAGCCATTGAAGCTGCATGAGCCACAGTCCTAAAACTCGCCCATTTCCCCTCGACATCAGGATGAGTGGGGGACGATGCCAAACCCAGCCACAAGCAATGATGAAATCCTCGCTTGCAACTTTCATCAGCTCGCTGAGACCATGCCACTATGGGTTTGAATGGGGTCCTGGGTGTATACCCACCACCGGAGTGGAAGACGGGCAGACACATCTTGCAGATGACAAGTCGATGGTCAGTGGGCAGATCAGCTCCATGGTAGGTCCTGGTGTCAAGGACATGGGGCCACATCCGCTGTTCCGTCACTATGTAGTCCAGTAGATGTTCTTTCTTGGACCCGGCATGCATCCATGATGTTGTGTGGATGCGCCGATGCCGGAATAGCATGTTGGTAATTACAAGCCCATGGGCTGCACAAAAATCCAGCCTCCTACCGTTGTTATTGAGCTGATCTGGCCCATGCCTTCCAATCACTCCAAAGCAGGTGCCAGCATCATGACCAACTCGGGCATTGAAGTCACCCAACAAGATTACTCTATCCCGAGGGGCCACTTTAGCTAGCACTTGTGACAGGAGGTCAAAAAAGGCATCTGACTCATCGGCCTTGCCTGCATCCCTCCACTGATGTTTGTCTTCGGTGGGGGCATAAGTAACCACGACCACTCTGGTTGATGGGACGGCAAGCCCAAAGAAGCCAGGGGCTTACAGCTTCTCACACCTCACCGCCATGTTCCCACGCCCCCTTCATTCTTTTGTTCAGAAGAGCCACTCCCTGTTGTTTGGCAGTCTCCTGCCGAGTAGAGGACTGTCCACCTATCATTGTGGCAGGAGCCAGAGCCGGTCCACCGGACCTCCTGAATACCACAGAGATCCAGGCGGTACAGGTGAAGCTCCCGACAGAGGAGTGGCAGCCTCTCCTCCGCAGTGAGCATTCGAACATTCCCCGTGGCCACCCGTAGTGGTTTGTTGTTGTTTTTGGAGGAGCCTCTGGCGTAAGTTTAATTAAAGTTGTGGTAATTAATTGAAGGTGGAGGGGTTAAAGCAGCCCCTAGCACCCATCCAGAGCCCCCATTTGGCCGCTGTGATGGTTACAATCACCATGCGGGGAATGGCCAATCTAAATTGGCCCTCCCCCCACGGCATTGCCCACCACGGCGTTGCCGTCCGGCACCAACGAGGAGGTAGGGGGTTGTTTTTGCCAGACGGTGGTATAATAACACGCGAGCACACGAGCACGTGGCGCGCGAATTCGTAGTCGCTCGAGAGTAAGACCGCGGGTAGACAGGACGCAGCGTGTGCACTCGCGTCTGCAGCACGCACCCGACTCGGAGAGGTCCACGTCGCTCTCGGCAATCGGCTCCGAGTTTTCGGCCTCCTCCGCCGAGTCGCTGTCGGCGTCGCTCTCCGAGGCCGCGGCGTCGCCGTGCCCTTCCCCCAGCTGGCGCAGCTCGGCTGCTGCTGCCGCCGCTGCTCCCGCTGCTCCGCTCTCGTCGCTGCCAAACTTCTCTTGTGCCGCCAGCAGCAGCTTCAACACCTTCACCTGCCGACAGCACGGACGTCGCATCACGATGTGCTGCGCGCGTAATGACTCGCTCCCCCTCGTCGTTCAACGGATCGTAACTCTCGAACCGGACCGCAGTTAAGCTTTTCCTGCATCCACGCTTGCACGCATTCGCAGTGCCTCCTTACTCAGAACCAGAATATTGAATTATGCTGGAGGAATCCTGGGCTCGCTAGAACCCGAACGCAACCCACACAATCCCTTACGCGGCTCGCCTGGCTTCCCGTGTCAGTGCGGTACAAAATTACAAAGAATGTGTACGTATGTTGAACTTCTTTCACACCGTACGTAGCCAACCGTGCTAATAGAATGTGGGCACTCCTCGAGGAGGGCAAACGGAGGCTTCAGGGCAACACACAATGGTGACTGGATCCAGCATTGATTATAACGGTAGCGCTGGTGATGATGAGGTGATTACGATTGTGGTGGTGACAGTCGATACGATAGCATTTAACGAGATACAGTGGGGTCCCTCGGTTTATGATGCCATCGATTAATTATATTTAGATTAACGATCCGCTTCCTGTAGGGTACCATTGTCTCTATTAACAACACATTTTCGCTTAACCATATGTTTACATTATCACGCGGCTGCTAATTTCGGTGAATCGGAGCGCTCCTAAGTGGATTCAGCAGACATCAGCCAATCAGCGACGCCCTTTTATGAGCGTTTTGAGAATAATTTTCTCCAACCCCAACTCTGCCATCAACCCCTTAAGCCATCCATCTTCTTAGCCTAAGGTAAGAATTTTTATTTTAGGCTCTATTTACATGCATTTTTATGCTCTATTTATGCATCATTTATCCATGTTTCTATTAATATTCTTTAATATGTTATTATAACGTCTATTTATAAATTTAACATTTAATATATTCTAAACTATGTTTTTCAGGTGATCAAAGTCAACTTCCGATCATCTTGGAACAAAATTAAGCCTTTAACGTGTATTTCCTACATTCGATTAACGAAAATTCTATCAACGATGGTTTATCGGGGAACCAATTAATATGGTTAACCAAGGGACCACTGTCGTTGTGATATAAATTTTTCCCACGTGACGTTGGTGCTTTTTTAGCTCACGAGTGAGGCGCGCGATAGAACTTTACCTGCAGCTTGCGAAGGCCATCCTTTTTGGCCGAATTCAAGGCAGAGTGGTAGCATGCAGCCACGTCGGCAAACGACCGACCCATCTCTTCCCGGACATTAGCGATGTTCAGCCAGGTCTCACACTCCTGAGCAGAGAGACAAAGATGCCTTTTTTTTTACACGGACACAAAACCAATTTGTAGAATGCATTTAGGAAATGTAGTTAATACAGAGTCGATCATTGATGATCCGGTGGCTTCGGGGCGGGGGGGTGGGAGAAGGCGCCGGAATTAAAAAAATGCCGGATTATAATTATAATGATTATAATCACTACATCATCATTATTTAATATAGCTTATTTTGCACATTCTTGCATGACATTATATTTTTAGGTGTTGTTATTTGTTTTTTTTTTACATTTGTTTACTATGTGAAATTGGCAGAAATATACAAATAAACAAAAATAAATATCCTCCTGTAAATAGTTAGTGTATTTACTGTCCTGTACATACCACTCCAATCTCGAAGACTCTGCATCCGGTGATGTATATACGTGCAGTATTTTCATTGTTTAAGTTGTATGTAGTGTATGATATACTGTACGTAACGTTTCATTTGATACTGAATTCAAGCATAGCTACTTTTTGTTTGTCACACACATGGTGCTGCCGATCGCCGGACTAAGTTACAGCCTTGGCAGCGGTTTCGCCGGATCAATCCGGGACTGCCGGATAATGTTAGAAGCTGGATGTTGGAAGCTGGATAATGTTGGAAGCTGGATAATGTTGGAAATCGGATAATGTTTTAAGCCGGATAATGTTGGAAGCCGGATGTTGGAAGCCGGATAATGTTGGAAGCCGGAAAATGTTGGAAATCGGATAATGTTGGAAGCTGGATAATGTTGGAAGCTGGATAATGTTGGAAGCCGGATAATGTTGGAAGCCGGATAATTGCGTGGCGCCGGATAATCGATGATCAACTGTACTGCTGAGTCTTGTTTGATAACATCCTCAATGACTGAAATTCTGATCAAGGTCAATATTACAAATGAGACTATCCTGGTCTGTTGCGTTCTCACCTGGTTAAACAAATAATCGACGTGGTTTGCCTGCTGTGGATGATACCTTACTTGGTAGACGTGTAACAATTCACCACATCCCAAACGAAGACCGGCGATTTGATAAACTGTCAAGATTTGTTGTTACGATTCAATAATATAATAAATTATTTTGTCTCATAGTAAGAGGTTTTTACCCTTTTAGCTGGCACAAATACTGACACCTTTATACAAGGGATCATGTTTGCAATAACCACAACACAAGCAGTCAAAAATGCAAACAAAAAGAAACAACTCTGATAATGATATGCACTGTCCTTGAATTTGATTGATCCACACCCGAGACGGCTTTTCTTAGAGCCAAGTCTCCACTGGTGTTGGACCAGATGATACCATAAGGCGTACAACTCAAAAACAGCACACTCTCAGAGTATTGAGAGCTCGGGGTAAGCCTTTACATTATAAGACCTCCTTTGCCAGTAACAAGATATAGTAATAGGTTTTTACCCTTTTAGCTGGCACAAATACTGACACCTTTATACAAGGGATCATGTTTGCAATAACCACAACACAAGCAGTCAAAAATGTAAACAAAAAGAAACAACTCTGATAATTATATGCACTGTCCTTGAATTTGATTGATCCACACCCAAGACAGCTTTTCTTAGAGCCAAGTCTCCACTGGTGTTGGACCAGATGACACTCATTCATAATATCCTTGTATGTCCCGTCTTGCGCATCACATTTTCTTTGTCTATTATGCACTGCATTAGCTTCAGAGTGCATTGGCATACAAGTTAAATACAAGTCTCCCCATGCATTCAATATGGGTGTTTGAGCTAGAACTGAAGTTTGTATTGGTGTATAGGTCTGAGAGTTTGACATTTATAAAGCAACTGGAAAAGGAGCTTCTGGCCTCTGAGCAGAGGTGCATGCAGAGGATGCTTAGACTTTGATGGCAGGGAAACATAAGCTACCAATGGATTTTGGCTGAAAGCAAAGCGTATACATAATCACGAGGTTTCAGTGACAAGCTGGGGCTCGTGTTTACAATGGGCAAGGGTAATTTACTGAAACAGGCACTGCAGTGACACCCAGTGGTCAGAGAACGGGAATAAGCCGGACGGTGGGATAATTGCCAGAGCAGTCTTACGGAGGTTATTGATCTGTGAACCTGCTGCAATTTCTGACAGCACATTGATGGCGATATGTGGTGTTAAAATGGCATTGATCCCTTGATCTTGGTATGAAATCCACCAACCGTGCAATGTTCACATAGCTATTTGCTCCGTTCAAAGTTTATAATTCTGGCTGGCAAAAATGAGCACCTTTTATACTCGGAAAATATACATATGAATCAACAATTAAATGAAAAGGTGACGCATTGCATTAGCCGTGGGGTTTGTAATTAATTGTTTGACAGAAATACTTATATAATTTTGTCTGGTTTTGCAAATGCCAATGTGAATTATTACTAAGATTTTGCAGTCAGTGTAGGTTTTTACAGTCGTTCTGTATAGTTCTTTGATATTCATAATAAAGGTTTTTGGTTAGATCGCGTTATTTATAAATGTGTCGTAAAGCAACACTGCTGAAAGCGATCAGATTCTTAAAACAATTAAAATTCCATATACCTCAGGAGTAACTGACAAATTAGCCCGTGTTTTGCAAAAGCAAAACATTACAGTAAGATTTGGTACAGTACACAAAATTCAAAAACTAGTATCTTGCACTAAAGACGAATTACCTAAATTATCAACAGAAGGTGTATATCGGATTAATTGTTTATGTGGCAGATGTTATATTGGACAGACGGGACGTAACATCAGCATAAGACTAAAAGAACACCAAAGAAATATTAAATTATCTCAAACACAACTGTCGGCAGTGGCAGAACATGCTTGTCAACAAGGACACTCAATTGATTTTGATAACGTTGAAGTGTTGTGTAAAACTAATTATTACTGGCAAAGACTAATTAGAGAATCCATTGAAATTGAGAGAAACAGAAATAACTTTAATCGTTCTGATAGCTATAGGCTTAGTGCGGCTTGGAAGCGTATTATTAAATAATACATATTACAATTCCTTATAGGGGAAACATATTAATCAACGGATTACTAATGTAGCATATAACACATTGCAACTAATTACTAATCTACAACTCATTACTAATCATAACCATTGACTGATTACTAATCGATTATATAATTACAAAACCCCCCCTCCGCCTCAAATCACTGCACCTGAAATGAGTTAAATGATGACGTCACCCTGCTGGTCTATTTAAGACCGGGAGCAAGCGAGGGCTTTACCATTCTGGCGAATTGCCCGATGATACTGGATGTAATTACCAGCGAAACGTCGTATTCAAACTGTAAATGTTGTGGATGCACTTTTCAACACACGGGTGGGCTAAAGTAGTGAACTAATTGCCTTTTGTCAACGTGACACTTTTTTTTGCTGATTGGCCGTGTCGGGTGTTGGAGTGTTACGACACATTTATAAATAACGCGATCTAACCCAAAAAACCTTCATTATGAATAATACTGGTCGCGGAAGCCTACGTGTTAAGCTCTTTGATACTTTGTAGCATGTGAAATAAGCAGCTCACATTCTCCCTCCAATACACAGTGAGAGAACTCGAGCCGCTCAATGTAGCTCCTTGAAGAAGCTCCCACAGCGAGTGGAGCAAGCGCATCGGACATCTTAAGGAATAATACTGCGCGGTGTACAGCCCAACAGCACATCACAGAGCGATGCCAATTACCGACCGGGGTGCACTTGAAGATTTATTTTATTTACTTACCACTTAAATTTCTCGTGCAATTCGTTGCGCAACGGTTGCACTTCACTTTGCTCGGTCGGCGTTAGTCGCCGAGGTCGCGACGGGCGTCTTCTCTCATTCCTATTGCTCGATGCCCCCCCTCTCTACCGTTCCCGTTCCGCTGGTGCCAAATTTATTGAGGGCGATATTGGCACGTGCAATCGCTCTTAAAACGACGCCGTACCTCCTGGGCGTTGCCCCCGCGCAGCTGCAGCTCTTGCAGGAAGTGCTGCTCGGCCTGGGAGAACTCCTTCAAGTCGACGTAAGTCGTCGCCAAGGACACGTGGATGACAGCTCGCTCACACGCGGGCTTCTCCAATCTCTCCGCGTACTCCAGCTGCAACACAGTTCAACAAAAGTTCGACCCCAACCAGTGACCCCGCCCGCCGGCCGAGACCTCACTTTTCGTATTGTTTGTTGTTGTACAGCGAGGGAAAAAAGTATTTGATCCCCTGCTGATTTTGTACGTTTGCCCACTGACAAAGAAATGATCAGTCTATAATTTTAATGGTAGGTTTATTTGAACAGCGAGAGACAGAATAACAACTAAAAAATTCGGAAAAATGTATGTCAAAATGTTATTCATTGATTTGCATTTTAATGAGGGAAATAAGTATTTGACCCCTCTGCAAATCATGACTTAGTACTTGGTGGCAAAACCCTTGTTGGCAATCAGAGGTCAGACGTTTCTTGTAGTTGGCCACCAGGTTTGCACACATCTCAGGAGGGATTTTGTCCCACTCCTCTTTGCAGCTCTTCTCCAAGTCATTAAGGTTTCGAGGCTGACGTTTGGTAACTCGAACCTTCAGCTCCCTTCACAGATTTTCTATGGGATTAAGGTCTGGAGACTGGCTAGGCCACTCCAGGACCTTAATGTGCGTCTTCTTGAGCCACTCCTCTGTTGCCTTGGCCGTGTGTTTTGGGTCATTGTCATGCTGGAATACCCATCCACGACCCATTTCCAATGCCCTGGCTGAGGGAAGGAGGTTCTCACCCAAAATTTGACGGTACACGGCCCCGTCCATCGTCCCTTTGATACGGCGAAGTTGTCCTTTCCCCTTAGCAGAAAAACACCCCCAAAGCATAATGTTTCCACCTCCATGTTTGACGGTGGGGATGGCGTTCTTGGGGTCATAGGCAGCATTCCTCCTCCTCCAAACACGGCGAGTTGAGTTGATGCCAAAGAGCTCCATTTTTGTCTCGTCTGACCACAACACTTTCACCCAGTTGTCCTCTGAATCATTCAGATGTTCATTGGCAAACTTCAGACGGGCATGTATATGTGCTTTCTTGAGCAGGGGGAGACCTTGCGGGCGCTGCAGGATTTCAGTCCTTCATGGCGTAGTGTGTTACCAATTGTTTTCTTGGTGACTATGGTCCCAGCTGCCTTGAGATCATTGACAAGATCCGCCCGTGTAGTTCTGGGCTGATTCCTCACCGTTCTCATGATCATTGCAACTCCACGAGGTGAGATCTTGCATGGAGCCCCAGGCCGAGGGAGATTGACAGTTCTTTTGTATTTCTTCCATTTGCGAATAATCGCACCAACTGTTGTCACCTTCTCACCAAGCTACTTGGCAATGGTCTTGTAGCCCATTCCAGCCTTGTGTAGGTCTACAATCTTGTCCCTGACATCCTTGGAGAGCTCTTTGGTCTTGGCCATGGTGGAGAGTTTGGAATCTGATTGATTGATTGATTGCTTCTGTGGAGAGGTGTCTTTTATACAGGTAACAAGCTGAGATTAGGAGCATTCCCTTTAAGAGTGTGCTCCTAATCTCAGCTCATTACCTGTATAAAAGACACCTGGGAGCCAGAAATATTTCTGATTGAGAGGGAGTCAAATACTTATTTCCCTCATTAAAATGCAAATCAATTTATAACATTTTTAACATGCGTTTTTCTGGATTTTTTTGTTGTTATTCTGTCTCCCACTGTTCAAATAAACCTACCATTAAAATTATAGACTGATCATTTCTTTGTCAGTGGGAAAACGTACAAACTCAGCAGGGGAACAAATACTTTTTTCCCTCACTAACATCTGGCAGATCACCAGCATTGATTCAGGCAAGCTTGACTCTGCTGATGAGCCACTGAATGTTGAAACCAATCCAGAGTTGTTGCTTGTTCTGAATCAATGCTGCTGCCATTATGCACTCCCAAGAAATACGTTTTATAAATTTACAGTGTATGGAGAGACGGATACATGAAGGAGACGCTGCTTATTCATGTTGTTATTCATATTCTACACAAAGACGCCAGTGATCGTTTTGAGTTATGCAGCGCATGAAGTGCAGGGGTGCCACAGTAGTGAGATGTTAACTACCTCTCTTGGTATACAGGAGGTCGTGGGTTCGATCCTGATCCTGACCCTGACACCTGCTGTATATTTAGAGTGTGCATGTTTCTCGCCCCGTGGTCGTGTGGAATGTTCTCCCGGTCCCCAGGTTTTTCCCTCCACACTCAGAAGCAACGTGCCGTTTAGAGTATTTGGCTGCTGTAAATTTCCACGTGATAAAACACTTCGCTGAGCTATCATTTGTGGCCAGGTTGCGTCTGAAAAATAGCTATACAGCTGAGTGGGCCTTACCTGGTAAAACAAAAAACGAAATACGAACCCCAACATTGGCCGCAAACGCGTTACCTGATTGGTGTAGCACGCGAGGGCTTTGAGGTAGTTGGGGATCTTGCTGTAGAGGTCGCCCAGTTGTTCACACAGCTGCATGTTGCCCAAGAGGTCACTCTCCGGCAGCTCCGACAAGCCCTCCTCAAGGTGGATCCCCTTTATCGCTTCACACGGCCAGCACGCAACAATGAAAACTAATTTCTTGGGAAATGCTTTTTGTGTTCCAAGTTCACTGTCCTTCCCCCGCTCCTGCGATTAGCACAGCTGGCTACGTACAGTGCGAAAGAAGTTCAACATAGATACAACAATGTACGGTGCGAAAAAAGTACGGTGCAAAAGAAGTTCAACATACATACGTAGTTTTATGTATGGTGCGAAAGAAGTTCAACATAGAACTATGTATGTTGAACTTCTTTTGCACCGTACTTCTTTCGCACTGTACATTGTTGAATGTATGTTGAACTTTCTATCGCACCGTACGCAGCGAACCGCGCTAAACGGAGGTGCAAAATGTGCCCCGCTTGCAAGCAAGCTGCACACTCTGTATGCTGTAGTATTCTTACACACCAGGATTCGTTACAAAGTCCAGTATTAAAATTATGTCACCAAGGTCAAGAGGTCATCATGGCCAATGCCAGTGATGCCGCCACACCTCATCATCACTTTCTTTCTACATAAGGTTAACCAACGCCTGATTCTTCGAGGTCACCTTGCAGTTTAAACAATTCTGGATATTGGTCTTTGTATTGGTCACCAGTCTCTGGGTGCCACTCCCATGCCTGTTTTGGTAAACTGCCCTCCTCTATGCTACACACATCCCATCCATCACAACCTTCTCTCCCTCATTACATCTACAACACTTTCTAGCTGCCAGCTTGGGGAAAAGAGATTCAACTCTCAAGCATCTATAATGGTTAAATCAAGACTGCCTATCATAAAGCACATTAAACATATATCAGGATGATCGTGTTGGGTAAAAAATACTGCCTACCGAAATTTAAACTCTTAAATATCAAATATCCTCACCGGTTTTGAGATTCTGCACCAGCTTGGCATAATCGGGAGACTGCATAGGGCCCAGCTTGTAGGCCTTCCGTAGCGAGCGCTTGGCCGCCACGAAGTCTCCCAGATGCAACATGATCTGTCATTCAAGGGAAACAACAGCTAGTGTGAACACAGTACAACTGCTTTTTGTGTGTAGTTTGGTTTCGTCCCTTGATGGGCTCTCAGAAGCAGTTCAGTACTATCTGCTTCTGCAGGCCATTTCACTGACACACAGGGTTGCACTCCCCTACAAGACTTGCACATGGAAACATTACCCCCAATGACATAACCCCAAATAGCACAGCTAGAATACAACTTGGCAAAGGGGCAGGAAATAATCTATACATGTAATGTATACATCAGAAAATATTTAATTTCTATGTATGTTGAACTTCTTTCGCACCTACGTAGCCCACCGTGCTAATCTGTGGGTCACTGCAGGTCTCTATGGGTGTCTCTATGGGTGCCTCTATGGGTGTCTCTATGAGTGTCTCTATGGGTCTGGGGTTCTGTAGCTCTCTGTGAGCCATTTTAGGTCTATGGGTGTCTCTATGGGTCTGTGCGTTTGTGGGTCTCTGTGTATGTATGTATGTAGAACTTCTTTTGCACCGTACGTAGCCAACCGTGCTAATTCGGAGGTGCGAAGTCTGGGTCAGGTACTACTCAGCTGACCTGCCCAATAGCAGCGTAGGCTTCGGTCTCCATGCTGCGGTTGCGTGCGCGCTGAGCCCAGTCACGCGCCGCTTCCAAGTGGCGCAGTGCCCTTGAGAGCTCGTTGCCGCGGAAGTGCAGGTTCCCCAGGATGAAGTTAGCACGGTATAAGTCCTCCGTGAGGTTGTTCTTCCTGCAAGGGTGGTGGCACAAAAAAATACAGGCGTGCCGCGTTGGAACAGTGGGTCTGAATCTCAGAAACAAGTGGCGAGCGTGCTAACGCTAGGCGACATCATTATCCAAGTTAAGTAATATTATGCCGATTAATGTAATGTTACTACTTAAAACGCTACATGCAGATGTTCAGAGATTTCCTAACAATTTTATATCTTTGACAATACCAAAAAAATGTTTTTACGTGTCGTGGTTTTATCGGTAGTATTGTAGAGATGAACTAACAAAACTCACACCCTTCGCCATTGATACTGCCTTCAAATAATGACATTTAATATGCTTATGATTTGGAAAATGACGCTTATGCCAACTCGTTTTAAACAAGTAATAGTCTTCTGCTCCAAAGAAGGACTTGTGGGAAAAGCTAGACTAGTATTTTTTGGTTATTATTTTAAGTGAAAAATTTGGTGAGTTTTATTATCTTGTGTTTGTACACCACTGACGATGTAGTCCCTTATTTTGTATTGCTATTGGGAGAATGGTCTATTGTCACACCAAATTTATAGGTGTGAAAAGATCCACACAGCACAGATAACATTCTAACGCAGGGAGGGTTGAATGAGTTCATGAGTTTTGGCAGACTGAAAATCAATTATTCTGATTAACACTGACCAATATAGCTTTGGAAATACTGGTAGCAAGAGGTGTGACAGTCTTCTTTGTTTAAGGGACTACACTGACGCAGTGAGTAGCTCAGGCTCATAAATTAAAGTAGCTTTTGTATCAAGCCACTGAAAGGCTTGCATCAATATCTTGGGTCTGGCAACAATTCCAGCAATGAGCCCTCAATATTGTAGCTGGTGTTCGATGTACTACAGAGCAGTGTACATGTAAATCACCATTATATATATTTACTTTTTACTAAGACTCTTATACATATTTAATACCAGGACATGGATTTTATATCTAGATTGTAGTTTGTCAGATATATAGCGGGATTAAAGCTTGTGGAATGTAACAGTTGCTGGAAGTTTTTACAGGCACATTGGGAGGCTTTGTGAATGTTTATGAAAGTTACGGAGGAATTTCCAGCTTCACCAAGTGGTAAAGGTCACCCTTAATAACCACCTAAAGTGTATTTTGTCAAGCAAGGCCTGGGTTTTAATTTTTACCGTTGCATTTTAAATCCAGCCAAGTACACAGAGTGGGTAGGGCCTACGTCTCGCGGTTGTAAAATTCCAAGTTCAGTCAGGGTCCCTCCAGGCATGATAAAAAAATATGCACCACTTGATGGGGAATTGACAGTGGTTGTCTTATGGCAAGACTCACTGCCACCATAGGAAAAGTGATTTTTTTTACTAAAACACAGTCTTTACAAGTTTTTTTTATAATGATCCACGACTCACTCTGCCAAGAAGATGCTCTTGCGAAAGAATTTCTGACTGCGGGCAGCATCTTGACGGTGGTCGTACACCAAGCCGAGGTTGAGGAAGAGCCGTGCCCTCATCTCATTCAGCTCCTTCCATGGCAATTCAACTGCGCGCACGTGCACGTGGAAAGACGGAGACAAGAACGCAATATCACGTACGCGCACGTCAAGCTACCAGACGTTAAAGTGTGGAACGATCCGTACATTCATTAATTAAAGTTGCCAATGAAGCTGTACCATTGAGATGGAACAAACCGGAAGGAAAACACTAAGGAGTAGGCAAACAAAAATAGATATTTTCAAATCGAAAAGCAATCCTGAATCGTGACAATTGAACAAACTGCTGGGGAATTTAATCGTTAAATGTTTATAAGTTTTGAATTTTTTTTTTACTAAACCTGCATATATCTAATCAGACTGTTCCACTGAAATTAGTGGGTTTTTGGCATTTAACAAACTCTTCAGTAGGTTGCAATCAACGAACAAAACATTCAGGTCATTAATTTTTCCTTTGTATTGTTCCAAACACTGTCATTTACTTTGTTCTGTTAAGTTGCATTGCATTGCATCTCATTTAATGTACCGTGCTTCAATCTAGGTTGTCATGAAACATGTGCTAAACATTGTGGCACCAAACCCTATCTGTCAATCAAGGTAAGCACATTTTTTTTTTTTTAAACAAGACAGTCAACACCAGCAAATGTGCTGGGGTACCTTCAAGTTGCTGATCCACAATTTTCAAGCTCGCTAGGAAGGCCTCCTCAGCTTTCTGTAGAGCTTCAGTATTCTCAGGATCCGTGTCACAGTAGAAAAGGTAGGTGCGCCCGATGGTGGCCAAGGCTCGCTGTTCCTCTACCCTGTTTCCCATCGAGCGAGACAGTTCCAGGTGCTTTTGCTGGTGCTGTGGCGACACACGAGCGACAGGAGACAGTGCAAACGGTGACCGAGGAGTCAATAGCCTTCATGAAACGATGGTAAGCTTGTACATGGCTGTCCACAGAGTGCAACACACTTCATCCATGGACGTTACATGGCTCTATACTCTTTGGTTCTTTTGGTAAAGTCACGTGGGTATAAAATTAAATAAATTAAATCACGACGTTTCGGGCGCAACACATGTTCCCGTCATCAGGTGGAACAACCACAGCAAGAAACAACTGCTAAAGTGGGTAGAAGGGCTCCCGTAATACGAGGTTATATAGGTAGGAGGGGGAGGGGCCAGGGAGGAGAGGGGGGCAAAGTGGAGTGCTGTCAGATGAAGAGCAGCTAGAAAGGAAGAGAGGGGGGAGGAGGAAAGTATATTTCTGATGACAGATGCTTGTGCTGCGCCAAAAACGTCGTGATTTAATTTATTTTATACCTACATGACTTTACCGAAAGAACCAAAGAGTATGGATCCCTGCAGTCACGAAAACTTCAAATCTAGATTGTTACATGGCTCTGTTACCAGCCCCGAATGATGGAACTGTTTCTTAAACCACAGGGGCAGCCCCTGCAATTGCTTGCCAACGCCACAACTGATGGAAGAGCCTCCACGAGAAACCCCTTTAGACTGCCCCTATAAAGGATATTTTGGCCTACTCTTCCTTGCTGGCCAGACGTTCTGAAAGTGGTCGGATTACACGCACTTTACACCACCACATGCAATCTGCCAAGCGACTAACTGTGGTCAAGCATTTATACCGCTGGATATGGGGATTTTTGTAATTGTCTGATCTTTTTTAATCTGCCATGCCAGGTTATTGAACCGGCGACCTCTGGATTGCAAGCCCAGTGCGCTACACCGCAGCGGCGTACTCCATTGTCTGTAGAAAATGTCTTTCCCCATAAGTGATTAGTTAACTTTGTAAAAACGATTAAGCCACTTGAAGACAGTGGTCAGTCGCACAAAGAAAACGTACATGAAAAATTCCCTTAGATTCCTTTCCTGTGGATTTCCACTGAAGGTGGTTTATGCTTGAGAATAGATTTATCCAGATACGTCTGGATTTACTTTATCTCCTGGCCGCCTCCAAGCGTTTTAGATGTCTCTATGTATTAGCTCACATCCAAACAATACGATATGAAATACCTGATCAAATAACTATTGCCATGAAATTTGACAATCCTTCTTTAAAATATTGTACTCTTGAGCAAAAAATGCATCCTTTGTTGGGAGAGTAGCAGCCCTATCTTAGGCCCTGGAATTTCAAATAACTCTCATACCATGCAACAAGGCTTTAACACAAACTTAAGAGTGTTCTGTAATTTACGAGAAACCTCACAAGTTGTTGTCCCCACGTGTCACACCATTGGTGATATTTCACAAGCAAGCAATTTGGTGATAACAACCAACGCCAGCCAGAAAATATCTTCTCGGAGACCAATGTCCCTCGGCACTCAAATAAAATGGCTCGTGGCAATTGGTCCACACACCCCAAGCCTGCCCAATATCGCATATATGCACCAATGAGAATATTTCAATTGGAAGCTGCCACTGCACAATTGGACTTTTGTAGAGACGACGGAACACTTATTCATGCCTGTACGCGGCCTCACCTTTAGGGCTCGGCTATAGTTTTCCAACATTGCCCAACTTTCGCCGATCTTGCGGTTGGCGACAGCTGTCCCGATAACATCATTAAGAGCTTCGGAGAGCTGCAGTTCCTGTTGGTGCTCTTCGATGGCCTCCTTGTAATGTCCTGAAGGCAAGGTTATAGACGACAAACAATCAACACAACTCGGTTTAACTGCTCGACCAATCAAAGAGATGGTTGTTTAACTCAACTCATGAACAGTGATAACTAGAACATCTGGGGCCTCAATACAAACCCAGTCCATCAGTGGTATCAGCTCAGAGTCTATGACACAACCATTATGAGACCTCAGAGCCACCCTCCCTGCTGTTACACAAATGTTTTGCTCATACCTGACAATCTCTGTCTGTATCTCATTTCAAATGTCCAGTTTCTAGATTGCATTACCATTTCTCTCCGGGTTACAATACCATGTGACACGTATGTCCAGCTCGAGCTGTGACCAGACTCCTATTCAGGTGTTCTTCCTGTGGATAGACTGGCTTCCTATAGGATTGTCGAATTTACATCGCTGGTTCAGGGCCTCTGATAGAAATGAGCACCATCTCATATTTGTTTGAGCTCCCTGTGTACTGATGACCAGAAGGACAAAAAGCGGGTGCACTCTTAGAATCCATTTAGAAAAAGCAACTTATATTTTGCTGGAGCAAAGTCAATATTTGGTGCACCTCGACTCTATGGAATTCAAAATGAGTAAATGTGTTAATCATAAAACACAAGGAATACAAATCATGCATAGGCAGTGATTCTGTAATGCTTTCAAGAATGTGTTTGTCCTCAGAAGTTACAGCATCAAATTAGCGGTTACCTTCCGAAAAGCAAAAACAAGACGTCACAGAGCACCTGATGTGTGACATCACTGCCTTGAGTGACTGCGGTTACCCAGCTCAGCCTACTTATTGATGATGTTCTGTTAGCCTATCTCGTCCGGGAGCTTTTTTTTTAAATGCAAAGGTCGGTGGTTTACCCTTCTAAAGGTCTGATATATCAAACATCCTCACGTTAAATAAAAACATTTCTTGGTGTATTATTTGTGCACTGCTTGACTCACAATCAGATTATAGCAAGTTCAAATCCTAATAAGAGGACAACTCAGCACCTCATTTCTCAATGTCACTTCACACACTCTGTGGGAGGTCAGTGACAGTAATCCTCTGGACAGGCTAGTCGCTGCCGTGTAAAAGCGCAATCCTAAACCGTTGGAAGGCCACCAATGGAAATACGCGCAGACGATAATAATACAAATCATAACGTGTTGTCGTCATTGAGAAGTGAAATGCATTAAACTACAAACTGACACAATTCCGTACCATGGCTGGCCAGCAAATCCCCAATCAGATTGCAGATGGTAGCCTCCTCTCGAAGGTTATTGGCCTTCTGAGCTTTTGCCTTGTCCTTCTGCAGTGCTGTCAAGTACACAAACCAAACATAAGTCATCGTTTAAGGTAATAATCAGGTATGCGAGTCACACATTTTTTATATTGCCGTATTTCAATAAATATTTTAAGATAATAATCAGGCATGCGAGTAACACATTTTTTAAATTAATGTATTTCACTCTTACCATCACTGCACTGGTAACTTTCAAATGCAAGTCTTTTTTAGGGTAACAGTAAAGACAAGAGAGTCATTTGGATTTTGAAATGGGCGTGGAGTAAAAGGGAGATATTTTTGACTTGAGCGCGTGACAGATTGTGCAATTGGCGGTTCACAAATGGTCACTTCTGAACCCAGCATGGCCCACATCCCAATCGGGGACAACCAAACCCATCACCAACACATACCGGGCGTAGTGCCGTGCCGTGCCTTCATAAAGTGCTCGGCGCACGGCACTTGTTCCAGACGTCCGATAAGACTATAAGGGGTCTCTTCTTTGTGTTTATATTTTTTTTTAAAACACATCACAGGGTGTATAAGTTGTGCGTGTGCAAATTCTCGTGTCTCCACGCACCTTTCACTTCCTTTTCCCAGGATGGAGACATCGCGACCCGGCAACGCGGGCAGGAGATACTCGGCGGGGTGGGTGGCACAGAGAGAGAGATAGGTAGACACGAGATGCGGCCGACTCCGCCAGAGTCTTGGTGGGAAAGGGGGGGGGATCCTTGAGCGTCCGAGAGACGGGAGACTCAGGGACACATGGGCACGGGAAGGCAAAAAGACGAGGAGACACCTGGGAGACCGAGTTGGAGACACTAAAAGGAGTGCACGGGCACTCGGATAGCCTTAACAGACTGTTGGGGCAATTGATGTTAGCGAGCGCCGCCTATGAAGGCCGGCACGAGAGGGGTGGGTGGCCAGCACCACGTCCTGACTAGGGGAGACTCAAAACGCGACACTGAGAGACACACGGAGACACAAATTAACACCGAAACACTGAGACTCGGGACGCTCAAGAGACACGGTTAGGCTCGAAGACAGACGCGGTGAGACTGAAGAGACACGGGCAGTCGGAGACACGTAGAGACAAGATCCTCCCATATAACCTTTAACAGACTGTAGGGGCAAGTGCTGGCAGCGAGTAACACCTATGAAAGCCGGAACGGTACACGAGGGGGTGGGTGGCCAGCACCACACCCGACCGCCTTTGTCTCCCCAGTGGCGATGTTTACACACCAATGCACCAGGCACTTATTTGAGGCTGAGTCGACCTAGGGGGTGGGGGGTGTCCGGGAGCGGTTCAGGTAATCGTCACTGGATATTGGTGGCCGTGAGCGGGAATCTAACCCGGGTCGCCGGGTTCGTAGCGCGGTGCGCTAACCACTCCACACTACCGCTCTCCACGTAGAGACAGAGGACACTGTGAGACACGCAGACAGAGAGAGAGAGACACGCACAGACAGACAGAGATAAAGAGACACTCAGAGACAAACAGAGAGACGCAGACAGAGACACGCAGAGGCAGACAGAGACACACACAGAGACAAACAGAGAGAGACACGCAGAGACAAACACAGAGAGACAAACAGAGAGACAGAGACACACAGAGAGACAAACACAGAGACAGACACACAGAGACAGAGATAAACAGACACACAGAGAGACACACAGAGAGACATAGAGAGAAGAGACACACAGAGAGACACACAGAGAGACAAACACAGAGAGACAAACACAGAGAAACAAACACAGAGAGACACACACAGAGAGACAAACACAGAGAGAGACACACAGAGAGACACAGAGACAAACACAGAGAGACAAACACAGAGACAAACACAGAGAGACAAACACAGAGAGACAAACACAAACACAGAGAGACAGACGGCCAAGGCGACCCCGCGAGAGGCGGGCTGCTCTTCTCACGTGCGAGTTTCGCGGCAAAACCGCAGCGCGCGGGGCATTGTGGTTCCGAAGCGGCTACGGGTCGCGTCCCGGGACACGACAACAGCAACAACAAAAGGCGAAGTCGAAAATGTCTTGAGCACGAGCGCCACCCTCCACGAAACTCAACTTGCTACAAAGACAAAGATCCCCCGTAGCCTGAACAAACTGTTGGGGCAAGTGCTGTTATCGAGCACCTATGAAGGGCGGCACGGCACTCAAAAGGAGGGTGGGGTGGCCAGCAACCACGCCCGCCCGCCTTTGTCTCCCCAGTGGCGATGTTTACTACACACCGCACCAGGTACTCATGTTGAGGCTGAGTCGACCTAGAGGAGGCCCGGGACCGGTATCAGATAATCGTCACAGGCGTTGGCCGTGAGCGGGAATCGAACCCGGGTCGCCAGGTTCGTAGCGCAGCGTAGCGCTAACCACTGCACCACCGCTCCCCACACAGCTGGGCAATCCCCACAGAGAGGTTTCATATACTCCATTGGAAACCTCATTTTCCAGTAACAAAATATGATAATTGTTTTTTTTTACTCTTTTATCTGGCAACAAAACTGACACCTTTTTTTCATACTCTTTGGTTGTTTCGGTAAAGTCACGTAGGTAGAAAACATAAAATAAATCACGACGTTTCGGGCGCAACACAAGCGTCCGTCATCAGGTGGGAAAGCTTGTTAATAGTTGACTAGCTCGCCTGGTATACAGGAGGTCGTGGGTTCGATCTCGATCCTGACGCTTGCTGCTGCATATTTGGAGTTTGCGTGTCTCATCATCATCACGGTGGCTAGGAGATGTTAACTACCTCGCCTGGTATACAGGAGGTCGTGGGTTCGATCTAGACTAACGGTGCCTGCTGCTGCTGTATATTTGGAGTTTGCGGTGTCTCTCTCTCGCTCTGTCCCCGCGGTCGCGTGGATTTTTCTCCGGGTCCTCCGGTTTTCCCCCTCTCCACGTTAAGAATCAACACCACGCGTTTAACAGGGTTTGTCCGGCATACATTTCTACACGGCGATGATTAAAATAAAAAAATCCACTTCGTTGAGCCATCAATTTGTGATAGCCAGGTCGCTTCTGACAAAAAACGAGTTATAAAGCGGCTCAGTGGGGGCCTTAACTTGGTAAAATAAAACAAATAGTTTCATACATGTTCCTGGTTCTTTCGGTAAAGTCACGTAGAAGGGAAACAATAAAATATAAAAAAAAATATAAAACAAAATTCAACGTGACTTTACCGAAAGAACCAAGAATATAAACATACTTTTTTAATAAATGTTTTCTCCTACAACATCAGAGTGCAGCGGCACATTAAATACGAGTTTGTTGACGTCATATTTGAGGAGGGGTCTGACTTTTTGTGACGCCGTGTGACGAAGGGGGCGGGGTGTGCTCAAAAATCGTCCAAAATCGCGTGACGTCATTTGTGGACGGCCCCTAAACGTGTGATGTTCATTCTAAATCTCTAGCAAAGAACTGGAGGACCCGGAAAAAAAATACACGCGACCGCATGACGAGAGAGAAAACATGAAGACTCCAAATATTCAGCAGGCGTCAGGGTCGGGGTCGAATCTACGACCTCCTGTATACCACGCGAGGTAGTTAACATCTCCTAGCCACCTTGGCATAGCCTCGTAGTACTTCATCCGCTGTATAACTCAAAACGATCACTGGCGTCTTTGTGCTGAATACAAATAACAACGTAAATAAAGATAAGCAGTGTCTCCTTCACGCATCCGTCTCTCCATATACCGTAAATATTTTTTTTTAAAAACGTATTTATTGGGAGTGCGTAATTTCAGCAGCATCGATTCAGGACAAGCGATACCTCTGGGAGCCAGGCTTGCTTGAACCACTGCTGGCCAAGTGTCAGTTGTTACAGGCAAGGAATCCCCTCTCTCGTGTAAGAAATACATTTGTTTTATTTTGATTTAAAGCTTTCGTGACTGCAGTAATTCATATTCTTAGCTCTTTCGGTAAAGTCACGTTTAAGGGAAACAATAAAATAATAATATATATAAAACAATAAAAATTCTCACGACGTTTCGACCATAACACAAACGGTCACACCTGACACACCTGATGACGACCGTTTGTGTTATGGTCGAAACGTCGTGAGAATTTTTATTGTTTTATATATATTATTATTTTATTGTTTGCCTTCAACGTGACTTTACCGAAAGAGCTATGAATATGAAATACATTTGTATCAACATTATTTTATGTGGAGACGGATGTGGACGAGACATTTATGATATACTGTACCATAATGTATCAAGTGTGAGTTTGTGACTTTGTCCGGAATACATTTTAAAGCCCATTTATTGAGCGCATTATATTCGTGTTTGGCCAAAAGGCGAACAGCCTTGTTCACCACAAGCACTGTGTGTGGTTAATGCAGACATGATTCTGTGCAAAAGGTTTCTGTTTGGTTTTTGAACATCTTAACAGCTCCTGTTTTATTTCCAGAAAGGATAACGCCTAATCTTATACTTTGATACTGGCAAGAAAGGTCTCATGTTGAAGAGCGGTGTCTACCGTGCAACAGAGGAGGTCAGTGAGATTGGGTTTTTCAAAAGGTCAAGTCACTTAAGCAGTGTCGGGAAGAATATCAGGTAAAAAAACATAATTCGAAATGTTTTTTTTTTAATTGCTTTGTGTCGATTTTGGTTAAACAAAAAATGTGTTCCGTATTGTACACTTACCACTCTTGTACTCTGAATGTATAGCTAGGGGACTCTGTACCAACGTGTTATAGCTTCTAATTATGGTTGTGACGTTTTTGATACAAATAAAAAATTCGTATTAATGTATGTCTATTTATTTCTTACTGAGAGCGGGTTAGATGTTACGACTGCATACAAGTAACTGCTTAGCTTCCGAAATCAGTCAACTTGGAAGAGTAGGCCAAAAATACCGTCGAGAGGGCGTCTCTGGAAGCTCCATCCAGTGGAGGCCTTTTGCCCAGCAGTGACGTGAGCAAGAGATGTTGCCTCCCTCGCCTGGTATGCAGGAGGTCGTGGGTTCGGTCACGATTTGGTCATTTATAGCAGTGAAGTCTATGGGAGCCAGGGTAGAATTCGGTATCGCTTGAGGTAGCCAATATTTATGGATACCCGTTTCCCTTGTTTAGGGATAATCGATGGATTGTGCAAACGTTCCTATATATTAAAAAAACGCTTATTGCATAACCCCCTTTTGTTGGCTATTTAAAGAAGTTGATTACAGCTCAAGTGTTGGCCATTGTGGGGGGCTAATGTCCCCCTCCCCACTCCCCATTAGGTGGGGGCTGATCTCCCCCTCCCCACTCCCCATTAGGTGGGGGCTGATCTCCCCCTCCCCACTCCCCATTAGGTGGGGGCTGATCTCCCCCTCCCCACTCCCCATTGGGTGGGGGCTGATCTCCCCCTCCCCACTCCCCGCGAGCGGGTGGGGTGCGACGTCTGCCCCCTCCACCCCCGCCCCCGACCGGGTGACCGACCCCCCCCCCCCGCACCAGCGCCCTCTCTGACTGACGTAACTAGCGGCTGGCAGACCCCGCCTAGGGGTTAATTACGCGCGCGCCCTCCCCCCCTCCCCACTCGCGCGGATTACGTAATAGTTTAACTCGCCGCTCGCGGCTGTTTAGAGTTAATTAATTATTTCCACTAAGCCGTCAACAAGCCGAAGGCGCTCGGAATCAATTAATTAATCTCTGCGCGCTACGCTCGCTGGGCGGCCAAGCGGCCCCCTATTTAATTTATTTATTTGTGTGTGCGCGCGCGTGGTGCATATGCTGATTAAAGTCACCCACACACCGTCGTGCGCCGATCGCTGTCCCACCGCTCTTCACACACACACATGCACCACGCGTCAAACGTCAGTCTGTGCTAAGGGTTTATTCCCGGAGCGAATAGTGACCCCCTGTTTATGGCCCCCTCCAACCAGCACCCTTCGGACAGTGCCTAACCTCCTATCACCTGGTCGTCGCAGAGTGCGTCTATCCCCCAAGCTCGAGCTGACTGCGAGCTGGGCTGAATTGGCCCCCTCACCACGTACTGACCCACCTTTCCAGCTGCACGATGGGGGGTTGGGGAAGATGCCCGCCTCGGAGACTTTGCCTGGGCAATCGTTTTCAGCTGCACCCTGCAGGCGTCCCACGGACGCTGAGGGCGGCTGGTATTCTCTCCCGCTCCAGAAGAACTCTGATCCAATTTGCCCTCCTTCCCCCCTTATGTTC